CACAACAACACTCTGTGAGGTGAGTGGAGCTGAGAGACTTCAGAGAAGCGTGACTAGCCCAAGGTCACCCAGCAGCTGCATGTGGAGGAGCGGAGACGCGAACCCGGTTCACCAGATTACAAATCTACTGCTCTTCACCACTACAACACACTGGCTCTTAGGACTTGCCGATCAGAAGGTAGGCTGTTCGAATCCCCACGATGGGGTGAGTTCCCGTTGCTCGGTCCCTGCTCCTGCCAACCTAGCAGTTCGAAAGCACATCAAAGTGCAAGTAGATAAATAGGTACCGCTCCGGCGGGAAGGTAAATGGTGTTTCCGTGCGCTGCTCTGGTTCGCCAGAAGCGGCTTAGTCATGCTGGCCACATGACCCGGAAGCTGTACGCCGGCTCCCATGGCCAGTAAAGCGAGATGAGGGCCACAACCCCAGAGTCGTCCGCGACTCAAGCTAACAGTCAGGGGTCCCTTTACCTTTACCTTACAGCCCCCTCCACTTTGAAGCTTCAGAACCATTCAAAGGACATCTCAAATATGCTACCTTGCATATCTGTGCCTGAATTTCCATGGCTAGGATTTAGCAACCATTTCCCAGCTCTTTCAGGGACTCTCCACCACAGCCATCATGGTAGGCGCAGTCCCAGAACAGGCAGGCTTGGCGCTGTTTGGACACTGGCTGAAGCAAGGGAGGTTTAAACTATTATTCTGTTTCATTCCCCACCACCCGTATCTCCCTCTTGCTCCAGGCCTTGTCTTCCTTTAGCTGTTGCACTCTCCAGTTCAGATTTCCAAGGCGGCAATGGCTGTTGCTGCTGCTCCTGGCTATTTTGGTGCTGCAATCTGATCCCTCGCCGGAGTCTATTTTAGCACCTTGGAGAAGTCCCCAGTGCACGGAATTCCACCTCTTTGCAGAAGAAGAGTGCTTCCCCCAAAGGCCAGAGGTTGCTGTTTCCTTTCTCTGGATGTTCCTCTGTATGAACACATCCTTCGGTCATTTCCCCAAGCATCAGCTCACTTTGTCCTGTTTCCCTCCCCCCCCCCCAATACAGGGATTTTTGCACACAGTTTTGCCTGGCACATGCATTTCTGCAAGCCATTTCCCCCGATATAGCATCTTATGCTGCCTTGGGTTCAGTGGGGAGGAAGGTTGGGATATAAATTCAACAAATAACATTGTTGTGTGTTGTTTTCACTAATACATATATATGTGTGTTTTAGCAAGCCATTTCCCCTAATATAACACATGTCATTTTCATCACACACACACACACACACACACACACACGTTTGTATAGTTTTCCCATAATATTTGCATTTTTGAATGCATACTTTTGGTTGGAGAGATGCACTGCAAAACTCAGAAAAGTGTGAATTTTGAAAGATTACTGCAATTTCAGTTCATGTATTGGGTGGGGAAGGATGAATTAGGTAGATACATATTTAAAAAATAATAATAATACAAGTGGAACTGATTTAGCCATAATTGTTAGCTGATTCTCTCGCCTCAAAGCTGAATGGCATGTTAGGTTACAAACCCAGGCGTTTCCCAAGCCTTTTTTCATCTCAGAAACACTGTTGATATAATTGCAAGGAAAGGATCAGAGGTTAGGAAGTGGGTGGCTGCAGATAAAGTGTTGGGCTAAAAATGGGGTTCAAATGCCCCCCAGCCACAAAGCTCAGTGAGTGACCTTGGACCAGTCACCTTGATGATAACTTCTAAATACATAGGTGTGGGAACCATTTTTATGAAACTGTGCCAGCTAAGTATTTTAATGGATACATACATAAATATTTTATTTCATGAAATTTATATACCACTTGATTGTAAAGCAACAACTGCCTCAAAACTCTTTAAGAAAAGGACAATGACATTATCTGTTAAGAACAGACAAAAGCAACTATTTAAAACATCCTTTAAAAAAAAAAGCAATACTGAAAACTAGATTAAAGCACATGTCAGCATTCTACCTAGCTGGATAAGTTTCTCTAAACAAAAAATGTTTTTAGTAGGGGCCCAAAGAGAGTACAGTGAAGGGGTTTGCTTGGTGTCAATAGGTGGGGCCACCACACTAAAAGATCTATTTCTTATAAATGCACAACAAGTATTGTGTGACGTCTGTGATGGTGCCAGGTCTGACAACTGAAGTGGTTGAGTGGGCATATATTAAATTTTGGCATTATTTCCATGAGAAATCCCAAAGTGATACACAATATGATGAAAGCATATATTACAGGTGCAAATATAAAAACAGCTACATATATAAAAACTTCTATATATTTAAAAACAGGTTAATAAGGAATATCACATAGATGAATTTTATCGGAAATCTGATATGGATACCACCCAGGGACACAGATACATCTGCATTTGCCAAATGAACCTACATTTTGCAAGATAGCATGCCTCTTCACCCTTAGACACCAAACTCTGAGGAAGCACCCTTGGCTGCACATTCCTGGCACTAGAATCTCTTGCATAGCTGTTGCTATGGTGAGTCTGTCAATCAGAGAGCCACACAGACTGAGCAGACTAGCGAGGAAACTCGAGAGATCTTCTCTTGGTGGAGAGAGCCATTGTAACCTGGAGTGTGTGTAGCTTTAACACACTGCATTATTATTATTATTATTTATTTATTGTTAGTGTTTTAATCCCCTAATCCTCCAAGGAGCTCAAAATGGCATAGAACAGCCAAATCCCCTTTTTCTCACAAGCCTGGGAGGTAGGTTAGGCTGAGAGCCAGCGACCGGACTGAGGTCATTCGCTGAACATTGTGATGGAGAATTTGAACCCAAGTCCCACAACCCAAAGGCTACCCCTCTGCCCACTAGCTCCCTTGCAGCTAGGCCAAGTGGTTAGTGTTGGAGTAGGACCTGGGAGACCAAGGTTCAAATCCCCACTGTCTCTCTCAACCTAGTGCTTTTTTGGACTCAAATTCCCATCAGCCTCAGCTAGCATATTCAGTGGTCAGGGATGATGGGAGTTGTAGTGCAACAACAACTGGGGGACCACGTTGGCTACCCCTGGCCTAATAGCTCAGCCCAATTTCATAAGGATGTCAAAGAGGGGGAAGTGTGTGTGGTTCAATGAGAGAGAAAGGGGTGGCAAACAGAGAGAGTCAGAGGGCAGGGAAGAGCCTTAAGTGCAAAGAGATATACCGTATTTTTTGCTCTATAAGACTCACTTTTTCCCTCCTAAAAAGTAAGGGGAAATGTGTGTGCGTCTTATGGAGCGAATGCAGGCTGCGCAGCTATCCCAGAAGCCAGAACAGCAAGAGGGATCGCTGCTTTCGCTGCACAGCGATCCCTCTTTTTTAATAATAATAATAAAAAATTATTAATAATTTCAGAATTACAGAAAAGAAAGAAAAAATAAAAAAACAACACTACAATGCACAAAAAGAGGAAAAAATGCAAAACATAAAACCAATACAGCAATACAGCAAAAAAAGGGAAAAAAAACCACAAATCCCACATTACATATCTTTAACTTCCATTTGCTTGTTTCGTTGACCTCCTCACACCTCCCTTTTTGTATTCTTAGTTAGTTATTTCAGCAAATTCTTTCCATCTTTCTCAATTATTATTAAATAATTTATCTTAACAATTTAACCTATTAATTAACTCGACAGATTCTTTCCATCTTTCCCCATATTCTGTTATTCAAATTACCTTAATTTATTTAACCTTATCTTACCATAAAATACCTTAAAGCTTGAAACTTAATACTCAGTTATACGTAACTCCTGATATCATTTCTACTAGAGTCATATAGTTTCATTCCAACATTTCCCCTAATATTTATTAATTTTAGGCTAATTCCCTAAATAAAAAATTTTTCTTTATGAATTTTCTTCCAATCTTCATCCAACGTCTCTTCTTCCTGGTCTCGGGTCGTGTCAGTCCTTACTGTCCATTCCATCTAGTCCATCAACCTGGAAGTCTTATGTCCGAGGCCCTTAAGTCTCTTCCATGTCCCTTGCTGTTCTGGCTTCTGAGATTCAGAATATTTTTTTTCTTGTTTTCCTCCTCCAAAAACTAGGTGCGTCTTGTGGTCTGGTGCGTCTTATAGAGCGAAAAATACGGTATTAGATATGTGTTCCTGCTTTGTAGAAGCCTGAAACCCTGCAGAACTGCTGCCAGCCAGTGTTGGCAGTACTGAGCTATAAGAGACTAGCAGTCTGGCTCATTGCAAGGCAGCTTCCTATGTCCCTAACTCCCAGATGAAAAACGGGAGAGATGAGCTGCCTCTAGGCAGCATGGGCTCACCCAAATTAGAAATTGACCAGGCCAGCAAAATACCCGCCAGGCGTGAGTGGGGAGAGGAGGGGTGAGGAGGCAGGAAGCTTTGCTTCTCATCAGTGACCTTGCATTCAGAAAGCATAGCCCAAAGCATCATAATCTGCTTTGATTCTGTGCAGGAAGCAAACCACTGGAAAATGAAACCTACTGACATGAACGCATGTGCACACAAATACACACACCAATGAAGGTGGAGGGTTTGGGGAAAACCCTATTAAGTGTTCTGTGTTTCATAGCAGATTTGTGGTTTATCAGCATGATCGACTGCAGCACCGCACTGGAACACAGAAATCTGCCTTACAGTGAGTCAGACCGTTAGGTTCACCAAGCTCAGTATCTTCAACGCTGCCTGGCAGAGGCTCTCCAGTAGGGGAGCCCACTGGAATAAAATATTTGCTGGGGGGGGGGGCAGGTAAGCCCTGCCCAGTATAAATGATCACAAGATACAGCATACCCACCCTATCTGAATGGCAATGTGGGGGAGGGCTGAAGAGATCTCGGCCCCCAGGAGTTGGCTCCTATGCTCTCCATGGTTTGAGACTGGGGACTCACCCAGACCTGTCTGCAGATGCTGGGGACCGAACCTGGGACCTTCTGCATGCAGTGTAGGTGCTCTGCCACATGGACCATCAAGCTCAGTTTTGTCAACTCTGACTGGCAGTGGTCCTCCAGCGTTTGAGACTGGGTACTATCCTGGATTCCCCTGGAGATGCTGCCTGGAATTCAACATGGGGCCTTCTGCACGCGAAGCAGGTGCTCAGCCACTGAGCTAGGGTCCTTTTCAGGGACTTAGGAAGCAGCCTTATACCGAGTAATACCAAGTTCATCAAGTTCAGTATTGTAGGCACTGACTGCCAGCACCTCTCCAGGGTTTCAGGCAGGGAATCTTTTGCAGCCGTAACTGGATATACCGTTATGGGTTGAATCTGGGACTTCCTAAATGCAAAGCAGGTGCTCTACCACTGGGCTATTGATTTTCCCCTAAACATAAGGAAGATTCTAGTCCTCATGGTTCTGAATCAACAGCCAATTTCCACAGGAAGCTGACTTGTACTGAGTCTTACTACGGTGGCACCTCTGGTTATGTACTTAATTCGTTCCGGAGGTCCGTTCTTAACCTGAAACTGTTCTTAACCTGAAGCACCACTTTAACTAATGGGGCCTCCTGCTGCTGCTGTGCTGCCGCCACCAGATTTCTGTTCTCATCCTGAAGCAAAGTTCTTAACCCGAGGTACTATTTCTGGGTTAGCGGAGTCTGTAACCTGAAGCATATGTAACCTGAAGAGTATGTAACCTGAGGTACCACTGTACTGAGCCACAAGCTTTCCCTATTGAGTGAGTTGTATCTTGAACAGCTCTGTCCAGAGCTGGTCTCTGTCCCCGACACCTCCTTATCTCAGAGATTCCTGTGCAGCCCCTGTTCCCTCCCTCATTGCTCTGAGTTACTCTGAGAAGCTGGATTCCGAGTAGAAATTGGAGCAGGGGCTGTTAATTCAGTCCCTGTTTTAACACCAACCTACCTAATTCACACTCCCAGGACATCTCCTGATCCACTTTCACCACACCTCGCATCATTTTATAGCCAGTGTGGTGTGGTGTAGTGGGTAGAGTGTCAGACCACAGACATAAAAGAACCACCCTCAGGATGAGGCCAATGGCCCATCTGATCCAGCATCCTGTTCTCACAGGAGCCAACCAGATATCAGGTGCGGAATTCAAGTACCAGAACGCTCTCCCCTTCTGAGGTTTCCAACAACTGGTATTCAGAAGCGTTGCTGCTGTGTTTATTGGCGTGAGGAAGAATACAAATACAATCCGTTTGCAACAAAGAACAGGAATCCCGAAATTTAAATTTAAAAAAAAACAATCTTTACTTTGGAAAGAGGGGGTGAGAGGAATAATAAAGCACCAAAACTACAATACCCAGCATTCCTGCGCGGATTGGAAGGAAGTGCCTTTAAGGTCTGAAACAGCTGCAGATAGAGGAGAGACGAGTGGGAGGCTGGCGGTCAGGCTGCTTTGCTCTCCACTTCACTGGGATTCCCGTCTTGCTCGTCAGAGTGAAGCAGAAAGGCGGGCAGGATAGTGCGCCCGCGCGTGTGCTTTTGCAGAGCCCGTTTGCAAAAGGGGAGCAGGACTGCAGAGGGGAAAGAAGACGCCTCGGGCACGCGGGGAGGTGGAGGATGGCGCCGCTGGCCAGTGGGACTTTCTGCAAAGTTTGACCCGCGCCTGCAGTCACCCGATGTTGTTGCAGCAGCAGCAGCAGCAATCGAAGAGCGGGTCGGGCGTCTGGCTGTTTAGTTCTGTCCCCAGCCGAGGAGAAGCGTCGGAAGCAACGGATCAACCACGGGCGTAGAAATAATAATAATAAGGAACCGGGCAAGCAGCGGGTTGTGGTGGGCGAAAGATGGAGCAGAGTCGCGCGGCCGCCGGTGCGGACTCTCCTGCTGCAGAAAGGAGAGGAGCCCGCGGTCCGGGATTCCCGCAAGCGCCAGCCTAGCGCGCTGCGCGGGGAGGAAAAAACAAGATACCCTTTGCACAAAAATATCAAGCAAACCAACAGACACACATGCACACATAGATACGCACATAAACCACCCAAACCGTGTCATGCACTGATAAGTCATTTGCACACACAAGTCTGTTTGCTTACATTGCTCTCTTGACTGCAAAAAGGCACCTTCGTATACACATTTTATTTGTGCGGCGGAGGGAGGGAGGGTGCTTCTGCAGCTGCAGTTCTGGAGGGATTTGTGAATGGCATTTGGACGATTAATTTTTAAAGGTGAAACGGGGTAATATAATAATATCTCATATGCACACTTACGCATTCAGCTAGCTTTGTGGTGGGCTCAATAGAGCTGAATTGGGGTGGGTGGGTTGAAATAAATAACGTAAAATAAATTAACTCTATACCCTCATTGCAATAAATCTTCAGCGCTTTGCAGAGCGTTCCAACGTTCGCTGGGGGCGGGAATAGGAAGCTTCGGGATGACAGACCCGGGCGAGGAGCATCTGAAACATTCCCTGCCTTGAGAGTCTCCTTTTGCGCCACCTTGGCTGATCTACCCTTTCTGTGCCTGCCTGTACCCGCGCACACGACGCGACTGCGGGCGAGGGTCTCCCTTCTTTCCCTGGGCATGGCTTGCAAAACGACTCTCTTCGGGTGACCGGCAGTGGCCCGCAAGGAAAGAGAGGGAGGAAAAGGTGGAGGAGGAAGAGGAAGGCGCAAGGCTGCAGAGAAGATCTGAGGACACGGCTGCGGGCGAGGAGAGGGAGGAGACGAGAGCGGCGGCGGCGGCGGCCACAGCAGCAGCAGCAGTGTGATCGTCGGTTGCAAGATTGCACAGAGAGGAGAGGAAGGGGGGGTCGGCATTGGAGGAGGGGGGAAGGAGGAGGGGGGCAACCCATGCATGGCTGAGCTTTGCAGGTGGTTCCCCCTCCCTCCCTCCTCCTCCTCCTCTCTCACCCCTCTGTATCGCTCAGGTGGGTGTCATTGGAGATGTCACGGAAAGCGATTATGAGGTGCGGTTGGGTCACTAAAGGCGCGATTCATGCGCAACGGGGCTTGGACGGTACCGAGGGGCTGCCGGGCTGGGCTCCTCCATCCAGCTGCGGGGAGCGGCAGTAGCAGCAGCAGCAGCAATCACAGGAGCAGCCTCCGCCGCTAGCGCCAGACCAGACCCTCTCAGCATCAGGAGACAAAACTTTACGCAAAAGTTTCCCCCCTCTTTTTGGTCTTTTAAAAATATATGTATATAGATTATATATTAAGAGACTCAAATTCATCTTCCTTCCCCTCTTGGTGGGGCGTTTCGAAAAGTAAGGCATCGCGGATGTTTTTAGAGGCTTAGAAAATAAATAAGTTTTTCTTCCCAGGAGAGCCAGGACTCAACTTGCCGATTGTGTTTTCGACACAATCCAAGCCACTTTTGAGCATTTATAACAATTCCTCCTCGATTTCAAAAAGGGAGACAATTGAAGCACGTGCTTCTGTTGAAATCTAGTAAAACTTTTTAAAAGTGTTTGGCTTCTGGCTAGGGCCCATATATTTTATATTTAGAAGTGACTTAACAAGGTACTATAGTGCCTGTGATTGTGACAGAGAGGTTTCTGAATTAGCTGCCTTGGTGTTTCATTTTATTTCTTAATTATTTTTTGCTTTACTGCCCAGCAGAGCGTTCTGCAAGGAAGCGAAAGAAGGATGGTGTGTATATGTGTGAATCAACGTAAGGGATGAACTGGAAGAGAATAGTGCCTGGTGCTGAGCACCCATTAAGCCTGTTCCTTTCAGCAACCCTAAGGACTCAACTGGCTTGTTCTTGGATGAGTTGTAGCTAAGATTTCTTGTTTAGAAATGAGGAACTTGTTTGCTGCAGTGAAAAAGAACACTGTGTTATCCAGAAGACCATATTTTGCCTTGCAATCCTAAGTCCTAACCATGTCTTCTCAGAAGTGAGCCCTATTGAATTCAGTGGGACTTACTCCCAGGTAAGTGGAGGATTGCAGCCTTAGGCTGCTGTCGTATAACCACATACGTGGAAGTCAGTGAGACTTGCTTTCAAGTTGCCATGGTTAGGACTGCATTGTTACAGCGTGCTGCCATCCCCTTTCTTCCAGAGGTGCCTTTTCATCAGGTGCATGAAGTCATAAATGTGACAGAACGAGGTTCCAGCCTTCAAACGGCTGCCACGATAAATTGGATACTTTAATTCATAGACTTCTTTTTTAGTTTGATGTTTTCTCTTAACTGGGAAGAGAAACTCATTGAGTGCACCCATTTCCCTTTTCTTCTCCTCCTTCATGGATCTTTCTTTTTAAATGCAAAACAGGGCAAATTTGATATGTTAGTAAAACTCTGGTGTTTTATTATTTTTTGAGCTATTTATTGTGGGTTGCTTTTCTTATAAAAATCAGCGAAACCTGTTTTTTTCAGAAGCCAGCATGGGGGAGGAGGGGTAGAAAAGTTGGTTATTTGTTAAAACTTACTGTTGGTCTTTTCCTTATTGTGGTGTTTTGTGTGTACGTGTGTATTTAAAGTCTTTTTTCCCTTTTTGTTTTTACTAAGGGGAAGTTGGGAATAACTGGATGTCAGGAAGTGAAGTGAAAACTCCACGTTGTCTATGAGAAGCTGAGGAGACAGACCAAAAGGGATGGATTTATTATTCATATAGACCATCAGCATTCTGCTTTAAAAGGATTTTTTTTTAATCCAAAGAAATCTATAAAAAGGGAATAAAAGGCCAAGAGTGCAATACAAGAGTAAATAACCGACTGCATTCGAAGAAAGGAAGGCTGAAGGGAAATCAAACAAAACCAAGATATATTTATTTACTGAACCTGCATCTCTTTTATATACAGTTTTCCTTGCTTATCCAAAATAGTATTTATCAGACTTTGGTCTGCCATTGCACAGAAGTTTACATACCCAAAAGGCCCCACTCACGAAGAAAGCGCTGCAAAACCTGTTACTCCAACAAATAGTGGGATTCAAATTTATATCTATATGTGTATATATAGCGAAACTTTTCCCACGATGACTCTTCTATCCTATGGATATCGGTTTTGAGATAACAGATGAGGATTGTTGGCGCCTTTTGGAAATCGTGCTGGTGTTGTGGGCCATGGGCTGTATTCAGAGCATTAGCTGCAAATCAAAAGGTTTTCGGGAGAGTATTACTGTCATTGAAGTTAAGGCCTCCATTGACCCCGTCCCTACCAACATTGATGAGTCGTCCAGTGTGGTTCTGAGATACCGGACCCCGCACTTCCGGGCTTCTGCTCAGGTGTTGGTGCCTCCTCTCCCCAGGAAAGAGACCTGGATCGTCGGCTGGATCCAGGCCTGTAGTCACATGGAGTTCTACAATCACTACGGGGAACACGGAATGTGAGTGGTACAGTTTTGGCTGCGTGTATTAGATTTAACTTGTTATGGTGCCTGGGGATGGGAAGGGGAGGGACTTGTACCCTGCAAGGATTTTTGCCAAGGGGTGCAACCTGCTGTACAATTGGATAAGGGACCATGGCTCAGTGGCAGAGCACCTACTTTTCAGGCAGAAGGTCCCAGGTTCATTCCCCAGCATCTGCAAGTAGGACTGGGATAAGTCTCTCTACTTAAAACCCCAGAGAGCCTTGTAAACAGTACTGAGCTAGATGGACCTATGGTGTGACTCAATATACAGCTCCCTGCTGTGTTTTAGGATTATGGTCATAGCTCAGTGTTGGAGCACCCACTTTGCATGCAGGTGTCCCTGGTTTGATTCCTGGCATCTCCAGGGAGGTCTTGGGCTATCCCTTGCCTGATAGTCTAGAGCATGGGTAGGCAAACTAAGGCCCAGGGACTAGATCCGGACCAGTCGCCTTCTAAATGTGGCCCGTGGACGGTCCGGGAATTAGCATGTTTTTACGGGTGGCGCTGTGGGTTAAACCACAGAGCCTAGGACTTGCCGATCAGAAGGTCGGTGGTTCAAATCCCCATGGCTGGGTGAGCTCCTGTTGCTTGGTCCCTGCTCCTGCCAACCTAGCAGTTCAAAAGCACGTCAAAGTGCAAGTAGATAAATAGGTACCGCTCCAGCGGGAAGGTAAACAGCGTTTCCATGTGCTGCTCTGGTTCACCAGAAGCGGCTTAGTCATGCTGGCCACATGACCCAGAAGCTGTACGCCGGCTCCCAAGGCCAGTAAAGTGAGATGAGCGTCGCAACCCCAGAGTTGGCCACGACTGGACCTAATGGTCAGGGGTCCCTTTACCTTTACCTTTACATGAGTAGAATGTGTGCTTTTATTTAGAATGCATCTCTGGGTTATTTGTGGGGCATCAGAATTCATTCATTATTATTTTTCAAAATATAGTCCGGCCCCCCCACAAGGTCTGAGGGACAGTGGACCGGCCCCCTGCTGAAAAAGTTTGCTGACCCCTGGTGTAGACAATATGGAGCTGGAGGAATGAAGGTTCTGACTTGGTATAAAGTAGCTTTCTACGTTACCTATCCTCCTGTCACTGGTGGCATCCAGTTTTGTAGGGCAGGTTTGTCCCTCATTATTACCTTCCCTCCAAATCCAGTGCTTCATTTCTCTTCATAAGGTCCCTGGAACCTGCCTTGATACCAGGTCACAGAATGACTGCATGCCTGCTCTGGCTGCCCCAGGCTCCCAGGTCTTTCCCCTCAACTGCTCTGGGATTTGTTTAGCGGGAGATGCCAAGGATCAAATCTGGGACTGTCTGCTTGCAAAGCACTTGCCCTATTACCATTGATCTATGGCTCCTTCCAACACATTCCACCTCCCAGCTGTCCCGTCTTGTTCACTTACGTAAGAAAAAGCATTTTTGGGGGGAGGGTGTCAGTGAATGGGGCTAAAAGTGTTTTCCCCTTTCCGTTAAGGGTCAGTCCCAGTCTGTATAGGTCCTGCTTTTTGGTCCTGCTGGGGTGTGATGGAATGTTGGGGGGAGGAATTGAATTCTTTAAACCGGCTTCTTCTAATAGCAAACTCAGCTGGTGAGTACCGGTGGGACTGTAGTCAAAACTGGACATGCTGAGAAACATGAGGGATAATATCAGCATGCTCAAGGAGGGGAACTAAAGTTTTGCAAATGTATAGCAAATCTTTATGGTGAAATGTCCTAATGTCCTCCTCAAATAGCCCAAATAGAACCAAGAATTCTTAGTGGTGACACAGAAGAATATCTGCTCTGGGAAAGGAAGCGGGAATGGAATGGAGTACCCTAAGAAAGGGCATGGCTGGCTGGAAGCCTGAACAGGACCACTCCCCACTGCCACCTTTTGCTGCAGGCCATATTTGTAGGTGTATATCAGCTGAGTGGCTATAATTTAAATGGCCTGTGTTTTGATCCCTTCCTGTCATGGCTACTGCAACAACCTGGCAGTGAGTTTAGGGGGAAATTGGCTTCCTGCATCATCAGTAGGGATGGGACAGAAATCAGATTCTGTTCACATTTGAAGGGGGAACTTACACTAATTAGCACTTCCTGAAACAATACGAGAACCAAAACTTAGCCATCCTTTGAACTTTATACTTCTCCAGATTTTGCAATGAACTGTTCCAACCAAGTAATGGGTACAAAAAATGCATACAACAGGGTTAAAGTGTGCATAAAAACACCTTTATTAGTGAAAACAGCATAAAAAATACATTGTGTTAAGGGGAAATGGGTTTGCAAAAACTGCCCCTTAGGCAAGATAGCATAGCAAAAATGTGAATGTTTGGAGAAACGTGCTCTGAAACGCTTATTAATTTTCATGAGGGTCTTTTTAATCGCAAAGGGATGTGCAAAACTTAATTTAAGAATTGGGAAAAGTGAGAGAAACCGAAATGGACGGATTCACTCATCCCTAATTGCCAGTTCACTGGCACGGCTGTCCAAGGAAACCTTTGGGTCTTTCAGCACAGGAAAAGGCGGCCTTCTGCTTGTAGCGAGTTTCCTTATCTGTCCTCACACAGGGGAGCAGCAGAGGAAGTCGCCAGGGGCCTCTTCCTACACTGACTCAGAGCCTGCTCTACTCTCTAAGAGGGTCTCTTTAACTTTCCATGTATGCATCCGTATTCCACCCCCTCTCCCACCCCCAAAGAAGTGGGGAGTCTCTGTAGCACAGGAATCTCATTTTGCCCAGGGCACAAGCAACTCTTACAGGGATATTCCGTGTTTGTTAAAATTTAGGGCAGGCAACCCCATTCATTCTCATAGCAGTCCTGAGGCAGAGCTTAGGTACCTCCTTGCCCAGATATCTAAATATGTGCCCAGATATCTAAATATGAAATTAAGGCTCTTCAGAAATTTAAACAGTTATATTTCTTAGAAATCTGACCTCCTTCCTCTGAGTCTTTAAAATCTGAAATAGTTGCTTCAGTCCAGTAAGGATCATGGTACAATTTGCAAGTAAAGCAGGTTTGTTTGTTTGTTTTAAATAAAGTCACTATTGAATGCGAATGGGGGACACCTCTGGATGTCTCTCGTTGGTCCTCGGGATTATTTCCCAGGCAACACTCCCTCCCCGGGTCCTGGGTGATTTGGGGTGCTCCTTGGGCACTTTTGGCCTGACTGGACTGTGCCCTTGAACTGCCATGCCTTTTGCTTCCCTGCATGGAGGTATATGCAAATCTCTGGCTTCTGAGTGGCTGGAGAGTAGCTTATGGTATAGGGCCTTTAGAAGGAGAGTGTGGCCCTCAGACAGAAAAAGCTCCCCCCAGTCTAGCTACAAATGCATCATGCTCTTGAGGTGCTTTTTATATTGAAATTAAACTTATATTTATATTTAAATTAAATTATTAATACGCTGCCTCATCTTTCGGAATAGCCCCTCTCCTGCAGGGCAGCCTGACAACATAAAAAAAAAGTTAAAGCTGTATAAAGTATCAAACAACACACTATTATCAATAATAATAGCAGCAACAGCAGAACATTTCGCATCCCAGTAAAAATGTTGGCCTTTGCCTCTTACACACCCTCACTAAAAGCAGTCATGCATTAAATATTTTTAGAGCCCCCTGAAATGATAACCCCCACATATCTCTTAGGTGAGGGCATTCTACAACCATGGGTCTGCCACAAATTATAATTTCCCCAAACATCAAATACAGCAGGATCTCATTTATCCTCCTATTTTTATTTTTTATTTTTTACCTCCAGCCAAGGGTTGGAAAACCAAATGTAACCTGTTGGCCCTCATTGCATAGCTGTCAACATTTCCCTTTTTTAAAGGGAAATTCCCTTATTCCGAATAGGATTCCTCGCAAGAAAAGGGAAAAGTTGACAGCTATGCTCACTGTCCTTACTTCATATCCTCCTTGAATGTTTTTTTTTGGCCTTGCTGGGATGTGTCCTTGAAAATTATCATGACTCTTGCTTGCCTGGATGGAGGACAGAAGGGTGGGTGAGTTGTGTAGAAGCCAGCCCACTGTGCAGTTGTCAAATTCAAATCCTCTTTGCTGCTCCCATTTTTGTTCTGGCCCTGCCCACCACTTCCATGTGAGTGTAGTTAGAACAGAGGCACCTGTGCCTTTACCTTCCCTAGTCTGGAGAAAGGGGGCGTGGCAAGCGAAGGGGGCGTGGCTTGAGGAGAGTCCTGAAAGCTGAGTGGGCCATGTCCCCATCATGCATTTACAGTACTCTTACCCCTTTTAGCAGTCATGTGCTGGGAATTCTATCTCTGTGAAGGAAGCTCCTAATAACCCACAGCAAACTATTGTTGGCACCCATCTGTCTCAGGAGACGATGGAGGACTGTGAAGTGAAACCATGACAGTTAAGTTAAGGAGCCATGAAAATTAAGGTGGCAACCAAAATGATGCAGGCAGTGGATCAGCTCCCCTGTGGAGAAAGGTCACAACATTTGGGGCTTTTTAGTTTAGAGAAAAGGCTGGTTAAGAGATGGCATGATAGAGATGTATAAATAGTGGGTAGAGTAAAGTTCTTCTCCCTATTCTCATTACACTAAAACTCAGGGGCAGCAGGGAGGCTGAATGTTGGAAGATTAGGACAGAAAAGTAATTGTGCATTGTGTAAAGAAGTACATTTATGAAATCTGCCTCCTCAAGGAGGCAGTGTGGGCCGGATCCACCAGGCTCTTTTTAATGTTCTTACATGTATGGAATAAAAGTGACTATGGAGAGGTTTGGAGGGCTACACTTGACCCCCCTGGGCCTGAGGCTTGCCACCACTAAGCCGGGAGGAGAAAGGCGGCTTTAAAAAGTAGGTTCAGATCATAAGGACTTGAGAGGCATGTGGTTTCCCCCCTCCGCCACTCTCCAACTCTGCTTCTCCCTTAAAACAGGAAGCCAATGGGGAGGGCTGCCTGAAGTAGCCCTGAGGAAGTTTGAGGGGAGAGCAGCAACAATGAAAAAGAGGCCCTAAGCAAGGCTAACCCAAGCCAGTGTGCTGCCTGTCAAAATTGCACCCTAACATTGCTTCTCCATGCACAGGAGCCAACTGGATGGGCAGTTGAAGGGCTACAACTTTGGGTAAAGCTCAGGAGAGTAGACTAGCTTATGGGGTGTGCAGGGAAGTAAATATAGCTCTGTCCTCCCTCAAAGAATAGTTGGGGTTTCCAGAGGAGGTCTCCCTCTTCTCCACTGCCCACGGCAGTGTGTTTTAGGTGCTTGCCTTGCTCCACCTAATGGTAGGCTTGTCTTTAAAGGCTGCACTGAAAAGAATTCTGACTGCTCCCTCTTGCCATGAGAACATAGGAAGAGCCTGGCTGCTGGGTCATTTCAGTGGCCCATCTAGTCCACCATCCTCTTCTCACAGTGGCCACCCAGATGCCAGTGGGAAACCCTCAAGCGAGACCAGAGCACATGAGCCCTTTCTCTTCCTGCACTTTCCACCCCTGTGTGCAAAGTGTCATAAAGAAAACATCAGTATAAGGCAACTTCCTGTGTTCATTTTCAGGCACTATGGGCGGGGGAGAGATTCCACTCAGTCGGCAGTGAAAGCCAATCTCTCAAATCCACACTTTCCAAAATAATATCAGAACCGAAACACAGCCATCCTTCCAATTTCACACTTACCCAGATTTTGTGATGCAGTTCCCCAAATAGTGAATAATATAGCATACATTATTATTATTATTATTATTATTATACACTGCATTTTTCACAATGGGACTCAAAGCGGCTTACAGATAAAAATAGGAACCGATAAAAACACAGGGAAAAAACATTAAAAAAATAAACATTGATAGAATATAAAACTATACACATACATAGCGTTCATTATATTAGGTGGAAATTGCTTGCAAACATGTGCATTAGTCAGAACTGTGTACCAAAGTGTGTTTATTAGGAGAAATCTGCATGGAAATGCCATCCAATTTCCATTAGGATTTTTTTTAATTGCAAATTGCTGCACAAATGTGGAAAACTGAAGATTGGAAAAGTGAGAAGCATGGAGAACTGAAATTGTTAGACCTCCTCCATCTCTTTGCATGAGAAAACAAAACGGTATTGAAAACATCATCACATATAACCACCCCAATACTAAGCTGAGCTCAAATAGTAATGATTTGCACAATAAAAAGGACCCAGGGGTGGGGGAGACTCTTATGCAGGACACAGCAAGGAATTCCTTCAGCAGCATGTTGAGGTGGGCAGCTCTGGGGATGTGCTTTTTAAAATTATTATTGCAGTAAAAGAATGTGCACCCCACAGGCAGAAAAGGGATGACAGGGACTTGGCAAGCGTAAACTATAGAGGGAGCAGATGGCTGCAGGGCTGACCGCTCTGACACTGGCCAAATCTTGGGGGCTGAGCATTGTGCGTGGGTGAGAGGATAGATGGAAATGTCACATTAATAAGAGAGAGCCACTCACTTGCTTTCCCCAAAAAAGAGGATTGAAAGAAGGGAAACCGCTGTAGAAGTGAGTAAGCTAGATAAACAGAAAGAGGAGAGAAGGAATCAAGTTCTAAGAAAGCTACCCTGTCCTAAAACAGCCTTGCAAATCCACACACAAAGTTTCTAGTCCTGTTTATACTCATTCCCCTTCTGCTATTTATTTTGATGCATTGATCCTGTTTATATCCTGTCTTTCATTCATCATAAGAGCAGCCCTGCCTGGTTAAGTTTTTCGTTTATTTCATTTCATTGAATTAACTTAAGAAGAGGCTGGCTGCTGAATCAGGCCAAAGGCCCATCTAATCCAGCACCAACCAGAATGCCTTAATGGGAAGCCAGCCAGCAAGTAGGACTTGAGTGCAACAGCGCTCTGCCGGCTTGCGATCTCCAGAAACTGGTATACAGAGAGGCATGTTGCCCTGGCAGTGGAGGCAGAACACCCCTCACCCTTGACCATTGGCCCTATGGGCTGGGCTCAGTTGGGGAGTTTGTGTCCAGCTAATCTGAAGGGCTCATGAGGCCCTCAGTCTCTCAGCTGCTGTGCCAGCCCAGATCATTCAGATGCTTTCTGTTTTGGGTGTGTGTATGCCATTGCTGGGGAAGTATCCCCAGTGATTCAGAGTGTACTGCAGCCCACATCCTGGTGTGCTGCCATTTCGTGAGCTGGCCCTTAAGTTTCTCACAGTGGGCCAGAAGGGTCTTGCTTCTCCATTAGTCACAGCCTTGGAATCAAGCTGAAATATTGGAATCAAGCATGGCTCTCCTTCTCTGGCTTCTGCCTGCTTCTCACTCAATTCACACACACTCTACGTTGCTGTTATCTTTCCCACTGCCAGCCAGTTGTGGAAAGGGGACCGATGACAGTTCTGGGGGCTATTAACTCGCCAAGAAACTTGCCTGACTAGTTAAACAATGGAATCCTCCACTAGATTTCCCCCCCCCCCCAGGTGGAACTCACTGGAAACGAGTTCCGGCACCTCTGTGGTGCTTGGGGCTGGTTGCTGCCCCTTAAAAAGTCTCAACAATCAACAACTTTAGTTCCAGCACCTCGTTTTCTTTTTGAAAAAAAAAGCCCTGTCAGTTACCCTCTTATTAGAAGATCCATTCCTCACAATGTAGGAATAGGGCCTTATACTGTGGTGGCAACTACCCTTTCGAATTCCCTCCCTTTAAATATTAGACAGGTTGTTGTCTCTGTTGCCTTTTCAGCGCCTACTTAAGACGACCTTCCTTCTTTCCAACAAGCCTTTTAAAGCTGAGCTTTTTCCCAAGTCTGCACATGTATTGCAGTTATTTTTAAGAAATTATGTTTTAACAGTGTTGTATGTTTGCCACCCTGGGTTCCTTTTGGGGAAAGGGCAGGAAGTAAATTTAATAAGAAAAATAAGTACATAATAATAATGTTAGTTAGTTCGTTCGTTAGTTAACAAAATTTATATACCACTGGATTGTGGTCAAACCTTTAAGCAGTTTACAAGACTGCTTGTAAAAAAAGAAGTTTAAAACATTTAAAAATAAAATTAGCAGTAAAAGAGATTAAAACAGGTGAACATCTATGTGTCTGGACAGGCTCAGGGCTTTTTTTCAGCAGGAACTCACTGGAACTCAGTTCCTGCACCTCTCAGGTGGGTGCCATTGCCATTGTAAGAGAAAAAGGAAGGTGTTCATGGTGAGTTCTGGTACCTCGCCATGAAAAACAGCACTGGTTAGGGCGGCAAATTGCAAAAGTGTAAGCGCTGTGGGTTAAACCACTGAGCCTAGAACTTGCCGATCAGAAGGTCAGCGGTTCGAATCCCCTTGACGGGATGAGCTCCCGTTGCTCGGTCCCTGATCCTGCCAACCTAGCAGTTCGAAAGCACATCAAAGTGCAAGTAGATAAATACTGGCTCCAGCGGGAAGGTAAATGGCGTTTCCGTGCGCTGCTCTGGTTCGCCAGAAGCAGCTTAGTCATGCTGGCCACATGACCCAGAAGCTGTACGCCGGCTCCCTCGGCCAATAAAGCGAGATGAGCACCGCAACCCCAGAGTCGGTCATGACTGGACCTAATGGTCAGGGGTCCCTTTACCTTTAAGGCAAAGTGAACACGAAAATGCTGACTTTTTTGTGAAAACTTTTTTTTAATAAAATAAAATAAATGACAAGGTCATATGGTAACACAGCAAACTGAACATACGATTTTAAACAATGAGAAACTGCAATGCTCAGATTTTCCCACTCGTAGGCTCACCTGAGCTGTTTCTTCTGAAAGGTTCAGAGTTGGTTCAGAGTTCCTTCTGAAGGAGGGTAGGTTCATGACCTAGAAACAGCTACAATATTGGCTGCTACTTAGCACTCTAAATACAGGATATATTCCTTGCTGGATGGATGGTTGCGTAAGGTTTGGGAGGTTTTAATAAGAGCCAAATATAATTATATAAAATTGTGAGACAGGTGTGTGAAATTGGGTGTCATTTGGATTCCTTCCCTTTCATTCTGGAATGTGTTTGGATACCATCTGTATATGATAATTCAATCTCTTTATAAATACGTCTTTCCCCCTTCCCCTTTTACAGCTCCCCGCCCTAATTAGTTGTATTTGATATGCTTTGTAGTACAACAAAGCAAAATATTTAAATGCACTTTGGATGAATGCTGCTTTTCTGTTCACTATGCTTGTGCCATTTCTCAGGGGAAAGTCTTCCCCAAAGTGACTAATACAGTATAAAAGTTTTAGAACAAAAATCTTGTAGGATCAATCCATACCCAAAACTAAAAGGAGAGGATTAGCTAAAGCAGCATATTTGCCCTGTTCACATCATAAAAGCATGATCATAGAATCATAGGTTTGTAGAGTTGGAAGGGACCCTGAGGGTCATCTACTCCAACCCCCTCAAGGCAGGAATCCTGCCCACAGCCATCCCTGGGTAGAGTCAAACCATCAACCTTATGGTTAATAGCCAGACTCATTGACCCATGGTGCCATGTTGAAATATAAGAGCTTTTAAGGTCAGTTTAAAAGCTAAAAAGAAGGGACCAGATTTACATTCCTTCTTTGAGAGGTAGATCCACAGGAACAGGGGCCACCACCAAAAGGCCCTGTCCCAAATCTAATAGAGATTGATTATAAGAACCGGGGCAAGCTTGTATGTGTGCTGGTGGTCCTTCGGGGTATCTCCCTTTAAACTATAAAAACTATAAATGGCAAGAGTGCAGGGACCAAATGAGGCCCTGAAAGCCTATCTGGCCCTTGGGACTTTTCCCAGTTCACACCCTCACCCATAGGTGCTCCTGTCTGCCTGGAACCTCTGGCATCACTTACCAATGACATGTGGCCCCAGGAAGGCTGACCATGAGTGAATGTGGCCCTCCCCATCTCTGATCTATGACTTTAACATAAGTACTTCAAATTGCTCCAGCCTGGCAGACCTCAATGTTGTGAGGGGAAGAGCCGTAATTTTGTTTCTCCTTCATCCCTGCGCTCTTTGCCCATGTTAAGATTTTGTAATTGTTTTCGGAAACTTTGGTGTATGTTTCATCACGTGGATTCTGGCCACGCAATCAATAGTGCACTTTGGTTTACATAATTGTACTACAGGAGTACAATATATGTGTTAATGAGATTACTTGTGAAAAGTGGAGCTAACCTAGCAGGATACTTACGAAAAACATCCCCTACTCCAAAAAAAGAAACTATTCCCAAAAAATTCACAACATTGTAATCCTATGAACACTCACAGAATCTCGCTTGATGTGTGCTTGCTTTGATGAAGGCATGAAATAGCCTAGCGAATTACATATTTTGTAAGCAATTCAAAAAATACAAACTTCATGCACATCCCTACCCCTGACTATAGGCAATGTTGCCTGGGGTGGATGGGAATTGTAGTCCAAAACATTTGGAGCCCCCCAGTTGTGGAAGGCTGTGGTGTGGGCAGTACGCTTTCTAGATGGTCCAATTATCTTGCAGCTTTCTGTGTTCATCCAGAGGTTAGATTGGGGCGTAAATTTGATTCAGTCTGCATTTAAAGGAGAACCTACCTAAATCACACTTCCCAAAGAACGCACGTACTGAAACATGGCCATGCATCAAAGTTCAATATGCTCTTGATTCCCCCCCCCCCCCAGTGCAGTTCTCCAGCCAAGTAATTTATACGAACGTGCATATACTAGGGTAAAGTGTACTTTAAAATACATTAAGATGCTGGAGATTGAATGAACTACTGCAATTGCATTTCACCCTTGGCACTAGACAGATGGGCGATGGGTCGTTCGTTGGTCACCATGTGACCAAATGGCAGATCTTATTGCTTCCTATCAAGTGATTTTTCTCCCCCACCACACACTTATTCTCCTTCCTAAGATTTAAAATATATATATTCAAATGGTGTCTGCAGCATTCTGAACCTAAACGGAAACAGCGGGTTGAAGCAGGAAGTAAAACAGGAGAAGAAACATCCTACTTATAACCCCCATTCTTCAGTGTGTTGGCAAAAATTCTGCCGGCTTCTGAGGGTGTGTGTGTCTAAGTGCTCACAATTACGCTGCTCACCTTTCCCATCTTAGCAGACGGCTGAAAGGGAAGCGTTAGTTTCTAAAGCAGCACTAGGAAATCTGAAACCTTGGGGCCACATTTGGCCCTAAGCTTGTGACCCTATATGCATGCTGAAGCTCTTTACAAACAGATTTCTAGAGCTCCCACCCTGGTGAGTTTTAGTCCAAGGCACTTAGGACCAACCCTACTCTTTACTTCTAAATCCCAGGCATGCAGGGGCTGGTGATGGTTGTGCAGGGCCAAATACCCCCCGCCCCCCAAATGCTCAGGAGACCTGCAAGTATTCCACTCATTTCAGGGCAAATCTAAAATAGAATTCATGGCTTAAACAGAACCCTGTCTGTATCTTAATCCCATTTCTATTAAATCTCTTGAATGGCTTTTTAAGGGGGGGGGGTTGCATTCTGTCTGCCCAAGAGCTTGTGTCTATTTGGTTCACAGCCTCTCTGCCCTGCTCCACCCACTATGAAGTGCAGTAAGGCAAACTGTGGGGCTGATGTCTGGCACAGGAAAATCTGCGCTTTTATACTACCCGCTTGGTCTCTTTGTAGTATGAAGCAGAGGTGAACTCTGGCCAGATTAGACAAGTCTCTGGTTTTAAAGGTTGCTATTTGAAAAGCGACAGGAGATCATTTTAAGCAAAATGGCAAGTACATTTGTAGAATAATAGGGCCAAAGGGATTGTGAAGAACAAAATTGCATGGAGATTCCCCGCCCCCACCCTCCTGTGTTCTCTGTTGTGTTTCCTTAAGCACAAAACCTTCCCCATCTGAGAGATTACATTTCAGAATGGCAGAAATGCCAGGGATGGATTTGGTGCTTGTATGTGCTCAATGCCGCAAACACTAAATCTGCAATCCTCTTAAAAACAGCAGACTCCCTGTTGTCCCTTGTGCGAGAGAGATGTGATTGGAAAGGAATAAGATTGCGGATTTCGTCTAGGTTTCCTCCATTAATAGCTTTGCTGAAGGGTTCTGTGTAACTCAGAAAGCTTGCATAGTTCTACACGAGATATGGCTGCCATACTTTTTTCTCCCTCTCCCCCCGCCCCCACAATCTTTGGGGCTGGACTTAATCTATGGATTGCTACAAAGCTGAGCCAGCCCTTTCCATCTGCCTTTGCCCTTTGTTCACAGCTTATAGTTGATTTTAACCAAACAGTCTATAAATTGACTGACTGAATGAATGAATGACCACCACCATCACCCCAACATCTTTAATATCTCCCCATAGAGAACCATGGTAGACACTGTAGCACAGATGCTTGATAGACATGAGGCCTATTGGTTTCTTTGGGGAGGCAGTGGTAGGGGCTGGTGGATTCCGATGCTTCAAGGATGGAGCTTAGCAGATAAGCGTATGGGTTTAATAAAACCTCCCACCCACCCCCGGCTCTATCCACAGACGAGGTATTATTGGCCAACACCCCAATCTCTATGAGCGATGCAAGATTCCAGGGGTTCCAGGTACTTACCCAGAGTCTGTGTCCCCTTTTGGGAACGGGGCACAGCAGAGACTGTGGTGTTTTTATAATACACAGTTTATTTACACATATTGTGGTACCTCTGGTTAAGAACTTAATTCGTTCTGGAGGTCCGTTCTTAACTTGAAACTGTTCTTAACCTGAGGTACCACTTTAGCTAATGGGGCCTCCCGCTGCCGCCGCACGATTTCTGTTCTCATCCTGAGGTAAAGTTCTTAACCCGAGGTACTACTTCTGGGTCAGCCAAGTCTGTAACCTGAAGCATCTGCAACCTGAAGCGTCTGTAACCTGAGGTACCACTGTATATGCAAACTGAGCCTTTGATGGAGGGGTTCACAGTATCAACACCCCAAAAGAGTTTTGTTTCTCCCATAGCCCCAGCCTTGCATTTAGACAGGCATCCAACATTGTGCTCTGCTTCTGTGGCGTTCCAGCTTGCTGCTTTACTTCTAGGTCACATTACCGCCTCCAGCTTTTAGCTCACATAACAGCTAACTCAAACCTCTCTGCTGTAAACTCTGGCTTTATCTGTCTCACAAAAGCCCATTATCCTTTGTTCTCTTAATGGCCCAGAACTCAGTCACTCACCTCAACATAGGAAGCTAGCCTGGCTTCATTAGCTTTTAACATTTGCTGCATCCAGGGATTTGAGAGGTCTTGCAACCAGTTTTAACACCTCAAGCCTTCATTAAATTCTAACACTTTCTAGATCCAGGAATTTAGAGAGATCTAGACTAAGTACACGGGACGCGGGTGGCGCTGTGGGTTAAACCACAGAGCCTAGGACTTGCTGATCAGAAGGTCGGCGGTTCGAATCCCCGCGACGGGGTGAGCTCCCGTTGTTCGGTCCCAGCTTCTGCCAACCTAGCAGTTCCAAAGCACGTCAAAGTGCAAGTAGATAAATAGGTACTGCTCTGGTGGGAAGGTAAACGGCGTTTCCGTGTGCTGCTCTGGTTCGCCAGAAGCGGCTTAGTCATGCTGGCCACATGAGCTGGAAGCTGTACGCCGGCTCCCTCGGCCAATAAAGCGAGATGAGCACTGCAACCCCAGAGTCGGCCACGACTAGACCTAATGTTTAGGGGTCCCTTTACCTTTAATAGACCCTTGGACTCAAAACCACGAATTTTACAATCTTGCCTGTATCCTCTATACAGCATTGTGTTGATGGCCAATCCTCAACCAGACAAAATTCTGTTGCCTCTATTCAAGTTAAACAAACCCTGGAGGGGAAAAAACCACTCGGTGCCTAGAAAGAAAATTAGGATTATGATTAGCCTAGGATTTAGAAGGCTGGAAAACAGGATTATTATTATTATTATTACTAAATCACTTTTGCAGCCATCTTTATTTTTTAAGCATGCAAAATGCATTGGAAAGCAGGGAGGCGGGGAAGGAAGGTAACAGACAGTTGGGAAACGTGCAACTTTTTATGTGGGAGAAAGCTCTGTGGATGCACCTTCCCCTTAAAATCTTCATAGGAAAATATAATCACCCCCCCACTACTTTATGCAGAGCTTTCTGTGCTGTTACAACATCTGAGCCGCCACCCCATCAATTGCCACTCTCTTCTCTTTTTTTTTTAATGATATTTATTGAGAATTTTAAAGTTACAAAGAAAAAAGAAGGAAAAAACAAGAAAAAGAGAAAAAGAAAGAAAAAAGTAGATAAAAGTAACAATTAAACAATACAAATCAATAAAAACCAAAATCAAAAAGAAAAAACAAAACACACAACACATCACAATCAAAAAGCAAAAATAAACAAAAAATTTAAAAACAATTCCAATATTCCCAAATCCTTAACTTTCATTAACTTATTTCATCGACCTCCTCACACCTCCCTTTTTTTTATTCTAGTTGTTAATTATCTCAGCAAATCCTTTCCATCTTTCACAATATTCTGTCATTAAATTACCTTAATCTATTTTAACCTTATCTTACCATAAAAAACCCTAAAACTTAAAACTTAAATCTTATTTATACCGAATTCTTTTAACCATAACATATTCTTACATAATTCTTTTTAACATTTCTGCTAAAGCCAAATAATTTCATTCCAAAATTTTTCTAGTACTCATTAATTTTACGATACTTTTCTAAATAATTTTTTAAAACTTTCTTCCAATCTTCATCCATCGTCTCTTCTCCTGGTCTCGGGTTTTGTCAGTCCTTTCTATCCCATCCATCTAGTCCATCAACCTGGTGACCTTATATCCGAGGCTCTTAAGTCTTTTCCATGGCCCATTGCCACTCTCTTCCATTGCCACTCTCTTCTCATACCTATTTGTATGCCAGACAACCAAGGTGCCCCAGTTTAAAAAGGGACTCAAAGCACCACATTTAATGTGGAAGCAAAGGGTCAGGCATGAATGTGGGTATTGATTAAACCCTGCTCCATTCTGTCTTAGCTGATTTGTCCCTCTGACCCTAAATATTGCTCATATTAGCCTCCCCAAACCTGGTCCCCTCTAAGACATTGTTGAACTCAAAACTCCTATCAACTCCAGGCAGCAGATTGGGGATAATGGGAGTTGTAGTCTTACAGCCTTCCCTAACCTGGTGCCCTCTGATTCTGTTGGGCTCCCATTAGACCAGCGTTGTCAATGGCAAGGCATGATGGGAGTTGTCTGCCAGCAACATCCAGAGGACACCAGTTTCCACCATTCCCAGAGTTCCCTGTGAAGAGGGATTGGTTGTTAGACAACTCTGAGCCCCCTTAACAAACTACAGCTCCCAGAATTCTTGTGGGGAAGCCATGACAATTTAAAGTGGTATGATACTGTTTTAAATATATGGTGTGGATGTGGCCATACGTTGACTGGTTGTCCAGGGTGTCAGACAGAGAGGGATCTTGCTTCCTGCTCCTTTTAACTGGAGATGGTGGGGATGGAATGAACCTGGGAACTTTTGCTTGCAAAGGTAGGTTTTTCCCACCAAACTATGGCCATGCTCTCTTGCAAATCGGCCACTGGTGAATATAATAGCTGGTTTGAAAGAGATAAGGTCATAGGAAACACAGGAAATTGCCTTATACTGAGGCCAATGGTCCATTTAGTTCAGACTTGTCTATCCTGACCAGCAATGACTCTCCAGATTCTCAAATGGGAGCCTTTCCAAACCTTCCCAAGATATGCCAATTGGGATTAAACCTGTGATCTTCTGCATGCAAAGCAGATATTCTGCTACTGAATTGTTGTCCTTCATCTAAGTGTCAATAAGGCTCCAGTTCCCATGATTCGAACCTGGGACCTTCTGCATGCACAGCAGATGCTCCGCCACTGAGCTGCAGCCACCCTCAGGTGAGACTGAGTCAAGGACAACAGCTGGCAAGGGGTATGGGACGGACTCTGTGTGTGTATGCAGTGGGCTTTCTTGTCAGCCATAAAAAGGGCAATGAAGCCCCATTCCCTTCCTCCTGCTGAAATTTGTAGGCGGATTTAATTGCTTGCGAATGCCAGTATTAGCCACGTGCAAGGCGAGCGAGGGCCCCGGGGGGTTGTGCAAGTTTCCTCCCCATAGATGTATGTGCCAGAACGTTTCCTGTCAGCCTCGTACCATCTGCTTTTTACGCCTCCCCTTCCCTTCGGTTTCCTAAACAGTGCTCTACCGCGCACTCGTTTCCCCTCTTTCATTGCGAAAATCACACACAATGGGGGTGGGAGGTGGGTGATTTGCCATACTGGCTCAGAGTGATAAGCCTCAGCCTGTTCCGCAGGCCTCTTTTGACAGCACCAGGCAGAGAGGTGGAGTATAAATGTTTCTAATAAACCAAGTAATTAAAATAAGATTTAGTAGACTTCTTTTTCCTCCTTCCTGCATTCCTCCAGGAATCCCCACTGTTGTTTTTTATTTTTCTTTAAGTTGAGCATCCTAATCCTTTCCCCAATAATGAAGGACCAAGGCCCAAAACAGCCCTCAGTGCCAGCAATGGGGAACCTGTGGGGTCCTTGTTATTGCTCAACTCCAACTCCAATCGTCCCTGGCCATTTGCTACCATGCTGGCTTCCAGGAGTTGGAGACCAGAAACATCTGGATGGTCATAGCTGAGGTTCCCTATCGCTGCTGTCCACCTTGCAGTGCTTCTGTAATATCTATTGCAGGGCTTTGGAAACCTCCAGGTCCACCCATTTGGCCCTGTAGCCTATTCCACCCAAGCCATGCCCTTCTGTCCTATGTAAAATGCCAGGTGCAGTGGCAGACCTTAACGTCTCAAATTTCAGTGGTGCCCTGTGCAACGCCAATATCCAGCACCCCGTTGGATATTACAGTTGCAGCGCCCCAGAAGCTCCACACCCAGTGCAACCACACTGGTCATGCAACCCTAGATCTGCCTTTGCCAACTGCAGTCCAAGTAAAAAGTTGAAAGGGTGGCAATTCACCACCCACCAGCTTATCTGCAAAGCCCCGTGCCCAAGGTAACACTTTGGAAAGGGCTTCCAAAGGCCACCTGATAGCATTGCAATGCCAGGTAATGGGCCAGTCAGGTGGCTCTGCCTACCTGCTGAACTTGGCCGGTGATCGATTGGGGAGATAATCCCCTGTCCTTCCCAGGCCTTAATTTCTGCCTGAAAATAAATAAAACCAAACCAGATTATTATTATTATTATTATTATTATTATTATTAATAATAATAATAATAATCTCCTTTCCCCAAAAGGGTCTCTCACTGGGGATTGTGAGACAGACAGATGGGCACACATGATGTGACAGTGAGCAGACGTTTGCTTTCTTATGGTGATCTCTGATTCACCCCCCACTGGAGAAAGTTGGATGAGTACTTCCCCCCACTCCTCAAAAAAATCCTCCAGGCTTTTCTCAGTCCTGTGGTAACCCCAGACGTCAGCATCCCATATGCTAAGAATTGCCCCATAGCCCCTTTTCCTCTGTCAAGAGAGCCTGTGCTCAGTTAATCTTTTATGCATCCTGAGATGGTCAGGCTCCTTCTTACAGGACATTTGTGGTTTGACAAGACATGGCCTTCTGTGGGAGCAGAGAAACAGCAACACTCAGGATTTTGCGGGGGGGGGGGGGCAGGGCCATAGCTAGGGAGTGGTGAGGTGGGCCCCTGCCAAGGGTGCAGCTGAGGGGGGCACAAAATCAGCTAAAAATATGTAAAATTTTTGATTATTGCCTCATAAGAAAAGGTTTTTAACAGAGGGTGAATTGAATGGGTGAAGGGGGGTGGGTTGGAGGATAGGCGGAAAGAAGAGCTAATTTGTCCGTGGCTAGGAGGCGCAATCAGGACAGTTCTGCCAGGGGCGCAAGCTCACTTAGCTACGGCTCTGAGGGGGTGGGAACTTTCTGGACTACCTTTTGAAGACATTGGCAGGCATATCCTAAAGCAAAAGTGGCCGAGGAATCACAGCAAATTTTACTGCAGTACCGTTCGTTTGCTGGCTGGCTGGCTGGCTATTTATTTATTTATTTATGGCACTTAGATGCCAACTATTCTTTCAAGGAACTCAAGATACTGTGCATTTTATCCTCACAACAACCCTGTGAGGGAGGTTAGGCTGAGAGACAGTGGCTGGCCAAAGGTCACCCAGTGAGCTTCATAGCTGAGGGAGGATTTGAACCCCATTCTCCCAGGTACCTCAGTCCCAAGGCCCAAATGTGGCCCTGCAGGCCTCTCTATATGGCCCCTGAAGACTCTTCCCCAGGCCACTTCGCTCACTGGCCCTGCTTTGCATGCTTTTGCCTGGCTGGAATGTGCCCTTGAACACTGGATAAAAGCTTCTTGCTTGCCTGGATGGAGGACACAGAAGGGTGTGCTGCTCTGTGCATAGGGTGGGATTAAATACATTTTAATAAATAAATTTTAGAAATCAATTAATGCAGCCCATTAATTGATAAAATGCTGAAGTGCTACAGACTGGAATACGGTGGTACCTTGGGTTAAGAACTTAATTCGTTCTGGAGGTCCGTTCTTAACCTGAAACTGTTCTTAACCTGAGGTACCACTTTAGCTAATGGGGCCTCCCGCTGCCACCAGTTTCTCTCATCCTGAAGCAAAGTTCTTAACCTGAGGTACTATTTCTGGGTTAGCGGAGTCTGTAACCTGAAGCGTCTGTAACCTGAGGTACCACTATACAAGATTCGCAAGTCTTCCCTGCAGGAGAAACAACGTTCATCTTCTCCTTTCCTTTCCCTCTCAAATGTAGGTCAAGCTGGGAACTCCCAGATCTCCTCGAGGGCAAGATCCAAGCGATCAGCGACTCGGATGGGGTCAATTACCCCTGGTATGGGAACACCACAGAGACCTGTACCATCGTGGGGCCCACCAAGAAGGAAGGGAAGTTCAGCGTCAGCATGAACGATAACTTCTACCCAAGTGTCACCTGGGCTGTCCCAGTGAGTGACAGCAACGTGGCCAAGCTCACAAGCATCCACAGGGATCAGAGCTTTACTACTTGGCTGGTTGCCACCAACACAGCCACCAACGAGATGGTCATCCTTCAGACAATCCGGTGGCGGATGAAGCTGGGCATCGATGTGACCCCCAGCAAACCTTTGGGGCACCGTGCCAAGCTGAAGGAGCCCCATGCCCAGGAGCAGCCACAGATCCTAAGCAAGAACGAGCCAATACCACCTAGTGCCCTCGTGAAACCCAATGCCAACGACGCCCAGGTACTCATGTGGAGGCCTAAGGACGGGCGCCCTCTAGTGGTGATACCTCCAAAGCATCGGTAATGAGACCCCCTCTCTCTCTAAGTGTGTCCAGCCTCAAGGGGTGGATTGGGAGGGGTGGGGGCAAAGAGAGGAGGAGAAGGAGGAGGAAAAAAACCGCTTCATATTTAAGAAAACATATTTAAGCAAAAAAAACCAACCAGATGCACTTTTAAAACTCATTTGACAGAAAAGAGAAATAATAATAATAATGCAACCATTCTACCTTTTCCCGTCGGAACGGGTCTCACTGTGCTAGAGACGCTCAACAGGAAGGACGCTCCCCTCAAGAGCATGACGGGGTGTGTGTGTACGTTTGTCACCAGACATCGAGTTTCTAAGGGAGCGAACAAATCAATGTCCACACACTTGATTTCCAGCTTTGTAAAAGTTGCTTTTTTCCTTCCTTCAGTTGTTGTTTTCAAGTTCAATCTCATTAACTTAGCTTGGATCACCTGAGAGAGAGAAAAAACGAAAAGGTTTTTTTTAATATATATATTAAATGAGGGAGGTTTTATTTTTGAGATGGGAGGAGGAAGGGAGAAAATTAATTTTATTTAGTTGGGAAGGGGAGTAGATGCAGATGCAACAGAGTAGAAAAGAAAACAACAATTTGTTTATTTCTCCTCTCCCTGGATGATGATGATGATGATGATGGGTGGGTGGATTTTTTGTTCTTACAGAGATGATGTTCCAAATTGCAAACACAAGTCACGCGGCCTTATGTAGATTTTACTTTGCATTGCCAAACCTTTGCCTTAAGCTGCATTTTTTTAAAAAGCGGGTAAGCGGGGCGGGGCGGGGGATAAGAAAGCAAGCAAGCAAAGAAGGCTCCTTTTTTCTTACTAGATATTAGAGTGAGCGGGGGGTGGGGGAGATGTTTTGTTCTGGAATGAAAATGAATCATTGAGCTTGTATTGCAACCAGTTGCTAAAGGAGGTTGCCATCTTTCCCCCCTTGCTTTTGAAACAAACTAAAACTACACCAGCAGAGATTCTCTTGGGACAGAGAGGCGGTGAAGGAAACTGCACCTGCTTAATTTCCACCTGACTGCTGCTGTTAGTAGTGCAGGGACTCTAGTTGCTTCCACACTAGTCCTTCTTTCCCCCTAAAATTATCACCCTATGTTTACTCAGTTCTTACAAATTGCATTCCTGTGTTGCCTCCGATGTCAGTGCTACTAACATTTCAATGGGTCTACTCTTAGTAGAACACAGTTAGATACAACCCTCTGTGCATCTTTTTCAAATCTGATCTGTAGTGGGGTGGGGGGGGGGTCTCTATTTTTTTGGTAATTTTAGGGCTTGTAAAAAAGACTTTTCAGGGATGTGGGTGGCACTGTGGGTTAAACCACAGAGTCTAGAGCTTGCCGATCAGAAGGTCGTTGGTTCAAATCCCTGCGACGGAGTGAGCTCCCGTTGCTCGGTCCCTCCTAGGTACCGCTCCAGCGGGCGTTTCTGCGCACTGCTCTGGTTCGCCAGAAGCAGCTTAGTCATGCTGGCCACATGAGCTGGAAGCTGTACGCCGGCTCCCTCGGCCAATAAAGCGAGTTGAGCGCCGCAACCCCAGAGTCAGCCACGACTGCACCTAATGGTCAGGGGTCCCTTTATCTTTAAAAAGACTTTTCAGGGCTCCTCCTCTTAAATTACAAACTTCCTGTGTACAGATTCACCCCACTTTATTGCTTTCTGTTTAGTTCAATGGAGGGATATTAGCAGTCCCTTCACTGCCGAATATTGTCAGTTTCTGATCCTGTGAACAGAGGTGCTTTAAGTATACATTGCCTCCCATTTTAGCCCCTTTTTATTTGTATAGAGCAAAATAGACAGTACTATTTTTCTACATAAAAATGATAAGAAAATAATGAGAGGCAATCAGTCTTTAAAGCCTCCCTGCTCACAGGAACAGAAATTGGCAACGCAGGAGAACTGTATTCAAGAAAAAGTAATATAATGGGCTGAACCTGCCAGCAGTAAGCTTTTAATTAACAGTTGCGGGGATCTTTGTTTAATGAGTCTTTCTTCTGAACAAGCATCACAGAAGGTTCTTAGCCATGGGGAGTGGCATTGCTGATCTATTTAGTGTAATATTAAGTGCTGTGCAGAACCACCAGTTTAATTTTACTTTCTGCACAGTGTGGGAAAGAAATGCACCAGCAGCACTGAAAGCAACTAGTGTGGAAGCAACATTTGCTTGGGGGGAATTGTATTTTTCTATGTCACGGAGGGAAAAATCTGGTTTGAGCCCCCCCAAGTAATCCTCCCTAGCTTAGATGGGGATGCTGTGACCTGTGCAATTGCTGCGAATTGTCTGCCTTCCCTTCCAGAAGCAAGAATTTTAGCTCCAGAACGGGAAGCTGTGGCTCACAGCTTCTAGGATCAGGTGTGGGGAACCTTTGACCCTCCAGATGTTGCTGAACTGCAGCTTCCATCAGCCCCAACAAGCATGGCCAGTAGCTAGGGTTGATGGGAGTTGTAGTTCAGCAACAGCTGGAGGGCCAAAGGTTCCCCACACCTTTCTAGAAAGAAAACAGTGTACCAAGCAAGGATAGCAGGAAGTGATCTGGGTGATGTTTTACTCTGGATTCTTTACTTCCTTCTCCATATCCAACCCTCTTCCCTTTGGGAGGGTCTTCAGGGCAGCGAGAAACAGTTGTATCCAACTAACTCGGAGTAGACCCAATGGAATTAATGTACCTAAACTAGCTATGCCCATATTGAAAATAACTTAATTTAGGGGCAGAGCTGTAACTTACTAGGGAAACACATGCTTTGAACACAGAACCTTTTGCGTGCAGTCTGTGGTCTGGGTGCTTATTGTGATGGCAAAGACCTCTGAATGTAACTTTTAGGAGCTGCTGTTGGTCAGAGTAAGTCCTGGGCCTGATGGACCAATTGTTTTTATTAACATATATGAAATGTCCATTAATTGCAATGAGTCTACTCTGAGATACAGTCCATATGAAATATTTTAAGCGGTGGCAGGGGTGGGGAGGTGGAGGGGAAGAGACTCAGTTTTGAAAATGCACAGGCCCCAGGACAAAACTTCCATGACACACCGTTTCTTTCTGGTATTCACAGGAACAGGACTGTTTTCCCCTCTAATGATACGGGGCAGCCAGCGTTCAGCACGGATCACTTGGGATCGGGGCAATATAGGGGTCCCTTCTTCACCAAAGGGGGAACCCAGTGTGCCGTTTGGTTTAAAATTTAAAAAGAAAAGGAAGTGGGGAGGGGAGACCACATTTTCAACTCAACATGCAGGATTCTAAAATGCACACTTGTCTGTTTTTTTCTGAAAATAATAGTTCTCTAAGTAATGGTGTGTTTGCACTAGCAGATTACCATCAGATGCGCTTACCGCTGTTGCTGGATTTGACCCCTGCTGCTGCTGCTACTGCTGTAGAGTTTGCACTTGGCAAAGGGGTAGTTTGGTGTTAAATTATTGCTGGAAAAGCCTGCAAGTCACTCATCTGCTGTTTTTCCCCTGCAGGGCATGAAAGAGATGGTGCAAAACAAAATAAAAACAAACCATCCAACCACCCCAAAATGCATGATTAAGAGTTTACCTGCAGAAATATTTGGCTAGTGATTCCTTTTGAAAATATACATGTTCCCTCCACCACCCAACATATGGGGGTATAGCCATAGTTACTGCCCTCCGTTTTCAGAACAGGGGTAAAACAGGAGTTGTTTACTCCTGATGGAAGCCATTTCTTTTCCAAAACAGGACAGAAGTGACACACTTTTATTGTTTCAGTTAGAAGTGGGAGTTTACCATTGCTGCTTAAAATTTCAACAACCAGCTATATATATATGAGATATGGATACTTGTCTTGAGAAACCACACATTCAGAATCTAGGGTGTGGGTGTATTAACCTAATCCATCCAAACAATTCATATTTGGCGGCAGTTGGCCCTAAAGCTTGTTTTTGATCAGCCAAATCCCTCGCTCCTGTATGATCCGTAATCAAGCCAAGGAAATTAGACAGCTGCTACTTTTGAAGGTCACAGCTATATAGCACCAAACGAGTGTGCAATATGCTACTCAGAATGCACCAGTCACTGTGCCTGCATGAAAATGCTTACAATTACTTACAAAATGCCCAGATCAAGAGTCCTGAACATCTCAAGGCATGGGCTGATTCTCAGGCAAGGGTAATATACTCACAGAGTTATTAAAATAACAAAGCACCACTACAGTTCCCAGGATCCTTTGGGGGAAGGGGAGCCACAACTGTTAAAAGTGGTAAGAGTGCTTCAGTTGCACAGTGTGGATAAGCGCAAGCAGTGGAGGCTGGTCTGTTAGGCAATTGGGGCACTCCCACACCAGTCAATGCCCACTGTCACTGCCCTGCCTTCTTGCCTACAACCAGCCCAAGGGGTAGACTTGGCTGTTGGCTTCCTCCTCCTGTTGCCCTTGTAGAACTCAGCAAGGAGATGGATGGGGCGGGGCATCATAATTAATTGGCTCCACCTCTCATTGGTTCTGGACTGTGGCTCTACCTACTGTATGGGCTCACAGCCTTCTGCCCCACCAGCTCAGGCTATGAGAAGATGTTGCTTCAGCAAGCATCAAACTGAGATAGAACAGCATCATCTCCCTCCCTCCTGCTAGTTCTTCCCACAGTGAGCGGTGCCTTTTGAGTTAAAGGGCCACAGCACACCCCATCAGTCTTGGTGCTGCCAGCAGAGCAGGGGAGACTCTGGTCTCACTGGGGCCTCTGTGACGAGGTCTTTTAAGCCCAAGGATGGCACCATTATATCTTCAGGCTGGGGCACAGGCATTAGTAGGTTGTCTGGCAGACATGCTTCTTGGTCTTCTCTGTCCTTTCCCTTCTGCTTTGGAGTCCTCACCCTCATATCCCCGAGGACAAGGAATCTGATGCCAGGGTCACAGAATCATAGAACAGCTGGAAAGGACCCTGAGGTCCACCCCCCTGCAATGCAGGAATTTCAACCAAAGCATCCATGGCAGATGGCCAGCTAACCTCCACTTAAAAACCTCCAAGGAAGGAGAGTCCAGCGCCTCTCATGGGAGTCTGTTCTACTGCAGAATGGCTCTTATTGTCAGAAAGTTCCTCCTGATGTTTAGTCGGAATCTCCTCATAACTTGAATCCATTGGTTCGGGTCCTACCCTCCAGAGCTGAAGAAAACAAGTTTGCTCCCACTTTCATGGGAAAGCCCTTTAGATATTTGAAGGTGGCTCCCTGATATCTCCATGATCATACCTCCTCTCATCCTCCTCTTATCTGGGCTAAACATGCCCAACTGTTTCTCAAACGGCTTGGTTTCCAGACCCTCAGTTGTGACACTGAACAGCTTTCCCTATGAAAGTGATTGAGAATACTTGGAAATAACAGCTGCATCTTAGGAAGCTGCCTTCTACTGAGTTGGACCATTGATCCATCTAGCTCAGTACTGTCTACACTGACTGGCAGCAACTCTTCATTGCCCCAGGCAGGGAACTTTCCCCAGCCGTCACCTGGAGATGTCATTGGGGATTGAACCTGGGACCTTCTGCATGCAAAGCACATGCTCTGGCACTGAGCTACAGCCCTTTAAAAAAAATTCAGAGAGGAGGCTGCTGCTTTTGTCTTGCTGAAGGGCTTCCCAGTCCTTTCTGTTTCTATGGGGGATGTCAAGAAAGCAGACTCCCTCCCTGTTAAAGCCTTCTTATTCAGCTGTTTTCCTCAACCCTGCTGCTTTAAGCGGGGAGGGGGAGGAGCTGTCACGGACAGGCTTGATCCAACACAAAACGGGTTGTGTCTGACAATGACTGGCTGGACTGAGTTGCTGCCCTCAAGATGAATAGAACCACTGGTGAACGGGTTCAGAAGGTGGGGTGTTGGGGGTGTGGGGGTAAGAGGGTTGTGTGAGATATGGGAGCTGATACTAATGTCCAGTGCTATCTTTCTAGAAAAAAGGTGCCAGAACTCACCATGAACACCTCCCTTGTTCTCTTATAATGGAAATGGTGCCCACCTGAGGTGCTGGAACTGAGTTCCAGTGAGTTCTGGCTGGGGGGGGGGAAGCCCTGCTAATGCTGAAAGGAGCTTCTCTAGATTCACATTAAGGGCAGGCAGGTCAGGTGTTATTTCATTAAACAGAGACTGGCTGGATCAAATCAAGAAGTTGCATGTAGTCCAGCATCATCGTGAGTCCCAACAGTGGCCAACCAGAGACTCCAGGAAGACGAGATACAAAGCTGTAGGACAATTCCCACTGCTGTTCCTCTTCTCCCTGCCCAGTGTCTGTTATCTGGACATTGATCAAAGCAGACCTTAAACGAATCAAGCACAGCAAACCCTGGGGGCCTTGTGCTGTGCACTCCCCTTTGCTGTCGATCACAGAGACCTGCAGCATTCATTGCATGGAGACAGGTTAACAGGTGACTAAATTACTCATACAAAGAGAGAAAAAGAGATAGGGAGATTGGACTGTCGTGGCCTAGGGTTGTTACTCATCTTTCTACATGTCCCTCTTCAGAATGCCTAAACCTTTAGCACTGTGGCTGGCCTGCCTTCGTCCTTTCTCACGCTTCCCTGCTTTGAGCCATTTTCAACATAAAATGAGAACACACTTAACTGTTGGGCTTGGGTGGGTCAACGTTGCCTCACTGTTGCCCAATGTACAGCATTCATGTGAATACAGCTTCTGCTTAAAGGCGGTGTGTGTGTGTATTGTGAACCTCCGGATGTTCCTAAGACACACAACTCCCATAATTCCTATTGGTCCTGCTGGCTGAGGTTGATGGGAATTGGAGTCCAACAACATCAGGAGAGCCACAGAAATCCCCTACCCTTGATCTAAGAACGCGAAACATTCTCCTTTTTCACAAGTGAATGCCTCTTCTAAACAGGCATTTGCCCATCTCTTGCATGCTGTGAGGGTTGCTCCTTAGATCAGGGAACAGTGAGGGCGGGACTGTACTCCTGATGTTTTCAGACTACAACTCCCATCCTCCAGCAACATCTGGAGCAGCACAGATTGAATTCAATGAAGCAAACATCACTTCTCTGCAATAGTCACTTTCACCTTGTAAAGTTGGGGTGGCAATAGTCTGCTCTAATGCAGGACCAGAGTAGGAACACTGAGGTGAAACAGTGGCTGAAATTGCATTTACTCAAACTGTTTTCAAACCCCGGGCAGGGTAACATGGTAGGAGACAGGCCTCATCCATACTTGTAAGCATAATTACACACACCTCTCTCTCTCTTGCACTACTACACTGTGATCGAAGCCTTTGATTTGTGGCTGCCAGCTGTTAAATGCACCAGTTAGTACGGTACCTGTCCACACGCAAAAAAGACCAAGGGAATAACTTTGGGAGCAGGTCTTGGCTTTGAATAAAAAGGTAGAAGGCCCATCTTGCCTGTAAGGGGAGGGGGCAGGTTACCATAACCCCATTCAAAGTTGTGCCTGGATTTGTGTTGCAGCAATAAGAACTGTCCCTTGGTCTTTGCAAAAATACTGTGAAAATGTCTTGTGGGGGTGGGGAAATGTACCAAGTCTGGACACTAAAAAAAGAAGAGGTATTTAAGAAGATATAAAAGCAACACATTTGCTTTACAAAAAAACAACAAAATAAAGAATTTTCAAAAAGAACCTTTTGACGTCTGGTTTTATGGTGTGTTTATTATTACAGGAGTAAACAACTGTACATGTCAGATTGGGCTGCAGTGTGAGACCTAGAACAAGCCGTCTGGAGTTTATTTGTCTAGACTCATTTGTACCCTCCTAAAAAAAACTCCCTAGGGTGGCTTACAATACATGCCATCAGTAAAAAATGAGACAGGTCCTGCTTGCAGGTTTACAGTCTAAAAGACATGAACACATGGGGGGAAAGGGACGAGGGGGTGGGGACTTGGATGCCAATTCTTAAATTTTACTTAAAATGCCCGGCAGGAATGAAAATAATGCAGGGATAGAAGGCACTTCCATTCAAAGCTGCAGAGTCCCCTGGGGATTGATGGGGAAACCCCTCTGAGAATGGCAGCTCTGTAAGAGGAATGGGGGTTTACTAGCAACTCTCAGCACAACAAACTACCGCTCCCAGGATTCTTTGGGGGAAGCCAGGGCTGTTTAAAGTACAGGTGGCGGCCATTTTAGGCACCTCCAATTGACGTGTGGTTGCTACCCAAGGAAGGCAAAACAAGGGTTGAACTGGGGCGAGATGTAAAGGGCCAGGGTCTCGGAAAGGAACTCCCAGACGAAATGGCCGGCTGTAGTAAAATACTGCTCTACATGTATAATGTGGGTGAGGCTTAGTCAAGCCCACAAATGAGTGGGGACACCTTGTCAGGGCTCCCCCTTCTCCAACCTCTTGGAAGGAGGAGGCTCATGCTTTTAAAATGTAATAAACAAAAATCTTCCCTTATGGGGGACACAAGAGTCCTTATAGAGTCCTTACGTAGGTTCCCTACTGGTAGGAGAAAAAAACAGAGGCCCACCAGAGAATACAGTGGTACCTCAGGTTACATACGCTTCAGGTTACATACGCTTCAGGTTACAGACTCCGCTAACCCAGAAATATTACCTCGGGTTAAGAACTTTGCTTCAGGATGAGAACAGAAATTGTGCTCCGGCGGCACGGCAGCAGTAGGAGGCCCCATTAGCTAAAGTGGTGCTTCAGGTGAAGAACAGTTTCAGGTTAAGAACGGACCTCCGGAACAAAGTACTTAACCTGAGGTACAACTGTATTGAGAAGCAAAGCAGCTGGTAAGCCTGATCTCTATTGCACTGTTGCAAGAGGGTGCCCCCTTCACACGCAGGAAAAGGAGGAGGACCCAGAACCAAGGTGTGTCCGCCCTTATATAGACATTTTAAATTCCCTGCCCTGGAGCTCCAGACCACCCCTCCGTACATCATACATACATCACAGAAGAGGTATAACCCAAGACCACCCCCCACAAACATCATACCTATATCACAGAAAACGTGGTCTACAACAGAAATTTGAATGTTGTTCTTTCTGTCTGCCAGGTTATCTGATAATGCCTTATCTGATCGCCTTTCCTGGTAGTCTGCCCATTCCTTTGAGATGGTGATTACCCTCTTCCTGAGATAATGGGGAGGCTCCCCCACCCCCTCCCTCCTTGCAGAGAAAACATTTGGTCAGTTTGGGAGTCAAATGGTTTCAGGGCGGTCCTCCTGTGCTGCTCCAGACATGTGGTCCACACATCTATGCATGCGCTTGGTTGGTACATTTATGAACATTGATGTCATACACACACACACACACACACACACGACATTATTTTTTTTATTTCAAAAGCTTCCAGTACCAAAAGGGCTATTTGTTTCCCTCAGCTGGGCCACCGTTGCCCTACCCACTTCCTCTTCATGTGCCTTTCCAGGCTCGCAGGAAGTGTTATGTGCTTGTGTAGCTGCTAGTGTGGTTAGTGCTCCTTTTCTACACAGCAATTGCAAGTAAGGGTGTAACCTTCCCCCATCACAGCTGTTTTGGTTGTGATGGAAACAGGGAGGGGAGTGTGGGGAGAGAGTGCAAAACAAGAAAGACTTATGGGGAAGAACTTTCTGACAGAGCTGTTTGAAAGTGGAACAGACTCCTCTGAGGTGGTGGACCCTGCTTTGTTGGAGGTTTTTAAGCAGAGGTTGTCAGGGATTCTATAGCAGTCATTTCAGCATTGCAGGGGGTTGGACTAGATGATGCTTGTGGTCCCTTTCTAACTACAATCCTATCATTCTATGAAATTCGTGTCCTTTTTTTTGGCAATGCAATGTGCAGCTGGCCATTGTGGTGCCATATAGATAGATGTATGTATGGACATGTGAGCTTCACCTGTGGGATTTCAGCATGGGATCTGATTCCATAATCGCCAAAGAAATTGCTGACAGTTCTGCACAGGCTTACTGCTGGCATGACAGCACAGTGTGTGGAATCTCTGGGCCGAAGGTCCTTGTCTGAGGGAGCGTCTATTTATAACTCCACGATGAGGGTGGGTGGCACACAAGAAATGGGTGACTGGCGTTACATCACGCCTTCCCCTCTTAGCAACTGTTGACAGCTGCTTGATAGCAATGGCTCCTGATAAACGTTGACTCCAGAGCTTCCTGGGAAGGAGAATAAAAGCTAAACATGAATCATTACTGCCTCTTTCCCTCTCCCCTAGAAAATGCTTCCACCTCCCTTCTTGTTCATCTTCTAAAAAAACTTTTCACTTCTGTAAGCAAAACAAGCAAAATGAAGGCAGGGTGGGAGAAAAATGAGCCTCTGACATTTGCAAGTCATGCATTAGCAAAATTAGAGTTGTGCACAGAGCTGTGGCTTCCCCCAAAGAATTATGGTAACTGTAGTTTGTTAAGGGTTTCTGAAGGTTGTTAGGATACCCCTTAGGTAAAGTAAAGGTAAAGGGACCCCGACCATTAGGTCCAGTTGTGACCGACTCTGGAGTTGTGGCGCTCATCTCGCTTTATTGGCCGAGGGAGCCAGTATTTGTCCTCAGACAGCTTCCGGGTCATGTGGCCAGCATGACTAAGCTGCTTCTGGTGAACCAGAGCAGTGAACGGAAACGCCGTTTACCTTCCCGCTGGAGCGGTACCTATTTATCTACTTGCACTTCATGCTTTCGAACTGCTAGGTTGGCAGGAGCTGGGAACAAACAACGGGAGCTCACCCCATCGCGGGGATTCGAATCGCCGATGTTCTGATCGGCAAGTCCTAGGCTCTGTGGTTTAACCCACAGCGCCACCTGCATCCCTAGGATACCCCTTACAGAGCTACAATTTCCGTAATTCCCTGCGAAGCGGTATTTATTGTTAAACCACTTTGGGAATTATAGCAATGGGAGGGGGGAGGGGGTCTGCTAACAAAGTCGTTGCACCCTTAACAGACTACAGTTCCCATGATTCTTTGGAAGAAACCACACCTAGTTAAAGTGGTATGATATACAGTACAGCGGTACCTCGGGTTAAGTACTTAATTCATTCCGGAGGTCCGTTCTTAACCTGAAACTGTTCTTAACCTGAAGCACCACTTTAGCTAATGGGGCCTCCTGCTGCTGCTGCGCCGCCGGAGCACGATTTCTGTTCTCATCCTGAAGCAAAGTTCTTAACCCGAGGTACTGTTTCTGGGTTAGCGGAGTCTGTAACCTGAAGCGTCTGTAACCTGAAGCGTATGTAACCCGAGGTACCACTGTACAGGCAACTCTCATTTTAGATGTGACCAATATGTGCGCAATTGCACACACAAACACACCCAGCACCAAGGCCAGAAGTATCCTGGAAACGTCACTAAAAGGGCAGAGTGGAGGGGGGACGGGGGTATAAAAGGGTGTTTTCAGGTTTTTTCAGTGGGTTCTCAATTTCACACAAGTGTGCAATGACATGGAACACAACCCCCGCACAAACAGGGAGTTGCCTGTAGTTTTAAATGTACAGGATTGTATCCAATGTTATTCCAACTCAGAGCAGACCCATTGAAAAATGTTCTGCCTTATTTGCGGGCAGAAAAATTAAAGAGGACATCTCATCAAATTTATGCATAGGGTGGAGAAATTTCAACCCACGTTCTGGGGAGTGAGGCTTCTGTATCTGTTTTTCTAATGGGTTCATCTCACCTGAGGGTTTTTTTCAGCCAGAAGTCACCAGAACTCAGTTCCGACACCTCTCAGGTGAATGCCATTGCCACTCTAAGAGAAAATTATAGGAATATTATAGGAAAAAAGCACTGACCCCACCCTATTCATTTCTGAAATGGCCACAATTTTGCAGTCTCAACAATGCCCTGGTCTTAATGGTAGCTTAAAAGGAAATACAGAACAGACCTAGAGTGTAAAATACTTTTTATTTTTAAAAACCAAGTCATAATGGCCTACAGCAGCAAGCGACTTTTGTCAGCTTGGTGCCCTCCATATTTTTTTGCTGTGTATCATTCTGGAGCTAATATGAAATGAAAATAGAAGGGACTTGATGGCTATCACAGAAAAATGGAAGGGATGAAATGATGGTCACCACAAAAAAGAAAAAGGGAAGATGGAACCCACCAAAAAGGACACCACCAAAAGAAAAAGAAAATGGCAGCCAGAACAAAAGACACCATAAAAAGCATGTAGGAAAAATGGTGACCAGCACAGATAAAAGGGGGATGGGAAACACAAACACACAAGCACACACACACACACACACACACACAGAGGGGGGAGATCCAGAGAACATGCTATAAAGTGGCTTTTTCTTTTAGCAGGGATGGGTTGAAAAAAATAAATACCAAAGCTCTTGCAGAAACAGTGCTTTAAACAGGGAGAAAGTGGAACCATTAAAAAGAAGCCAAACCCTGTAATACTTGGAAACCCTGGAAACTTTATAACTGTCCTGAGGGCTACTTTCACCTTTGGCTAAGGAGATGCCGACAGTAGGTGCCTCTGCTGACCAGCATTGAGGTTCACAGCAGCTTACATAGCAATCTTCTGGCAGACAGTGTTTCATCTAGAAATTCTGGGGGTTGACTGGCCCAGGACCAAATGCATGCAAACCCTGAACATTGGTTAGAATATTGTGCCCATTTCTTGTTGCGTACCAAATATGCTAACTGGATGCTTGCTTTATCCCCCACCTCGCCACGCCCTCAACCCAGAGCACCTGTTTGCCAAAAACTGGACACTAGCCAGCCAGACTGACTACAGAGCAGCTGTCCAATAGGAATGCCTTTTGGAGACATCCAGCCTCCGCTACATTTGAAGCTATAAAAGCCAGAAACTCTATCCTCAATTGCCAGGCTGCCACCAACATTGCTGTGTAGTTTTTTAAAAATGCAGTTCCGGACCTATAGCTCAAGGCATATTACAGCACAACTGGGAAACACAAAGAATTAAAATTAGCTGCCTTATACTGAGTCAGACCATTAGGTCCCTCTAGCTCCAGACTGTCTTCACTGACTGGCAGCAGCTCTCCAGGGTTTCAATCAGGGTAAGTTCCCAGCCTTACCTGGAGATTCCAGGGATTGAACGTGGGACCTTCTGTGTGCAAAGCAGATACGTCACCACTGAGCCACGGTCCTGTCCTCTAAAAACAATAAAGATTTTAGTCCTTGTGGCTCAGAAAAAAGCCGATTTAAGCAGGAAGCTACTTTCAGACAAATCAGGTGCATCTGGCACAGTATTGCTTGGCAGGGTTTCAGGCAGAGGGGCATTCCTAGCACTACTTGCAGTTGTCAGTGATTGAACCTGTAACCCATTATTTTTTATTATTATTAATTCAATTTATATACCGCCCTATACCTGGAGGTCTCAGGGTGGTTTACAGAACAAAATCAAAATATAAAACCACAAAATATATACCCACCCCCCAAAACCCCCACATTTTAAAAGGGCATAGGCTGCCACCTGGACCAGGTGGAGATAGGCAGGAGCAGGGCCCTCAGGCTCTCAGCAGGGTGCAAAGCAGATCCTCTAACGCTGAATACGGCCATTACCTTTCAATTTGCCTTTGTTTAATTGTTGGGAGTGATTTGATTAGTTGCAACTCAATCAGAGATCAACCAGAGAAGGAAGGTGGTAGCAGGTGACTCTCTACAGAGAGGGGACAGAGGCAGCAGTGTGTGGAGGAATGCCTTTTGGTTTCACTTGTCTCTACATCAATGCACAGAGCATGGGAAACAAGCAAGAAGAACTTGAACGCATTTCGGAATGGTAAATATGACCCTAAAAGGTATTACTGAATCTTGGTGGGGTGAGGCTCATGACTGGAATGTAGAATTTGAGGGGTACAACATGCTTAAAATGAACAGGTCAAAAAGGAAGGGAGGAGTAGCATTATATGCAAATGTTGGTTACACTTGTGAAGAGATCCATGACTTGGAGCATGGAAGGGAGATTGAGAGTATGTGGGTAAAAATTGTAGGATATAGACACAACAGGGACCTTACTGTGGGAGTCTGCTATAGACTGCCAAGCCAGACTGAAGATGCCGAATATTTACAGGGAGAGCGTTCCAAAGGGCAGGTGCCACTAAAGTTCCGATTCCTACATTGAGCAGAACAGATGGTATCTGTGGGAGACCCTCACCTGCAGAGTGCAATGATCAACTAGGTATATAAGGGGCAAGATGATACATCAGGCATCTTGATCACAAGCTGCACCTAAACCAGCACCTTGAACTTAGCTCAGTAGCTCATTGCCATCTTTGGCACATCCTTCTACAATTTAACTATTGTACAGCACCTGTGGTTTTTAGGTTTTAAACAAATATGTGAAATGATTCCCTCCTCCCTTAGGGTATGCTTTCTGGCATTGTTGGGTGCAAAGCATCAACTTCCCATCATTTCTCACATTCGTTTACAATTAACTCAAACAGCTTTAACCCGCCAGCCAGTGCGAGTGGCATGCTTGGCATCTGAAAGAGTACAGCTGACAAGAGACCTTTTTCTAGGTTGCAGCACAGGCCAATGCGTTGGACGATCAATGCAAAGAATTTTGAGGTCAACAACTTGCGATGAGCCAACTTCTATTTATAACCAAGGGGGTGGGGGTGAAGTATAATAAGGCCTAGTGATTTTATAAATGTAACAATGTGTGTGTGTGTGTGTGTGTGTGTGTGAGAGAGAGAGAGAGAGAGAGAGAGAGAGCATATAACCACCTGCTCTAGCTCGTCTTCATGTTTCCAGCGGCTTTTGTCCAAAGCTGAAAAAGGCACCAGTTCCATATTTCTGAATTTCTTTAAACTATTCCTTAAGTTCAGTTAAAAAAAAAAAAAAAGGGCAAGGGAAAGCAGGGGAAAGGATAAAGTTGGAAGTGGACAGAGTTATTTTCTTTGATCAGGGCATGATGGAAACCCCCCTACTTGTATCATTGTTAAGATGAGTTACAGGAAACGTCATTCAGCGGCAGTGGAATCATATGCAAATTTACTTTTTCTAATTGTTCATTTTTTAAAGGTGTGAATTCTCTATTAAACTCTTTTGAAGATGCAAATGAAAAATGAAACAACCAATACCAATGTCTAGGGGTGAAACATTAACATAAAAGGCTTAAGTCAGCTCAACAACTATACATACTGGTAATTTTAATACTTGCTTTATCCTTTATATTTTCTTTGCAGCCTTTTTCTTTACATGCTGTTGAGGGGTAAAGTTAACTTAAAAGGTCCCACAAGTTGACTTCCATGTAAGCGGGGCTCGTTATCAGGTTAGATGGAGCTAGATAGAAACAGATTTAAGATTAAACCAAGGGTGTTTGGGTTAATATTTATAGCTGAAAGAGAACTTTTAACATATCATGTAGGATACTTCCAGACGATGTGTTTATTGAACATCGGCTCTGGTTGCACATAGCTTGCAGGCAGGTTTGACAGTGTTGGCTGTTTATTAAGTACTCATTCCAATTTGTTTGCAGGGTTATATGACATTATGTAAAGCAATTGTTATGCCATACTTTCCAGTGCATTTTCTTTGCTTTCTTTATTGCAAAGTCAGCAAGGAACTGGTTTGTTGCACAAGAGCATCACATCAACTTCCATTGCACAGCACAGATTTGCTGGTACATGATTGAATCCCACTTGAAAACAGAAACATTTTGGAAGAGGACCTCATTTGGAAGAGGACTCTCATGCCAGTGGATCCTCATGTATATGGTTTTCATGTGGGGAAAGAACAACGGGTGAAAGGACTCTTTGGGACTTGTGAAGTTTTGGTGTGTGTTTTTATATGCAGGAGAGCCACAGGTTCAGCACCTGTTACACAAGTTGCAGAATGGAGCTTTCTATGTAATACTGGTGTAACTGTTCTGCATCCCTGCTCCTCCTCCTTCTCTCTCTCTCATCTTAGAAGTCTATTGCTGCTCAGAGTGCCTGTTGCTCCCATCTATGAATACCATCCTATTAACAGCACACAAAGTCATCCGTCCCTTGGCTTTCCTGGCCGATAAGTTTTTTAAAAACACAACCTTTGGAGCAGTTCAAATGTTCATAAACATTCTGCAATCCCTCAGTGGCAGCAGAACCAGAGATTAAGAAGGGCTAATTTCATTCAAATGAAGCCAGGGCTGTCTCAGTCAACAGCTACTGAAGATTAAACTTTGCTGGTTGTATTTACTTAAATCCCATCCCCCTCTTTTTTTGGTTTCCCCTAATGGAGTGTGAGTGTGTGTGTGTGTGTGTGTGCGCGCACCCACAAAAACTGCTATTTTTATTGCAAAGCAAACAAGTTTCATTCAGTACTTCCTTTTTCTTTCTGTGACCACAGATTTTCTTAGCTGATTATCCAACAACTGGCCATGACTTCACTAGTAGATACCAAGATAAGGAGCTGATGCTGGGCGACAGGTGCGCATAACAAACATAGAAAGATCAGCTACTACCACAATAAAGCTAAAGGGGGGGGGGACACCAATAGAGAATAGCAGCCTCCTTAAATATAGCATGGTGAGAACGAGGCAATAAAACCAGACACCGCTCAAGAACTATTTATGTTAATTCACAAGTTGCAATTCCTGTAATTAATGCTATTTCTAGAAGAGGAAAGAATGCAGAGAAGAGCTTCCACGACGCCACAAAAGGAAGCCTGTGAGCACATGCACAGATTTTGTGGAAACTACTGTTCCCAATGAATTGTGCACAATTATTTTAAAGAGAAAATGGGTCCTGGTCTCCATGATTTTGGAAAAACCCAGGAACAGGGACCATTTCTGCTATATTCTGCCTCTACTGTTGGGAAGCAATATGCCTCTGAGTATCAGTGGCTGGGAATCACAAGTTGGTGAGGCAAGACAGTGACCGCCATAGGCTCAGCAAGCTCCTAGGGGAGAAAACAAAACGTCCCAGGGAATCTCAATTCCGAGACTGACTCAGCGGGGCTTAGAAACCCCGGAGAGCCGTGCCACAGGGCTTGCCCCTGTCCTGCAGTGGGGCAGACACTGCACAGACCTCTTCCCCCTCCTTACCTTCTCGTCCTGATTGTGAGTGCGGAATCAGTGAGTTGCAGACGTTGGGGGGGGGGGGGAGCACGAAGGGAGGGAAAATGGCAGTGCCCAGGAGTGAAGGCTGACCAACCTCATCTCATGGAGGGCTTCTCCCAGAAGATGCTGCCCACACCTCGGCCCCCAAGTCCAGCAGGACTCCCAGTGCAGTTTAGGCCACCCACAAATTTGTCCATTTTTGCCACTAAAGGGGAGCCTCTGCCGGACACGTGGAGGGTGCACTAGAAAGAACACCCCCCCCCCCATCTGGTTCCCCTCAGCTGCGGGGTGGGCAACAGAAACACACACATATATCAAATATATAAACAATTTTTCTCTTCTTGAAAAATTGTATTTTTGTTTTCTGCTCCCTCCACACCACCGGCAGAGCCAGGGAAGTTGGGAAAGACACTCTGATGAGGGGGCTGGAACCGCAGGCCAGGAAAAGCCGCTAACCAGCCGGCTATTCCACCCCACCCCCCATAAAACCCCCCACTAAAATCAAACAAAATCACATACATTTAGCCTCCCCCTCTCCTCTTTCACTGCAAGCTGCCTCCAGGGCCAAGATTTACAATTCTCACCAACCTCACCTCAATATTTTGATCCTTAAGCTCCATTTTCCCTTCTCTTATTACATTTTATCTTATTTTTATACCTCCACCATATTTTTAGTTTAGTTTTTCTCTTCAGTTTTTTTCTTGTTCGGAATTATTTATTCTTTTTATTCTTTTTTATTATTGTTACTGTTCTCTCTAACTTTGAAGGTTTGTCCCCACGTTTTCAGCTTGACTTGACTTCTTATTTTTTGATAAATTATTTATTATTATTTTTTAATTGAACTCCTGGTCTTGTTCTCATTCACACAATTTTAATTTCACTTTTACTTTTTACTAAGGAAATTCCTACAACACTAAACGGATGCACACAGTCCATGTTTAAATAATGGAAGGGAAAAGTAGGAAAATTGGCCCTGACCCCACCCCCACTAATACCCCTGGCCCATCACTCACAAATTCCACCATGTATCCCAAAACATCCAAATAAAGGCCTGGCAAGCTAAAGGCCTATATTGCCAAACTGACTTTTATAAAAATGACAATACCCTATCAATACAGGGAATATAGGACAAGTTAGGGGACACTCCAGTAGCCCGACTGACCCATCACCAACCACAAGCCCTCTTAAACAATCCAGCAGCAAAAGCAGCAGCCATTAGGCCATTGGCTAATTTTGAAAATCTCCTCCTAACACTGGAAGGACACAGAAAGGGGGTGGTATCTACAATTATATAAATACTACTCCAAGACACTACAGACCCCTTCACCATGATTAAAAACCAATGGGAGCATGACTTAGGACACAAAATAAACCCCGCCCAACAGTAAAAAATGTGGTCTAAACCACCATTAAAATCCATTTCAGTCAAAAGAAGAGAACTTACCCTGAAACTTATCTATAGATGGTACTTAATACCACAGAAGTTGGCACTGATACACCCAGGGACCTCATCTAAATGCTGGAGAGGCTACACCTCCATAGGCAAGTACCTCCACATTTGGTGGGAATGCCCCAAAGTTCATTCCTTTTGGATATCAGTGCCGCAGGAAATAACCACAATAACAAAACAGGTAATAGAAGCAACTCCAGAACTAGCCCTATTAAATATCTTCCAGGACAACAACACACATGGATATGACAAGAAACTCTAAGTCACTTATTCTCAGCAGTCAGAAACACCATAACTAGACACTGGAAGGACCTAGGAGGAGTGAACATAGACCACTGGTACCAAAATGTATGGGAAGCTACCCTATTAGAAAAGCTAACCAACAAACTTAAACTAGCACAGGGACAAGCAACGGAGGTATGGCTCCTCTTTATCACATATACAGCACAACAAGAAAATGACTTATCCCCCCAACAGCATATGAATCAATATGGCTAATCTGACCCAACAACACTCCCCTCCCCCAACACATACAAACAAACTGCACTGCAACCAACTGAACACAACCAATCAAGCTCTGGACACCCTAATTTCTTGCAATGCCAATACAAATAAAAAAATATACAAATAAAGGACCTACCCACGTGGTGCTGACACAAACTCTACACTAACATGATGCAATAGAATGAAAGAATATTACCCCCCATCTCCCTCCCTTTTCTTCCCCCCAATCACATGATGTCTATGACAATAATGTCTCATACTGAATGTAATCAAACTGTGAAAAAGACTATGAATCGAAAATGGATACACAAGATTATTTTCCTTTATTTATTTGCTTTGTAACACTTAAAGTTGTTAATAAAAACTAATTTAAACATTAAAATCCTGACATTTAATTGCAATATGTATCTCCTCACTTCACTCCTGACCCCCCAATAGAAGCACAACATGAGCAGGCATCCTTTCAGCTTCTCCAGCTGCTAAACCCAGAGGTGGATCTGAAAGAGGAAAAAGAGAAAACAAGGGTGAGAACAAGAGACCCCTCTCTCTGCCAATGCCAAAGAGGCTTAACTCTGAATATCCCATTTGCATACCAGCCATTGCTAGACCCTTTCAAGGACGGAAGCCTAAGGTCAAGAATGAGAACCCTTCTAAGCCTCAGGGCTGCATCCCCACCTGGGCAACCTTGAGGGCCACATGGCACTGGTGGGTGTGGCCACAGTAAACATGGGTGGGGCTATTCATGTTAATTTTTCCCTTGCACAATATGCTACTTTCTACACAAACACATGCATCTCTATCCTTCATCCATGCAAAAATTTAAGGACTGGCAAGGGTTGTGAACTTCGAAGGGCGAGCGAGAGGGGCCTGGAGGGTCAGATTTGGCTCCTGGGTCAGAGGTTCTCCACCCTTGCCTGAATCCAAGAATCCTGGAGAGTTTGAGGCTCTAAGGAGACCTCCGACTGGTCCAGGCTAGTTGAATGGTCTTGGACCCCCTTTTCCCAAAAAAGGGAACAGACTTCTTTAGCTGCTTATTTTTTTAAAAGGGAAGAAAAACCCAAATATCTCTTTGTCACAGCCCAGTGTTACCAATTCTCATATTCCATCCCAAGTGAGTCTTCAAAGCACAAGCATTTATTAGGTTTAAAAATAGCCAAACAGTGAGGACTGGAGAACAAGTGTGCCCACTGCTCCACATTCCCCTCACTGCTCCCCATGAGCCAAGGAGGAGGACATCTCCCCAAGATTCCCCCCCCCCAAAAAGTGTTGAGATTGCCAATCTGCCTGGGTGAAAGGCCCAGCTTATTTTTAGCTTGCTTCGTAGCACCTTGCCCTGTTTTGGGTACTTCTACAAGCCTTGCACGTGAGGCAAAGTCCAGAGGCCTTCCCCCTACCCAACCCAACCCAACCCAACCCAACCAATAAATAATATTTATGTCTCAGGGACTGCTTTGTTTTAACTGCTTGTATGTAAGTTACTCTAGGAGACTTTCTGGCAGAAGATCAGGTACAAATGCTTTAAAGAAAGAAAGAAAGAAAGAAAGAAAGAGAAATGATTTCTCTCTGTAGCTCCTGGTGTCTGGATATTTGGCCTCGCTTTGTGTTTCTTGCACCAGTTTCTTTCTTACCCTCTCAGGCTGCCTCTCCAGGCCTTCTCCTTTTGACCCTTCCCCTTTTCCAACACTCTTTTCAAAAGATCATCTCCCCCAAATCTGAGGCCTCCTCCTGCTTGTTCCATGGGGAAACCTGTGGCTCGCCAGATCTCTTGTAAGACTCCATCTCCCATCAGCCCTAACCAGACTGGCCTTAGAAGCTCATGGACCTGAGCAGCTGAGAGCTAACGGCAGGCGAGATTCTTCTTCCCGCTCTTCCTACCTCTGAAATTAAAAGGCAGCTCAGCCAATCCTTGCCAGGCTGCACCACTGGCCAGGCCCATAAGCATTGACATCTCCCAGCAGCATACAAAACTTTCTTTGAACATTCTGGGCTTGGTTTTTGATAGCGCTGATAGATTAGTGTTTTCGGTTTGTCTGTTTGTTTGTTTTATTGTACTTTATAGACACCCCTTCTCTCTGCTGAGAGATGAGGGGGAGGCTGTATTATGAAAATTGTGTTAATAAATAATACTAATAACAAGAATAACAAAAGGCACAGCTTTTGACCACCTGTGATGCTCCATATATTTTAGACTACTGCCTGGGGCTGATGGGGAGATGGGAGTCTCACAATGCCTCTGAAGGCCAAGACTGATGGGTGCTCTACCACGATGGCAAAGCTTGCTTTGGCACACAGTGCTTGTGGCTCTCAGGAACTTTTCCAATGGTGGGCACACTGCTGCCTCAGTTTACTCAGGAGAGCTCTGCATTCCAAAGAGCATTTACTGAGTTCCCACTTTGCGGAGCATTCCAAAAATAGTTGGTTAAAGTCCTACATTTACAAAGGAAAAAAGTGCGGGGTGAAGAATAGAAGAAATGAGCTGCCTATTTCTAAGGGAGGATCAGCTCCACGGGAGAAACACTGCCTTCTAGATCTTAAGCTTCTCATTAATGTTATTACAAGAGAGGGAACAAAGCCCACAATCATCTCTTGCTGATTCAAAATTCAAGAAGGGATTACCATATTTAATAATATATTTCACCTCAAAAGAAGCTCTCTTTCTGGCACAAAATAAACCGAAAAAACCTACCGACAACGTGGAAGGCAGCACGAGAGAGACTTACGCATTAGACGATCCAAAGCCAAAGCCTGTAAGGGGTGGGGGGAAAAGCAATGTTAAAGGGATTATTGGATGGGTTATATTACCAAACACACATTAAGGAAAGGTGTCAGGATTCCATCAGCACAGTTTCCCTCTGCCCCCTAACCAGTATCCAATCACTCCAGTTCTCCAGTCTAGTGTTTAACTCTAACCCGCAACCAAAGCTCTTCTTTTAATTCATACACAGAGGAAGCTGCCTTCTAAAAAGTCAGACCACTGGGTCCATCTAGCACAGTACTGTCAACTGTTAGCAGCTTCTCTGATTCCCAGCAACTGGGGACACCTTCCCTCTGACAGGAGAGGTAGAACACAGCCTAATTCCTCCTTGAATTTGTCTAACCCCCTTTTAGAGCCGCCCAAGTTAGTGGCTGTAACTACTTCTTGTGAGAGCAAATTTTAATTAGGGGCTGTGTGAAGGAGGACTTCCATTTTCCCTGTTCTGAGAAAAAATTCCTCAAAACATCTAAGAACCAGGTGGACGGCAAGGACAAGGGGATGGAAACTCTGCACATGTTCATGAGCAGACTTTGCAGACTCCTACTCAGAAGGTGAAGAGCAATAAGCCCGAGAAATGAATGGCGGCTGAAGGTTTCTGGGTTTGGGGGCTTAACATCAGCTTTGGTGTGTTTTGTAAATTGCTAAAAACATTTAAACAATTTATGTACTGCTTTACTGCAATTGTCTCTAGGTGGTTAAAAATGCTCTAACCCTTACATAAAGGTTTTAAAAGTGTGGTTTAAAATATACATTTATTTCTATTTTCCCACCCCCAAAGGGGAATGAAAGGAAGTATACTGGATACAGTTATGTCCCTCAGTCTCTCCAACAGAGAGCCAGTGTGGTGTAGCCAGTTAAAAGTGTTGGACTAGGGTTTAAATCCCTGCTCGGCCACAAAGTTCACTGGGTTGTGACCTTGAGCCAGTCATTGCCTCTCAGCTTAACCTACCTCACAGGGTTGTTGTGAGTGGTTGAATGAGGGAGAGAAACCATGTACACCACCCTGAGCAACTTGGAGAGAAAGGTGGGGCATAAATGCAATAAAAAATTAAAAAGCAACCCCTGCTCCCCTTTAAGATATGATTAAGCTTGGTTTTCATGTGAAATCCAGCCCCTAACAGTTTATGACTGACCAAGTGCTGAAGCTCCCCACGCTCCCACTTCTCCAAGCTCCCTTCTATTTAGGGTCAAGAACAGCTCATACCTCCTCCTCCACTCGACCCGAAACTGGAGAAGCCAGTGCCTTGTGTGCCAAAACCCGTGGGCTGCTGAGAGAGGGATCCAAAGGTAGGGGTGTTCTGGCTTGCTAGCGTTCCGAATGACACTGTGTTGGCTGTGCCGCCAAACCTGTGAAACATAGAGCAGGAGCAAGCAGTGGGTTAAAGAGAGTGTGGCTTTTAAAAAAGATAAGTGAAGCAAAAGGAGCTAGATGAAGGCAGAAATCCACAATCAGCCAACTTGGGTGCTGTGAATGGCAAGGGAGGCCATGTTGGTACTGCTGCCTGGATTGGTGTTCTTCCTGGACAGGGTCTTCTCAATGGTGGCTCCCCGTTGGTGGAATGCCCTCCTTGGTGAGGTGTATCTGGCCTCCTTTTATTAACAGAGTCACCCACCTGCCAATCAACTGACATCGCAATGACATCAGGCAATGGGGTGCTTTGAAGTCCCCACAATGAGGACTTCAAAGCACTGTACAAGGCTGGTAAATAGAATAGCACAGTGTGTTGTAGTACCACTGATCTGCTGATGGTCAAGGTTTCAATGCACTAAGCAGGGGCTCCCTGGGTTTGGCTCTTTGGAAGCCCCAAAGATCAGTTGGCAGCAGCAGCCCCATGGAGCTTGAAGTAAGCTGATAGGCACTGCTTGACTTCAAATCCCAGTTCACTTTGCTATCACAGTTCTCCATGGGGAACTCTGTAGTGCGGCCAATCCTAACCAGTTTGGTGATTTGCAATGAAAGCAAGCTTCCCTGGCTTTAAGGTTCCTGACTGCCCATTGGCAGCTGTCCCTTGCACAGGTGGGTGGGGTTTGGGGGAAATTGTATAATTCATTGCTGTTACCTGCCCCAGGACCTTCTGGCAAAGGGTAAGTAAGAAATCTGATTAAAGAAATCAATATAATGAAATGTAGTGAAATGAAGGGTGGCTTGCAGAATATTTATTCAAACGAAGAAAGAAAAATGGGGCACCTGGATATCACTGCAACCCCCCCTCCCAAGACCCTGTTGTTTTGTTGCTTTTGTTGTTGTGGCTTACCCAAATCCTCCAGCGTTGGCGGCCGCCGTCCCCTCTCCGAAGACTTTGCCTCCCGTCGAGCCCAGAGGGCTTGCAAAGGCTGGGGCTGAACCGAATGCTGGCACCCCTCCGAACCCGGGGGAGCCCCCAAAAGTGGGAGGGCTGCCGAACACAGGAGCAGCTCCAAAGCCACCTGAGCAAACACAGAGGCAAACAAAGAAAAGAAAAGAAAAGGGAAAGGGACATACACAAGCAAAAGAATAAATAAAAAGTCAAAATAACAGAGAGAGAGAGAAAGAGAGAGAAAGGCAAGGCAAGAAGAGCAAAGAAAGAAGAAATCAGAGTTAGGTCATTTCCCAGTGCAGAAGCCCCACAGACCTGAACTTGCGGGGGAGAGGGGCTTTATTTGTGCTGCAGAAGCAATGGGACCCTGACACACTTTCAAAAGCCCCCATTTCATCCTAGAAAACATGAAGTCAGTAAATATTACAAAATACCCTCTGCCCTCCTTTTTTTAGGTGCAACTAAAATAAGGAAATTGGGGGGGGGGGGACAATAGTCTGATGAGTCCTCTCTGGTTTTGGCCTCTTGGGCAAAGCAAAGAACGTAGATCAGGCTCAACACCTTTTTGGATGCCAGAACTCACGATTTTGAACTCTCTCTGTAAGAGACTCTGTGTGTGTGTGTGTGTGTGTGTGTGTGTGTGTGTTTGTTTGTGTGTGTTTGTTTGTGTGTGTGTGTGTGTGTGTGTGAGTGAGTGAGAGAGAGAGAGAGAGCGCGCGCGAGAGAGAGAGAGAGAAGCATTGCTTAATTCAAGAGGCAAAAGTGGGAATGGGGTGGGGGTGGGGAAGCAGAAAGGAACAGCTTTAGGCAGAGGAAGGCCTTAGCTAGCGTTTTCCTCTTTTTCTTTTAGAGTTGCAGTCTATGTCTGCAAAGGAGAAGTGCTCTATCGGATTTACAGCACTGCATTCCCCCCAACTTCCCATCTAAGGGGAACCTTGACCTCCTGCTGGCCTTCATTCGAGAGAGTCCGGATGTCCCCGAGAACTGCAAATCGGAAACCATCACCCCCAACTCTCCACCCCCCCCCCAAAATGCACCAAAAAGAGAGAGAGAGAGAGAGAAGGGGGGGTTGGGGATGGGGGAATTAAGAGCTGCTTTCTTCACCCTCCGTACAGCACTTACTGCAAAAGGGGTGGCTAGATTCTGCAGGCATGTCCTTAAGAAGAAAAACCTTGGACATGAATTAAAAGAAAAGCAGGCCAAGAACGCCCGTTCTAGAGCGCCTGCATGAAAAAGCAGCAGTTGCTGCTGCCGCCAGCAGCAGCAGCTCTCAGCAAAAGATGGGGAAAAGGAGGGGGGAAGCTATAGCAGTTGCTAAGGTAGCTGTTTTCTGATGTCGCCAGCAAAACTGCAACCATTTCAGCACAGCGGTGTGTTGCACCCTAGAGGCAAGCTATCCACACACCCCTGACCTGCCACAAGCAGACCAGGAGGAAAGCAAGACATTCCCAAGTCTATGATGCCATTTCCTGTCGCCCCACTTTCATTTTAACTGATGCCAAGATTTATTTATTTATCAGTGTTTGCACATTACTCTTCCGTTCCAGCCCCTGAAAAAGGCTCCTAGAGCAGCCCATATCTGTGAAATCAATTGAAAACAAGGCTGGCTTACAAGCTTTAAAAAGAAAGAAAGAAAGAAAAGAAACACATGACAAATGAGGAAAATGGGACAAGAAGGGAAGAGGAAAAAAGCAAATCTGGGCACCCGTTCTTAAACAGCCATTCTTATAAGGACCAGCTGGCTTGATGGAGCTGGTATTCTGGCAGAGCTGATGGGATGAGCCCTGCTTCCCATCTCTCCTACTGAGGCAGCCTAATGGGAATGACTGGTGACAGCTGAGGGAGGGGGTCTTTATTCCCCCCCCCCAAAAAAAAGGTTATTTTCTGAGCTGCTTTTCAGGGCCATGCTTTCACAAAGAAACGTACGTAAAAAAGGAAGGAGACACTAGGTGTATGGGAAATAAAAAGTATTCAAGGTCTGCTTGAAAGTCTGCTTGCAGCATCTCTCATATAGCCAGTAACATCTCAGCCCTTTCCTGGGAGTGCAAAAAAGCCCTTGGGCACGATTCACCATCTTTTGAGCCTCTCCTGTAAAAACAAACTCACGGCTCACACGGGAAGTGTGTGACACTGAGCCAAGAAATGAACCAATTTGTTTGCCTTCAGCTCACCAACATGACAGCAGGTACAAATCTGGCTAGTGGGAAGGAATGTGTGATGGAGCCTTTCTGGTGGTGGCCTCTTCGCCTATGTAACTTCCTTCTCTGCGAGATACATTTGTTTCCACCCCCATTTTCTTTTAGACACTCCTTTTCCAATTCACCTTTGGTTAGGAAGCTGGTGGGGCTTTAGAACACCCTCCCTATTTTCAGCATGATGGCATCGGATGACACAGGCTGACTTGACAGTCGGTGGGGATGGGTGCCGTTTTTGTGTGTTTATGCTGCTCTTTTTTAGCTTTTGGAAATTTCCAACTCTGTGTGGTTTTGAAGACCAGAGCCGCAATGCTGTTATTTAATTGTGTTTTGTGTTACAATTTTTACTTATTTATCTGAAACCCCCTTCAAAATGGTCTTGGTCCTGCAAAACAGCATAAAATAATAATATTCTAAAGTAAAGGAGAAAAGCCAAAGAAAGCAGCCCTGTTGGGTCAGACCAAAGGCCCATAATCACAGGGGTGGATAACATCAGGTCTGGGGGACAAATGTAGCCCTTCCAAGGGCTCCCCTGCCTAGTCCTTGGAACTCTCCCCAGACAACACACATGACCCCACTTTGCACCTTCCTTGGCCAAAATGTGCCCTTGAACTCTGACAATGCCTTTTGCTTGCCTGGACGGAGAACAGCAAGTGAATGTGAGAAGAAACCAGCCTACAGGGACAAATGTCCCTATAAAGGGACAATTTATAATCATTGCTCCACTATTGCCTCTGGACCTCTCCAGTACTGGCATGCGGCCCTTGGGCTTAGAAAGTGTCCATACCCCATGCCTATCCAGTCTAAAACTCTGTTTTCCCACATAGTGGGCTGCCAAATGCATCCTGGAGGCCCATACGTAGGATGTGAAAACCAAATCCCACTCCTCCATTGTCTGCCCCCTAGCATGCTAACAACTGTGGACAAACTTTGCCCTCCTTCATAAATTTCTCCACTGCCCATTAAAGACCATGAAGACAGCTCGTGGCAGAGAATTCCACACATTAAATTCTGCATTGTCCAAAGAATTAATTTCTTTAGTCTGTCCTGAATCTACTGTCTAACAACTTGAGTTTGAGTATTACAGAAAAAGGAAGTGGGAAATCCTATATCCCCCTCCTCCTCCTCCACACCATGAATAATTTGATATGCCTCATTGTACCTATGCATCAAGTGTAGGTATGATGGAACAGTGGTGAGAAACCAGTGGCTGGACAACAACTCCCATCATTCCTGACCACTGTGCCCTGCTGGTTGGGGCTGATGGAAGCTGGAGTCCAATGACATCTGGAGGGCCACAGGTTCCCCATCCTTGGGATAGAAGCTGGGGATGGGGATTCAATTAAAAGAAAGCAACACCCAACCCCTAAGTTCCCTCTTAGGAAAGGTGCCACCTTATGATAATTCTGGCTGACCTTCTCTTTTTTGACCTAAAAAACCCACATCTGCACACTGGCTGTGATCACAGGTGATGCATGACAAGTCAGAACAAGTTGTTGCCTTATTGGGAACAAGAGGCATGCTTCTGCAGAGTTGTCTGATCACTCCTCACTTTGCTCTTACGCTGGCATGAGACAGGAGAAACAAGTCAGGAAGCCACAACTAAGTCTGGCTTCCTGTAACACCCAAAGCTGAGGCTGGGGTTTGCTTTTCCCAAACAAGGTAGGATTTGAAAGCAAATGAAGAACCATGGTTGAAGGCTGTGGCTTGCGATTCTGACTTGCCAGGGAAAAACAAACCACTCAGTATGCTTCTCCTGCTTGCACCAGAGGGAGCAGCCAAGTGAGAGCAACCAGGCTGGGCAGGGTTCACTTCCTGCTAAACCAAGGTTTACTGGAACACACAAGCATCACCTGCATTTCAACTGAGGCTGCCCTGCAGATGTACATAGAGGAATCATGATACCGGCTACTCCTATTTTCTGTCCATTTGCCAATAATCCCTGGCATGGAATTAACTCCCCTCCACCAGTCTTCCATGCAGCTCACAGTTTTTACTGTTTTACATGTACACTTTTCAACGCACACTTCCATCTTATTAACAGGCTACCTGTCTGCTACAAGAAATGACTACCAATATAGCTCCTTGCTGTTTTTGACTGGAGGTGCATTTTAATACCCTGGGTGAAATTCCAGTCCTGACCAATGTAACAGATACTATCCGGTTGTAAACACAACTGTCAGGGAGGGGGAGGGGGGGAGAGAGAGCTGCAGCTGAATTATTTAGCGGAGATTAGAGATCCAGTGACACTTTTGTCCATGAGCCGTTGGGTTTTACCCATGTCCTCCAAGTTTTGTGGGAACCAACACATGTATTGCAAGTTAAGAACATAAGAAGAGCCTGGTTGCTGCACCAGGCCATAAGTCTAGCTGGCCCAATATCCTGTTCTCACTGTGGCCAACCAGATGCCCCAGTGAGAAGCTTGCAAGCAAGACTTGAGTGTAGCACTGCTCTCCCCTCTCGCAATTCTCAGCAACTAGTATTCAGAGTCAAGCTGCCTCCGATAGCACTATATATCATGTTCTACTGTAAGGGGACCTGCGGCATGCAAAGCAGGTGCTCAGCCACTGAGCTGTGGTCATTTCCTTTCTGCCATCCACCAGTACCAGTGGCACAGGGAACCAGCACCTGACCTACAGAGCTCCTGGTCTGAGCTGCAGAGCACCCTGATATGAATTTAAGAAGAGCCTGGCTGCTGGATCAGGCCAAAGGCCCATCTAAATCCACCATGCTATTCTCACAGTGGTCAACCAGATGACCCAAAAGGAAGCCTGACAGCAGGACATAAGCACAACCATTAAAAGTCACAACATACAAGGGTCACCCATCCTTTTAGACCCTGTGGTAACACTAATATAGTATTGAGGGCACCATCCTCGATGGTTGCTTCTCCCCACCTTCCCTTTGGGTCAGTTCACTACATATCTAGATAAAGATGTGATCTACAATTTGATGACAACAGTGGTGAGGAAAGACCCATAAAAAGAAGACCTGTTTTACCATAATCAACACTTGTGAACATGGTTGCCTCCTCCCTCCCTCTGTGCATGTGTCTGACTCCACTTTCTCCCCTGACTCCTGCAGCACCCCGCTTTCTTTCCCCTCGCTGCCTCTCAGTTGTTCTCTTTTCCTCTCTACACGCTCCGGAATCACACCCTTTCCACCTCCTGGCTGCAGTTTTCTGTTCGGCTGCCAATCTGAGCCTTGAAAAGAAGAAAGAAGTGAAAAGTGGAAGGGAGAACATGAGAGCACTAGAAGTGTCTGGCTGCTGTATCAGGCAAGTGGCTTATCTTGCCCTGTATCAGGTTCCCACAAGGCCCAACCAGAAGCCACAAGGGAAAACCCACAAGAAAAATCAAAGCCAATGTCCCCTATGTGGTGATGTGTATGTTCGACTAGAACACAAGATCTGATGTAACTGTTGTTCAAAAGGCAGGAGGATCTTCCCCAAGCTAGAAGAACAAGTTCTCCCCATTTCTCCCCATAGTGGGGAAAGCTTGGTTGTAGAGCATCCACTCTACATGCAGAAGGTCCCAGGTTCAATCCCTTGCATCTCTAGGTAGAGCTGGGAATGTCCCCTGCCTGAAACCCTGGGAGAAGGGCCATTTCTGCCAGTCAGCACTGACACTACTGGGGCAGATGGACCAAAGGGCCTGACTTGGCGGAAGGCAGCTTCCTATGTTCACAAGAAGAAACAATAGACAAACTAATACCTGCTTTAGTCGGACTGGAGAACCCAAAGCCTTGAGATGCCACGCTCCCTCCACCAGAGCTGAATGTGCCCATCGGCTTCTGCTCGCCAAAGGAGGCGGTGGTGCCAAATCCAAAGGTCTTGGCACCGCTGTTTCCAAAAAGGCTTGATGTATCTGGGGCGGGGAGAAACGAGAGTCTTTTCTTACATACCAGAAAAAGGCCCGCCTCCCCCCAAAAGTGCCCAAAGCCCAATGGGGGGGGGAGACACAATGAGGATCAGGGGTTTAGGATGGCACATGTCGCCGCTTGCCTATGGTGAGAAAGAATTGGCACGAGATGAACAGCATATTTTCTGGAAATGTAAAGACTCCCCCCCCTTTTCATTGAATTTCAGGACCATTAGACTTATTATCTGAACTGCTACTGCTGCTATACCACATGCACACATATACACTCCCTGGGAAGATTGTATGGGATTCTCTTCCGGGTCAAATAGGCTAGACACACTGGGTTGTTTTTCCTCCCCTCTGCACTATTTGGCTTTCTGGGCTCCCTCAAGCCATCTGCTTTTCAGAAGAGGTTGACCATCTGAACCAGCAACAACCAGTCTTGAATCAAAGAAGTGATGTCTGCAGGAGGGGGCGGGGGGGGGGCTTTGTATCAAACTGCCCATCTTAAAATGTGAATACTGAGTGTCATGACACCACAGAAAAGGGAGGGGTGACTCCTCTATGAAGAGCAGGAGAAAAGATTTTAAATGACAACCATCTACTGATAGCCATCAATGAAAAATTTACCACCTTATCATGCTAGGAATCAAAGTCACATGTAATAAGCAGCAAAATATTATAACAGAGAAATACAGTAAGCCTGCAACGTACATGGGGGTTATGTTCTGGGGATCATCAGTTAAGGGCTGATGGGAGTTGGAGCCCCATAGGCTTCCAGCCTGTTGGGTTAAGGCTGTAACCCAAACCACTTTTCCACCAGGTTGGGGTTTCTGCCCGTCTCTTCTCATTCTGCCTGCCAAAAGTGTGGACAGGCAGGAAGTAGGCTGGATACTGGAACCCCTGCCAGCAGCTGTCTACAGGAAGCCCTGAAGCAGAGGGTTTTGGGAGCAGCCCCACTGCTATCACTAGAAGGCCCAATTGGGCCTGTCTCCCTGATGCATTGAGCAAAAGGGCTACAGATGCAGCCCCCCCCTTATGGATTCAGGACACCAATGCTACTTGTCCCTGCATTTTCAGCAAATGCAGTGAGACAGATGCATTATAATGTGCACAAAGAGAGAGTATAAAGCCTTTCTTCTCAAAGTGCCTCTACATCCATGTCTAGTTATGGCTCACAGAAGTGAAAGCCTCACTGATCTTCAGAATCAGAATTATCTTGCAAACCTCAGGGCCCAGGAAAGTTCAAAGGAGTTCTAGTGTTGTGAGTGTGTGGAAACTTCTCTTTACCACTCAAGGATAAGGCACATGTGTATGTTCCTAGACCTCTTTGTCCTTAAGATTTAGGGGATTGGGCTCAAGACTGCAGCTTCTTTCTGAACCCAGCCCCCTTTATTGTGTGTATGTGTAAGGTCGTGTGTGGGTGTGTGGGTGTGGGTATGGGTGAGAGAGAGAGAGAGAGAGAGAGAGGGTGAGTATATGTATATATATGGATTATTCACTACATTAATTTGGATTAGAAAACTTATCAGAGTGACACTATTATTATTATTATTATTATTATTATTATTATTATATTATTATTATTATGTAAGAATATTAACAAACCATCAACTCATAAGAAAAATATATTGGTGGTGTAAAAAATTATTACATTATACAATCAGGGGCGCCGACTTGCCCCCCGCATTGAGGGGGCATGGCGGTGCGTGACATCATACACCCCTTTGCACGACCTGCCCCTGCCCGCCTGGCAGCAGCAGGGTATAACATACACAGAGGGCGATTTCCCCTCTCCACACGTCCCGGCCCCACCCAGCACATGAGTGCTCTCCCAGTGGCGGCGGGTGGCAGGGAACGGCGGCCTGCTCAACACTGGCGGGGCCCAACCCCCTGTGCACAAATACTGAGGAGAATAAAGCCCTTTCCACCCCCTATAGTTGGCTGATCATAATGCAGAAAAGAATGACTACTGCTGAATCAAATTAATGTCCTAAAAGTGCTCAGTGGCAGAAAAGCATTTTCAGCAGGTGACAAAATGTCAAAACTGTAGGTACTCATCTCATTTCAATAGGAAAAAGGTTCCAAAATACTGACACCACTACATTAAAAAGCCTTAGTATGCATTGGAGCTAAATCAGGGAGGGGAACGTTTTTCAGACCAAGGGCTACTTTCCCTTCTGGACAACCTCCCTGGGGCCACATGGCAGGGCCAGTGGCAAGTGTGGGTGGAGCAACTAACGGCAATTCTGCCTTTGTACAGTAGGCTAGTTTCTACACACCTTCACATACACACACTCCTTTCTGTCCTCCATCAGGCAAGCAAGAGGCGTGATCAGAGTTCAAGGACACATTGCAGCCAGGCAAACACACTCAAGGAGGGTGTGAAGTAGGGTTGGGGTGGGGTGGGGACTTGGGAGAGTTAAGAGTGCTGAGGGTTGTTAAGTGACCCTTCTTTCCCTCCTGGAGTGGTTTTTACAATCAATCTTTCTTCCCAGGGAACTCTGGGAACTGTAGCTCTGTGAGGTGGGACAGCAGTCTCCTAACAACTCTGACCACTCTGAACAAACTACAGTTCCCAGAATTCTTTGGGGGAAGCCATGACTGTTCAAAGTGGGACCATAGTGCTTTAAGTGTATGGTGAGAATGGGGCCTTTGGCAAAGACAGAAATGGAAACACAACTTAACACAAAAGTTAAACCACTTCTAAAAGGCCTGACAGGACCTATCTCACTTCCAGCAGGAGAGGGGCCCAGAGAAGGGCCTCCGGTGCAGAAATTCAATGCAAAAGCAGGTTTATGTGTGAAGAGACACCTAAGTGGTACATGGGTCCTAAGCTGCTTATAGGGACACTGAACTGAGCCCATGTGAACCAAGATTTGAAATCACAAACCCAGGAGCTCTGTAACTAATGGTTGACCGCCAAGCAGACTTGATCTCCCCACCACTGTCACTTCCAAAATCCATTCCCATCCCCACCCTGGGCTTTGTTGCTCCTGTGAAAGCCAAAAGATTCTGGTTGGCCTAGAAAAGGGGTCAGCAAAATTCTTCAGCAGGGGGCCAGTCCACTGTCCCTCAGACCTTGTGGGGGGCTGGACTATATTGGGGGTAGAATGATGCAAGAGCACCACGAGCCCCAGTGGCTGCTTACCTGTGTCTTGCGAGCGGCAGGGGCTGGTGGTGGCAAAGGGACGATGAGCAGCGTGTGAAAGGGCTCCGAAGAGGGGCTGCTTAAAATGGCAGCCACTCAAGTGCTACTGCTGCTGGCACCAACAAAGCCCAGCCCCCTTCCTTCTCTAGGCAGGGCAGGGAGAAGCCAGGAGGAGGGAGGGTGGGAGGAGGCGCTGCCGCTGCCATGCGAGGGAAAGGGAGGGAGAGAAAAAGAACGCGCGCTGGCGATTTATGAGGTGATTCCTGGATCGTCCGCGGGCCGGATCCAGAAGGCAACTGGGCCTGATCCGGCCTGTGGACCTTAGTTTGCCAACCCATGGCCTAGAAATTAGGTCCCTGGTCCACACCAGTTGATCACTTGCTTCCTTGCTTCCACTGTCAATGCAAACAGATTCAATTCATAAAGTGCTCCACTGAGGAGGAAGTTCTACACGGCATAGGTCATTCACATAAGGTGATGCAGGTCTTCCAGCATTGGGGGGCGGGGAGAACACCCTGTGTGAATCAGCCAGTTCTGAAGAACAAAGATGGAGTGGCTATGACAATGAACACGCAAGACTTGGCAATACTTACTCTGGGTGGCCGAGGAACCAAATCCCCCACCGGTGGCGCTGAAAGGGTTCTTATTTGCTGCCTCATGGCTTGGCTTTCCTCCTAGGCCACTGAAGAAACCACCACCTCTCCCGCTGCTACTTCCAGACCCGAAGAGACCCCCGCCAGAAGAGGTCTGCTGTAAGGAGGAACAAAAAGTGGGGGAGAACTGTTTTCACTGGCTCGCAGGTACACAGGGGCCAGATTCCATGAGGACTAGAAGCATTCCTCAAGCACCGCTGCAGACTTGGGCTAGGATCCAAAAAGTGTTAGTGGGCTTGTAAATTCTCTGACTCTATATTTTAGATACAGTGGTACCTCTAGTTGCAAACATGATCCGTCCTGGGGTGCCATTTGCACCCCGAAAAGTCTGCAACTAGAGCGGTGCTTCTGCACAAGCGTGGAGCATGATAGAGTACTTCTGCGCATGCACAAAGCACGCAGAACACTTCTCCACGTGTGGCGAAATCTGGAAGTTCCAGGTATGCCACGTTCACAACCCGAAAATCTGCAACATGAAGCAAACGCAACTAGAGGTATGACTGTACTTATATACCACTTTTACATACAACAAATTTGGCGAAATGTATATAGCATGAGTTTCAAAAGTTATTTGTTAAAGTAGACTACAATTAAAGGAAAAGAAAGTCACAATTATTATTTTTTAAATCCCAACAGCAACAGAAGAAGATAAAAGAAACACCCATGCATGCATGCACATAAAAACATCCCTGAAAAGTTTTGACATCTTATTTAAAAGGGTCAGTCTCTAGGACTGACTGTCCTGAAGCTGGAAACAGATTCCAGGGTTTAGGTACCACCACCAAAGAGTTACTGCTTGGCATTATCTGCTAACCTGACAGATGAATGGGACGGGACAGCCATGAGTTTAGAAAGCAAGTATTAAGTAGACAATGTGTTCAACTTCATCTGTACCTCTGGGGAACTGTGGTGGGCTATAGACATCTGAATACTCGCAAGCTGCGAAGGACAATGTATTTCCTTCCGTCTTCTAGGCTCTTCCTCCCCCTACTTTGCTAAGCACACAGGAGCCATCTTTTCTAGGGGAAAGAATCTGAATCCTGCGTGATTAGCAAAGTGGGCGAGGTGGGGAGGGAGGCAAGATAGGAGCCAGCCAATCAGTTCCTGCAAGATGGGAGATTGGATTTTGGGGAACAGATTTAAGATGATAAGGAAAGCCTGCTGGATCAGGCCAGCGGCCCATCTGGTGCAGTATCCTGTTCTCAGAGTGGCCACCCAGTTGCCCCAATGGGAAACTCACAAGCAGGATCGAAGCAAAAGGAGCAACTCTCTCCTTCCTGGGGTTCCCAAAAACTGGTGTTCAGCAACAGCACTGCTTCAAACAGTGAAGGCAAAGCACAGGCATTTTTTCATGGTCAGGTGAGCTAGGATATAAAAGCTCATGTGGTCTTTAAGATATCCTCGACTCATATTGCTCTGCACTGTATGAAGCACTTCCTTGCATGTCCCTGAATTGACCACAATGCAAATCTACGGCAGGATGAACCAAGGTAGTGCCCTCCAGAATGTTGTTGGATTCCAGCTTCCAGCAGCCCTGGCCAGGAATGATGGGAGGCAGGAGACGAGCAGCATCCAGAGGGCAACACATCGGCTACTCCTGATCTACGGTCTTGGAATATATAAACCCCTAAGAGGGATTCCCCTGCTCTTCCCACCAGAACCAAGGACAGGGGTTTTTTTGCCCATGAAGAAGCGTGATGATAAGTTTAGGAAAGATTACCTGGCCAAAGAGGTTCCCACTGGTGTTGGTCGCTTGCCCAAACACAGGGCCTGGGCTGCTGGAGCCAAATGCTGGACATGGGAGAAAAAGAAAGAAAAGAGGGCAGGGAGGAAAAGTCAGCATTTAGACACAAGACAAATGAGGACTGCTGGACTAGAACCAAAGATATGAGTTTGAAGGGAGGGGTCAGTCTGGATGATGCCAGGAGTCCCTTCCAAGTATTGGGATCCTGTGTCTGGGGTGGAATGCATGAGAGCAAGCTTGCCAAGCCAGTCCCTTTGTCAAGGCTAGGGGTTGCCAAAGTGGGAAGATGTTATCACTGGATCAAGTTCATCAATTTTGTTGAACTAACCTAAATATATTTAATTGTCTTTTGAATAACTCTGCCATTGATTAACACAGTGCTTTGAATTGTACTGTGTTGTCATTGCCCTTGGTGAATCATGCAAATTCTGAATAATGCTTTTTATAGGGTAGGGAGCACTGGGGATGAGTTTATGGAGCCAAGGGGGGAGTGGCCTGAAAGACTTTGGGAACCACTGGATTGTGCAAGCTGAGGCTGATGGGAGTTGTAGTCCAAATAGCTGATGGGAGCTGTAGTCCAAACAGCCAGGTTAACTGGGAGATACAATCCAAAGTGTCTAGAGGAGAACAAGTCAATGAAGGAGACCATAGAATATAGACTTGCGTGTGCGGAATGAGGAGGCCTTGTTAGAAATGCCACTGCCATGTCAAGTTTGCAAGAGGTGCATTGATGTGCGGCAGGCTATGGAACATCCCCCCTTACGAGTTGAGTGTGGCCCCCTCCTTGTATAATTTTTCACAAAAATGTACCTCTTTGCCCATGTCTTTTAAGAGGAAGTGGGGAGGAGAGAGGAGGACTGTGCCACAGCTCAGTAGGGTTGCGCACCTGCTTTGCATGCAGAAGGCCCAAGGTTCAATCCCCAGCCGTATCTCTGGGAAGGACTGGGAAAGACTCCCTTGGCCTGAGATGCGGGAGAGCTGTTGCCAGCCCATGTGGACACCACTGATCACCTGATCAATATATGGTAGCTTCCTACATTTAGTGATGTCATCTGGTGCTCTTGCTGGCCTTGATTGCTATGCAAAATGGTTTTAATTGTGGGCTTAGTGATAAGTACAGCATGGCCTCAACATATTACATTAAGCCAGGATAGGCAACGTGGTGCCCCCTGTACATGAATAAGCTTCAACTCCCATCACCTCTCCTTTTCTCCAAAAAAAGCAAAAATACTGAGCAATGCTGAGGTTCTAAAATCTTGAAGGAATTAAAAAGGCCTGGATTTCCATTAAATACATCTCAAAATGGCAGCAACTGCTAAATGAGTCCCAGCCGAGGACTCAGATTTCCTTTGTGCGAGAAGGATCTGGAGCTGTGTTAATCACCTGTTCCCATGAAAAGATAATGAAGTGTTTGTATTAAAAAGAATTCCCCTGCTCACTTCAAAATGCATACCCTGCCATCAAAACTAAGGCACTTTCCTGTAATTAAGGCCCCTTTCCTGTAGGCAGGGCTCACTTATGCCTTTTAAAATATTTTGTCCTGGTAATTAGCAGGGCGGGGGGGGGGGATGTTCTTTCTTAAATGTGCATCTTGTATATTGAAACCTAATTAGTTTCCCACCTTTGGGCACTGTGATCCATGGGGAGAGCTCCCTTCGCCCCATCCCCCTGCTGTGCTTCTGGGGAGTGGAATGGCTTGATGGATCATGCCCTGGGCTTCCCCCATCACCTTTCCTGTACATTACAGGGGCCTCCAGGCAGGAACTGCATTTCCAATTCTTTCAGTGAGAAAACTAAAAATGTCCTGGATCATTGATATTTCGTCTGAAAACTTGAGGTTTTTAAAGTCACCTTTAAAATTTGGTGGGATACCACTTAAGGTGCCACAGGACACCTCATGGGAACACAGGAAGAACACCAGAGGCTGTCTTATTTGGAGTCAGATCACTGGTCTTTCAAGCTCAGTATTGTCCACACTGACTGGCAGTGGCTCTCCGGGGTTTCAGGCAGGGAGTCTTTCTCAGCTAGCCTTGGAGATGCTGCTGGGGAATGAACCTGGGGCCTTTTGCATGCAAAGCAGGTGTTTCACCAATGAGTCATGGACCTTTCCCTTAAAAAATAAAGCAAGATTCTAGTCTGCATGGATCTGAATGAAGGGCTGAATTGAACAGACCCATAGCATGCTGTCTTATAACTGAGCCAGGGCACTGGGTTCAACCAGCTCAGTATTGTCCACACTGAGTCTCATCGTCTCTCCTGACCCAACATGGAGATTTTAAGTACTGAAGCTGAGACCTTCTGCATGCAAGGCAGTCCCTCTGCCACTGAGCTACGGCTCTTTCCTCTCCTGCTTAACCCATTACCCCTTGGTCCCTGCCCATGCCTTCTTACCTGAAGCTTGACAGAAACTGAATCCAGCCGAGGATGTTGGGGTGGTGGCAGCGGCCGCACTCCCAAAGATGGATGCCCCCTGCCCGAAGCTGGAGCTCTGCCCAAAAGCAGGGGTGCTGCTTTGGCCAAAGAGGCTGGTGCCTGCAGTGGCCGCAGGCTGTCCAAAAGTGAAGGAGCTGGTGGTGCTTGTGCTGGATGGTGCCCCGAAGACGCTCCCACTGCTGGATGCAGGGGTGGTGGAAGAAGCCATCTGCCCAAATGCAGGAGCAGCCCCGAAGGCTGCCTGGTTGAAGGTGAACCCACTTGATGTGCTGGCTGGCTGGCCGAAGGTGGGGGCTTGGCCAAAGGCTGGCTGAGCAAAGCCTGTGGAGGTGGTGGCACCACCAAAAGCTGATGTACTGAACCCGGGAGTTGCTGCCTGTGTGGTGATGGTGGAGGTGGATGGTGGCGGCGTGGCAGGGGGTTGGTTAAATGGAGAAGGCGGCGCTGCAGAGAGCTGGCCGAAGATGGGGGGCATGGAAGGGGTCACCAATGCCTCAATTGCAGGTTGGCTGAAGGCTGAGCCGGAAGAGCAGGTGGCGGGGGGCTGTGCAAACACAGAAGGGGCTGAGACATTGACTGTGAACGCAGAGGTGCCAGTGGCCGGGGCCTGGATGGACGCACTTGGGCTACAGGAAGCTGGAAGCGCTCTGGTCACTTCGGCAGGCTGAGAGGCCATGCTTGCTGAAGGCAAGGTTGCTGGAGTGTGCTGGTCCAGAGATGTTGCCACAGAAACCACCTCAGCCTTTGAATCAGTAGGAGAAGCGGCGGGAACGGCTTCTTTGGCAGGTGCTACTGTCCCCGCTGCTGCCACAGCAAGACTGATTGCATCCACCTCTTCCAACGAAGGTGTGGCCAGAGCAGGAGGATCTTGAGGAGGTTCTGGAGTATGGACCTGGGGCTGGGGCAGCAGCTGCATTGCTCCAAGCTTGCTGGCATCACTCTGAGGCAGCTTTTCAGGGCCTGGGAAGGTTCTGGCATCTTCCTCTCCTTTACCTGTTGGTGTGGTGCCCACAGCAGTTGGAGCTGAACTCAACAGACTTCCGAATGACAGAGTAGAGTTTGCCGCTGGAGCAGAAGAGGGTGTTGCTGCTGCGGCATTTGCTGGCTGAATCCCAAGTGCGAAAGTTGACTTGGCACCCCCTGCAGGCACTCCAAAGAGAGCAGGAGACCCTGTGTTGACCAATTGGACATTGCTGAAGATGGTGCTGCCAGACGTTGATGTTAAGCTGGTTGTCATCACAGAGGCAGCCGCCTCTGTTGGTTTGCTGACCTGCAAAGAGCTTCCAAGAGTAAACCCAGAAGGTATTGTGCTTGCTTTTGCTTGCTGTCCTCCTGTGGCATTAACAGGTGGAGGCTGTTTGGTAGTGGCAGCCTTGGAATTCTCATCAGCTTGACCGACTCTTAACCCAGAGAAACTCCCAAGGGTCTCCCCAGCAGCGGTGCCCTGGAAGAGGTGATCTCCTTGTTTTAATGGAAGCCCTTCTAGTTTCCCAGAGGTTGAGAAAGGGATGGAGGCCACAGGGGCTGAGGTCACCTGGCTGTTTGCCAGGCTTGGATCTCCTGAGCCACTGCTTGTCATGGGGACTCCTGGAAGACTGGACGGTTTTGCGGACCCAAAAGCAAAGGAGCTCTCCAGAGGGGTTCCAAATTTCACGTTCCCGCCAAGGGGAAAGGCATCAGGCTGGCTCAGCTGTTTTGGAGGAGAAGGTATTGCTGCCAAGGCACAAGAGAAAGACACAAAGCAAATAAATTTCAAAGGTAAGATTCACTGATCACTACCACCCAGCTCCAAAGCAGCATAAACCCTAGAATTCATATCTCAGAGGTAGATCACCTGTTTTGCCTGCAGAAGTCCTAGGTTCAATCCCAATCAGCATCACTAGGCAGGGCTGGGAGAAACTCTGCCTCAATCACTGGAGAGTCACTGCCACTCAGTGCAGAAAATACCATGCTAGGTGTACCCTAACAGCTCAACTCAATCAAAGGCAGCTTCCTATGTCCCTCTGCTTAGTTTGTTGTGTATTATTTGGTTTAACCTCCAAAACCTTTTCCCCTTCTTCCAGACCATCAGTTCCACAGTCTGTTACATAAACCACCCACCAACTTATTCCCAATCTCTTGAAACATTTGCTTCTGTTTACTCCTTTCCTGAAGACAGGAGTGCCTGGCGTGCTCTGGTCCATGGGGTCACGAAGAGTCAGACACGACTAAACGACTAAACAACACTCCTTTCCTACTGCATATATCCAGGGAGGTTTATGTTTAGTGGCAGAGCTTAGTGGTAGACCATATTCTTTGCATGCAGAAGAGCCTAGGTTCAACATCCAGCATACCCAGTTAAGAAAAAGGCCATTAGATGCTGTTGAGCTTTATCATCCCTGACTGCTATGGACATGCTTGCTGGGCCTGACGGGACTTGTAGTTCAGCAACATCTGGAGGGCTAAAGGTTCCTTATCCCTGGATTAGAGAAGGAAGGAGTTGTGGCTGTACCAGCAGGACTAGAGAAGTTGTTCCCCCCCCCCCCAGCCTGAGGGCCACGTTCTTTTCAAAATGCACACCCCATTTTAAAACAATAACTCACCTTCTACTGGAGGGACAGACGTTGCAAGAGAAGTGAGGATTGCATCAAGGTTACCTTCAGGTCTAGAAGACAAAACAAAAACATTAATGTACAATATCTGGCCTTTTCGAAAAGGGAAGCAGAAGGTTTGCGGGGGGCGGGGACGGAAGACGGTACACGTTTATACACTACATATTTGTTCCAGTTAAACATCATGGCTCTCACTAATGGGAAGTATAGTTTGGTAGGATGCCAAGAGTTCACTACCTACCTGCACTATGCATTGTCTATTAACACTGTGTTGCTTTTGTTTTTTTGTGGCTCCATATGCCACCCAATTATGCATCAGTGAGTGGCCAAACAGATCTAGTCATCATAATAATTTCTTTAAAAGAGAGTCCTGTTTAACAACTGTGCCACCTTTCTCTCCATTTATTTTCAGGTTTTCATTACACAGGCTTTTCCCTAAAAGCGATGAGATGATGAGCTATTCTACCTGAACTGCATGACAAAATGAAAGTGTTCGCTGAACGACCCCTCCATATATAAATTAAACATGTGCATGGTTACTTAATTTGCAGAACACATGCACAGTGCGGAATTTCAGCTTCTCCTAATTCACACATGGGGAGCCTGGGTTCCTAATCCCCCGTGACCCCTTCCCATCTGAATCAGGCGTGGGAGAGGATTTTTGCTGAACTATAATTCCGATCATCCCTGGCTATTGGCCATGCTGGCTGCAAAGGTTGGTGGGAATTGTAGTTCAGCAACCGCAACCCTGATCTAAATGGTTGTTCCCCAGGTCTGATTATAATGTGATGGAATGAGAACTGCCTACCCCATGGCAACCTTCTCCATGTGACTGCTTATGCAACTGAAGCCTCCAGATGGCAAAAGGACGATTTAGTCACCTCCATGAGTATAGATTGCAGGCTTTCCCTCCCAAGCCATAAAAGCTACGTTATGGCTAACTGGGCCACTGCATCTTTTCCAGCTTCCATGCTCTCATTCAGCCCCTCCATGCGTGCATTTCAGTTTCTGTGCCTGGATCTGCATGAATGCTTTTGATTTTATATTTTATTTTATATATCCAGTGCTGCAGGTTGCAGGGGAGGCTAGCCTGGGCAAATGAGGCACTGCCCTACTGACTTCAGTCAGCCCCCACCTGTGTTCTGTTATTGTTGTTTATTGTTTGTAAGCCACTTTGGGATTCATTTGAATGGAAAGCGGCATAGAAAGCGGCATACAATAAATCAAATCAAATCAGTGTTGCCCTTTGCAGAACTCAGCTGGGAGGACTTAGCTGGCTCTGCCTGTCATTGGCTCTGGTGCCGCCTACTGTTGGGCTCCTGACCTCCCAAACCCACCAGTCTCAATGCACACCAGTGGCTACTGGCAGGTTGACCAAAACACTGTGAGACATGCAATTTCTGTCCTAGCAAAAGGACTATCATTAGGGCTAGTGCCATTATGGAGAAATCGGCTTACAAATATTGCCAAGAATTCTGGTGGTGGCAGGTAATGAGATAGAATGTTGTGTGTTTGTGGGTTTTTTATGTTCTTCTGAACCCTTGTCAACAAGAGACATGGGCAGCCAAACCAGGATAGAAGGCAGGTTGTGGTACCCTCCCCTACAACAGTTCACTTGAGCTTCATCTCCACCTCCCACGTAGCGCACATAGGCTGCAAACCTGGCCATGCCTATTCAGAAGCACTGGATTTCATTGGGCTTATTCCCAAGTGGGGTGAAGGCTCCAGTCTTGCACCCCATATTTGCTCCATGGAGCTCAAGGGGACAGCCATGACTCTCCTGTTTTAATCAAACAATAATCCTGCAAGGTAGTACTGAAGGTTATTCCCCGGGTCCTCAATCTAACAGTCCAGGCATGTCCAACAGGTAGATCATGATCTACCGGTAGATCACTGGACGTTTGTGGTAGATCACTGGTAGATCTTTGGCTCCCCCCCAAAGAAGCTGAACAACCGTGGCTCCCCTTAAAAAAGCTCAACATTTAACCTCCTCCCTGAAAAAACTCAACAACTTTGACCTGAACCCCCCAAAAAGGAGGTAGATCACTGCCAGTTTTTAACTCTGTGAGTAGATTGCAGTCTCTTGGGAGTTGGCCACCCCTGTAATAGTCTAATGCAGCCAGATGCTCTCCAGCTGTTTTGGACTACGACTCCTACCACCATGGGGCTGATGGGAGCTCTAATCCCAAACAGCTAGAGGACACCACGTTGGCCATGGCTGCTCTAACCAAGACTCGAACTAAGAGGCCAGGTTGGCCTTCATTGCTCAGCCTAACACACCTCTCAGGTATATAACCACCGCATTACACTGGCTCTCTGAAAAGTGATCACGTGTCTTGCTGTTGGTAACACTAGTGCTACCAAGGGACATCAAAGAAACGGAAACAGAAAGACGTCCATACATACACAGAGGTGGTAAATGTGAACGCTTTGTTGAACTGGGCAGCTGTTGATGGAGTGGGCGCAGCAGCAGAAGTCACGGATGCTGATATCTTCTGAGGGCCTTGCCCTGGGATTGTAAATACAGCACAGAGTTATACACACACCATAGATAGAAGGGAGGGGGAGGGGGGAGAAATTGCACTGTCAGCTTTCCCAGGACAAGTCTTTTTGAGTTACTATGTTTTATACCCCACCTTTCATCCAATTATTTAAAGATGAAGCAGGGACATTCCACATGCAAAGCAGATGCTCTGCCACTGAGTTATGGGCTCTTCCTGGGACTTGCTGTGTTACCTCCCAAGCCGGAATGGGCCATAAGAAGCCCTCTCCCTTTCCTGAAGACAAGTAATGATAGAGGAGCTAGTAACACTCTAGCCTAAGTCAACAAATTCTGGGCAGAGAGCTCTGAAAACTGGCACTGAGTGGGTGGGGGCAGAGGGAGAGATTATATGACTGAGCTCCAATAAGCAGATCAAGCAGCTTTCCATAAATGTATCAGCTTAGCAAGCCTTTGCACCACTCCGACTCCATCTCCACTGGAAATATGAACTTGTATTCGTGTGTGAGAGACAATACTTTAGAGAAGTTATAAAGGGGGTGAATGCATGAATGGTGTGAAGTGGGGGGGGGGAGGGAGAGGGAGAAGGAATCAATGAATGAATCAATCAATCAATCAATCAATAAATAGTATATGGGAAACAGAATGAACAAATGTTGGCGTGGTGAGAGAAAGGATGGCATGGCTCTGCCCAAATTTGGCTACGGTCCTGCCCAATACCTTCTCCCCTGCCTCCCCTGCATGGAGCCCTTGATGGATTACCCCACAAACAAATATATCCCTTGCAGGGAGGAAGGTTCATAGATAAGGCTATCAATGACACCAGTCACAAAACCTATGCTCTACCCTCTATTGTCAGAGTCAGCATGCTTGTGAATACCAGGTTGGCCACTGTAGGGAAAGGATGCTGGACTAGATGCCCCACCCCCACCCTTTGACCTGATCCAGCAACCTGGCTCATATGTTCCCAACTCCTAAGTTCACATAAACCGTAACCGGCCTTCAGAACTGAAAAACATGTTTTTTACCATGGTCTGACCATGGTTTCCTAGCAGTGTTTGGCTTGAATCCCCACACATCCCAGAATCGCACCAACCCCCTTTTTCAGGGCTGTTTGCAGGTTCCTTCCTTGCACAACAAAAAAGTATTGCCAATGCCGGTAATAAAAATGATTTAAGTTTGAGTGGTTACCTAACCAAAGCAAGAATCAGTCTGGATTGTGTATGCACTGAAAGGAGGGGTGATGAACAGAGAGGCTGACAGCCACTACCTCCCAAGAGGTAATAGCACTGTGTATTTTTATTTATTTATTTAACTGCATACAAAAGCTATCAAGAGACCTTGGGCAAACATCTCTTGAAATTGTCACCATAACAACAAATGTTCAAAATGCGGCAAGAGTGGGTTCTGGAAACTCTTGCGTTGGCCAAGGGACTTACACTGCAAGGCTGGAAAGATGAATAGTTTATCACTCAGCGGCTCAAGGATCTCACTGCCATGAACATATACTTACACTTACTCAATTTCGTTTAGATACCTGTTTTGGGACTGCTTATATTGATGTGTACATTTATACAGCAAGATTTTTCTGTTAGAATTCCAAAGAAAGGGTTGTGTCCAGTGCTAATGCTGCTGAGAGCAGACCCACTGAAATTAAGGGGCATGATTAACTTGGGTCCATTAGTTTTAGTGGGCCTACTCTTGAGTAGGACTAGTGCTGGAAACAACAAAAATATATTTTAAAAAAACAATAACCATAATTATTTTAAAAGGCAAGGAAAGTGCTGTAGGATTCAATACCCAACATTTCCAGCTTGCTCATGATTTAAATCTGTCCTGTTTGTTAAAATAAAAATGAAAATGTCATTTCTGAAGGGGAATGAGGTCTGTTGCTTTCACGTTCCACTTGTGAGCCTCACAGAAGCACCTGACTGAGCTCCACTGGAGAAAGAAGGCTGGATGAAATTGGATCCAGAAAGACTTTAAAAAAAAAAAAAATCTTCACCCCATGGTTGCCAGCATTTCAGGTTTTAAGTGTCATTACCTATTTATGTAGCCAAAAAGTCACAATCCCTGCACAGCAGACTTGAATGCCCAGAACTGTACACATGATTCCTGTTGGTGGTTGCACCACTGATTTGTACAATGACATTACGACACTGTCAGTTTCATCCCTAATCCTGTTCCTAAAGATCCTGGAACCAGCCCTTTCAATGGCTACTACACCCTGGTGGCTGATGTCTTCATTGAGCTTATGCCACTACAGCCCTAAGTTCTTGCTCCTAGTCAGTAATTGTCACTTCAGATCTTGTTAGCTGGCAGTACCCAATGTTAGTCCTACTAACTGAAAATGATGGGACATGACTGACTTGGGTACATTGATTTCAGAATGTCTACCCTGAGTAGAACTTAGTTGGATACTGTATCTACCTGGCTCAATTTCACTATTTGTTGCAATTGGGATACTTTTACCCCATGGTACATCATAATTGCCTTGAGCAGGCCAAGTCCCTCTTCTTTCCCCATCTGTCTGCAATTTTCTGCCCCCGCGACAATACTCAGGGGAGATGTTCTGAAATCAAGCTTCTACATTTCTGCTTAACTAAGGAGTCCTGCAAGTGTGTTGAAATTATGATTAGTTTTGGGGAAATGCCATTTCTGAACAGATAAGCACTCTATGTTAACACTATTGGGACAGGACCTGCAATGAACCACTGGTGGGTGGAACGCTTCCATTCCTTCTGCCAGCCAGCCAGCTCGTACCCTTCCCCAGGTTACTCCATTCCATTCCAACCCCACCCCCACATTTTTCCTGTTTTTCTCCTAAGGCACTCAGCATTGGCCACTGTGCATGCTCAGACAATATTGGGCTATTTTTGGCTGCACTGATGATTGGTTTTCTTGTACTTCTGTAAGCTATAGAGGGCCACCCCCTCAGGTTCTTGTTTGTTGGTGGCTCTACTTTGGCTACAGTCCCATCATCTCTCAACAATCAAGTTTACTATTAGAAGCAGAGATGTGGATCCTCTGGTGCTTTCTGCTTCTCGCTCTGGGTTGTATCCAAGCTTTACCTGTCAGAGTAGACCCACTGAAATTAATGGATCCGAATTAGTCACATCCATTAACTACAATGGGTCTATTATGAGTAGGACTAGCACTGGTTTCCTACTCTTTGGATCCCCCTTCCTTTAAATATTAAGGCAGGTGCCATCTCCAGTGTCTTTTGGAACCTACTGAAGATCGTCTTCTTCCCACAAGCCTTCTGTGTACAGATCTTTCCCAGTTTGCATCTGCTTAAGAACTGTGTTTAGACAGTTTATCTTGTGTTTTTGCTGCTCTGGGTGCCTTTAGGAGAAGGGTAAGGATATCAATTTGAACAACAACAGCAGCATAAACTGACCTATGCTCTTTTTGCCAGCTGATGGCTGGCCAGTAGATGCCATGGTGACACTTGCCATGGAAGCAGAGTTGGGTGGAGACTGCATCTTAAGTGAGCTTGGTGAAGGTCCCTAAAACAAAACAAAACAAAACAAAACACAATAGTAGTTAGGCCAAGAAGCATGCAAGGAAGGATAAGGGCTTGAGAGATGGTGCACTCTAGGGCAAGAAATAACTACAGGCAGCGACCATTTTGTGCATATCTGATTGACGCGCGACCACCGACACCTCCTGGAAGGGACAGGGTGGAACAGGGTTGGAGCAGAATGGGCTGACACACACAGTGACCTGGAACACCCCCCACACAAATGGGGAGTTGCCTCTTTGCAGTTCCCGTGAAAAAGAGGAGGCACCATGCAAGGGCAGAAGAAACATGTCCTTAGGAGGCACACAGAGAATCTGCCCCAAGGCAGTTAGGAAATCCTATGCATGTTCAGCTTGGCACACCTGCTGCTTGGCCTTACCCACTTCAGACTGCAAGTGGGTAAATATGGTTGAATGCAAAACAACCACCAACAACCAAACCTTATTGCACATAGAAAACTTGTGTGTCAGGGAGAAGGCAGTAAGTAATAGCCCTTTCAGAGTGCAAAGGTTGGAAGGCTTAATGTGCCATGTTCTTGGGGCACCATCAGCCATCCAGCTCAGAGGTGGACCAAGGAATAAGAGGCAGCACCCTGGTGAGGCAGTGCGCCCAACTACTCCTGGACCATCCAGACCAGAAGGTGTGGTCTTGGCTCACCCCTTCAGCTAAAAGGAGTTAGCAGCCAGTTCTCATAACAGACTTGTTTTTACATCATTTTAATTCTATTGTAGCTTCATTACTTTTTAACTATTATCTTACATGTTTTTAGCAATCTGTGTTTAATCCATGTTTGTTTTAACCTATGTGAGCCAGCTTGAGTCCCAGTTCTGGGGACAAGATGGGATAGAGAAGAAGAAGAAGCCTGAAAGAGGTAGTGGGCTCCTCTACAGTTCAGTCTCCTTAAATGCTACCTGCATTGTTCCCTGAATTGGTGCAATGTCCTCTGAAGTGCACCTGAAATGGTATCATGTTACCATTTATTAGGCCTCCGCAAGAAGCTTTCATGCCCTAAAGCTGTGCCAATATCACCTTTGTAATTGGTAAACCAAAGTTTAGGAATCCCCTCCAGACAATGCTGAGTGACAACTCCCATCATTCCTGGCCATTGGCCATGCGAGCTGCAGGGGCTGATGGGAGCCACAGTTCACTAACATTAGGAAGTCCATAAGCATATTGTTTGTGGCTGTAGGTTTTGAAATCATGAAACTTGAATGACTAGTCTTCAGCAGATTGCAAAGTCCAGGTGTCTTGGTCCCCCTCCCTAACTTGTAATAGTGTCTACTCTGGTCCTGGAATAACATGGTGTTGGTCGAGGAACCTAAGCTGCTGTCTGTTACCTCTTGAGGCAAACCTTGGACATAGTGGCGTGTGTGTGGTATTTGTGTTCTCTGTCATGTGTGGTCTTCTCTGAATGAGTAAATATTTTTTTTGCAGTCTGAGTCAAGGAATTTGAGAGCTTGTGTTTGCTAGAATTTGGGATACATGCATTTATTACACACACAGCCCAAGAAGATAACAACAAGAACGTACTGATAGCATAAGAATCAATATGGCTAACTTGACCCAACAACCCCTCCCTCTCATACAGATGCCAGCAAAACTCACTGCAGCCAACTGGAGGAAACCAGCCATGCCCCAGGCCCCACAACATCCCTCAATTCCAATGAAAACTAGTAAGTGAATAAAAAGAGAACCTACCCAAGTGACAAGGACACAGAAATCTTGCACATACACTATGTAAAAGAATGAAAGTCTACCACCCCCTATTCTCTCCCCACCTCATATCAGATATGATGGATCTGTAGAAAGGACTTCAAGATCTGAAGATTGAGAAAATGTATGTACTTTCGTAACCAAGTAATTTTTTAAAATAAAGACACTTGGAAAAGTGGGAACATATGTGAACTAAGGGGTTTAAAATTACATTGTGTTACAATCTTAAAGAGAATTTTTATAAAATAATATTTGGTATTTAACTCCTGAGAAACTATTCAGAATTCATAAAGATGTTTCAAACGTTTGCTGGAAATGCCAAGAACATGAAGGGACATTTTTATCATGCCAGTGGGCATGTAAAAAAGCTACAAAATATTGGCTGCACAAACATACATGCATATATACAGCAGATTTTAAAAGGCTAATATTCAATTTAAGCCAGAACTTTTCCTCTTAGAGCTAATGGATACACAATTAGAACAAGATTGTGGAAGATTACTCCAATATATGATTACAGCAGCAAGTGTGCTTTACGAATAAAGATGGGGAGATACAGCATTACCCACTATAGGAGAATGGCTGATAAAATTATTGGATCTGGCTGAGATAGCAAAGTTAACATGCTTAATTAGAGAGAGAGAGAGAAATGTTTTTGACATTTGTCAGAAATTTGCATGATAAGAAAATTAGGGTAGCCATATATCTGGATCTTCCTGGACATTACCAGAATTTCAAAGGTGGAATTGATGTCCGGGGGGGAGGTGGAGGATTTCTGAAATGTGGTGTTTTGTAGTTTGTGGGGGGTGGGGTGGGGAAGAGAAGCTCAACAATTCTGGGGGCTTCCTTTTTAAAAAAAAATAGCAACACAACTTTCAGGGTGTCCTTGTTTTTACTTTTTGAAATACAGCAACCTTAAAGAAAATGAACTTGTAATATCAGGATTTGAAGATAGAAAAAGTACTAGTTTACAGAACACAGAATGGTTGGATTTTAACAAATGAATATCATATGAAGCTGCAGGACAAAGAACTGGAAGTTATTTTACTCTTTTCTACATTTCTTTAGTTTTTTCTCTATTTCCCCTTTTCTCTTACTTTCTCTCTCTTTAAGTCTGTCCTCTTCTCTTTTCTTCTTTCTAACTTTGTTCTTTTTTTAGACTAAGTAGCTGTTTCAGTATATTATAAAAAGATACTTTACAATTCGTATGTATTTTTGTTTATCTATGAATGCCAATACATAACTTTAAAAAGAAAGAAAGAAAGAAGCTTTCTGGGAAATGATTTATAATGAGTTTTAAAAAATGATGAAGGTAACTTTTGTGAAAAAAACAGCAGCTTTTATTTTAGGTATAACTGATGGAGAAGTACCCAGGGGACAGTGGGAAAAAGTTTATGTATGCTACCACAACTGCTCGAATGATTTATGCCCACAGATGGAAGAAGAAACAGTTCCTATAAAAGAAGATTGGCAATTAAAATTAATGGAGTATGCAGAAATAGTGAAACTCACCAGAAGAATAAGAAATCAAGAAGAAAGACTTTTAAAAATAGAGTGGGGAAATTTTATTATTTGAAGATATACTATAAAAAAATCAAAATATTAGTGGGACTGATATAAACACATGCAGTAAGAGATAATTAAGTGGAAGATAAGGGAAAATGAATATATTTGAATTGGATATGCAGTAATAAAAAGATATAGAATAAGTAACCACAGAAAGGAGGGGAGGGAAGTCAAGGGGAAGGTAAATTAGATTTGTAAATACTTTGTTTTTCTTGTTAAAAATATATGTAAAAGGTGAAAATGAAAAATGAAAATTAAAGAAAGAAAGCTTGAGTTTGTGCACTGAGCATTAAAAACCCTTCCCTCATGGGGCTTACGAAAGGCAGTTGAAACAATGGGAGAAAATTGGCATATCTCCTCAGAATTATGCCACTTGTCAGGGAACTGACATCGGAGCCAGAGGCGGAGGCTAGGCTCTCGAGCGATGCTGGAGAAGGGCCCAGCAGGGGGAGAGGCGGCTCACCATCTGGGGAAAGAAATCAGCGTAACACCAGGGATAAAGGGGGGCAGATGGGGGAATCAGTGAGGGGGCTCCAGGACTCCTCGCCGGAGATCAGTGCGGAGAGCACGGGTCCTCCGCTACCCACGCCCTCCCTGCGCAGAAGACTTCTGCGCAGGGAGAGTAGGAGGAGACTTGGAGTCAAACAACTTTTATGCTGGAAAAGGTTTAAGAAACGCCCACTGACGGATTCTGCTAGCGACTGAACAGCCACGAAGTGCAAGGGCTGTCCAGACAGAAAAGGTTTAACAAGGCAACCTAGCCAGGAGTGGCACCAACTTGCGCACGAGCAACCCCTACATTTATTACACCACTATTCAGTCCCATTTCCCAAACTAGACTGTGACATATGGATGCTTTTAAGGGCTTGAAAACAGAATTAATCTGATCATGGTTATAATACACAATAAATTTAAATAAGCTCTGAGGCTTGAGTTTTCTTACTTACGTTATCCTGAAGTTTTCCTGTGCCTTTCAGTTTGAAGAAAAAAGGAGGGTTAGCAATTTGCCTCCCTTCTTCTATACCAAACTCCTCCCTGACTGCTTTATGCTATCTTGCAGCTTTTGACTTGCAGTGTGCTAGGAAGCAAGCGATTGGCAGGGAGATGTCCTCTTCCTTTGTCATAGTTTTAAACAACTTTGGCAACAAGTAGCTTACTTTCATTTTGTATTATTAACCTTTGCCTTTTGCTTTGTATTTTCTTTCTTATTTTATTACTTTTTAACTGTTACGACCGGCTGCTCTCGCTTATACCTTTAAAAATTGTATTATTATTATTATTATTATTATTATTATTATTATTATTATTACCCCAGCCATCTGGCTGGGTTTCCCCATTCACAATTATAAGGTGGCAATTCTAAGCAGCAGCATTAAGGATAAGTTGTGCATTTGGCAACCTGCCTGTGTTTTAACTCTTTTAAATTGAAAAACTTACATTCTGCCCTTCAAAACTCTGCAGATAGGCTAGTCTTGATTATAAGAATAGTTCAGCTTTAGCAACTGCACAGCCATCAGGACAGAAGAGCCAGAAGCTGTTTTGCTTTGTGAAATAATAATAATAATAATAATAATATTTATACACCACCCATCTGGCTGGGTTTCCCCAGCCACTCTGGGTGGCTTCCAACAAAACACTAAAATAAAATAACCTATTAAACATTGAAAGCTTCCCTAAACAGGGCTGCCTTCAGATGTCTTCTAAAAGTTTGGTAGTTATTTTTCTCTTTAGACATCTGGTGGGAGGGCGTTCCACAGACCGAGAAGGCCTCTGCCTGGTTCCCTGTAACTTGTCTTCTCGCAGTGAGGGAACCGCCAGAAAGCCCTCGGAGCTGGACCTCAGTGTCCGGGCATAAAGATGGAGGTGGAGACGCTCCTTCAGGTTTACTGGACCGAGGCCGTTTAGGGCTTTAAAGGTCAGCACCAACACTTTGAATTGTGCTCGGAAACATATTGGGAGCCAATGTAGGTCTTTCAAGACCGGTGTTATATGGTCTCGGCGGCCGCTCCCTGTCACCAGTCTAGCTGCCGCATTCTGGATTAGTTGTAGTTTCCGGGTCACCTTCAAAGGCAGCCCCACATAGAGCGCATTGCAGTAGTCCAAGCGAGAGATAACTAGAGCATGCACCACTCTGGCAAGACAGCCTGCAGGCAGGAATGGGTTTTACACACACAAAAAGGAGGGAGGAATGAACAGCAGCAGCACCTGCGGCTGCTAAAAACTGGATTAGGTTCTCCTTGTTTTAAAGCTAATACAGAGGCAGCCATTAACATATTTGTAAGAAAAATTAGGCCAATAACTTTGTCAAAAAGGGACAGGGTGCACGGTCTAGAAAACTTCCTGTGGCGGAAGAGGCTTTGCCACTACGAAGAGTGAAGACTAGCTTGCTGCTAATGGGCCTATTCTTGCCCTGCTAACCAGCGAGGCTTGTGGAATGAATGGGACTCTCTTGAAAGCCCCGGATGAACTCTGCTTTTAGTCTCCTGCTATTTCTTCAAATTACAGGTGTCTGAAAAGTGGGATAATAATGAGGGCATAGAGATTTCTCTATCCAAAGGGGGTTAGGAACCCTCCTAGAACCACTGAAGGATCTTTATCATTGGAACCTGGAGACTGGATCTATGTTCCCTCGCATCCTGAAACTGGACTGTTGCAAGTGTTTCTCACTTCCCATGCTGCTGCCAAGCACCACAAGCCACAGCCTGGTGTAAAAAGGTGTGTCCTCCTAATGGCCTCAAGACAACTACGACTTGATCTTGGAGGCCAGGGACATAGATCCTTCAAACTCGATTCCCCGGTGGAAAAGAAGAGGAGCAGGAGCTTAACAACACCTATCTGAACACCATAGATGTGTGTTATGATCAACTTGTGTGGGTCATACCATTCCTACCACCTGAGGAGAAGGGGCAAGCCCATTCCTTGCATGCCTTGTTTTCTCCTTTGGATGCCCAATCACATGGATTGATCCAGAGAACAAAGACTGTCATCCTTCAGACAATTTTTTGGGCCTGAAAAGAGCAATCCTTGGTTCTCATTCTGTTTTGCGTGTTTCTTCTCAATTGGTTAGAGCATGGTGCTGATAATGCCAAGGCTGCAAGTTCAATCCCCATATGGGGAAGCTGCATATTCCTGCATAGCTGTGTATTCCTGTGCTGCAAGGGGTTGGACTAGATGATCCTCAATGTCCCTTCCAACTCTGCAATTCTATGATTTTATGATTCTTCCTCACAGGGATACATGCCTTCAGAAAACCTTTGGGGCTGAAATATAATGGTACCTCGGGTTAAGTACTTAATTCGTTCCGGAGGTCCGTTCTTAACCTGAAACTGTTCTTAACCTGAAGCACCACTTTAGCTAATGGGGCCTCCCGCTGCTGCCGGAGCACAATTTCTATTCTTATCCTGAAGCAAAGTTCTTAACCTGAAGCACTATTTCTGGGTTAGCGGAGTGTGTAACTGAAACGTATGTAACCCAAGGTACCACTGTATCTGATTCATGGACTCTATTCCATAGCTCCCCCTTGAATTGCTTATAGTTCTACTGTAATATTTTGAGTACAACATCCTAGGCTTACTTGTCATACTGTTATTATTGCTTGTTCTGTGTGTGATCTCTAGAGCTACAAAGGGCATCAGCAGGATGTAACTGAGATTGTAACGTTGGCAAGTAAATAGGGTATTGTAGAGAAGGTGTTAAAGAATTACGTTCAGGCTGCATTAAGCATGTGTCATGAATGCTGTGTGCACATAAGTTGAAAGAAAAATGAAGCAGAAAGCCAAAAAAGAAAGTGAAACAAATGGTTGGAAGTTTAAAGGAGAATTATGAATTCCAAAGCAAAGGTAAGGGGGCTTTTTTTCTGAACAAAGGGAGAGATTGTTGGATAATTACAGTGGAACCTCGTGTTATGGACGGGATCCATTCTGGAGGCCTGTCCGTAACGTGGAACTGACGCAAGCCGAAGCGCCACATCTGCACAAGGTGCGATTTAGCGCTTTTGCGCATGCGTGAGTGGCAAAACCCGGACGTAACCCATTCCAGTACTTCCAGGTTGCCGCAGGATGCAACACAAAAACATGTAACCTGAAGCGGATGCAACATGAAGTATGACTGTATAGAATGGAAATGTGTGTAAGAAGGGCTGAGCCCAGAGTATTGGACTTGAGCCCTAATATTTCCCTAACAATATACTATTAGTCACCTGCACAGGCCTGGTGGAATAGAATAGTTAGCAGCAGGCATTTAAAAGTTGGCACAGAAGATGTCCACTGAATCTCCAGTGGCAGAGTGTTCCACAGGACTGGGCCGATGACACTAAATGCTTGGTTTCTTGTTGTCATCAAACAAGCCTCACCAGCTTGGGGTATGACCAGACACACTCCTGCAGATGATTCTCAGTGATCAAGCTGGGATATAAAGGATTATTAGGCAGTATCTTGGATCTATGCAGTTCAGGGCTTTGTAAATGAATACATGGACCTTGAACTTGGCTTGGTAGTAGAGGGACAGCCAGTGCTAATGTTTCAACAGTGGTGTCATATGGGACAGGACATAAGAAGCTAAACTTATGTACAAATCAGACGTTTAGGTCCATTTGGCTCAGTATTGCCTACACTGACTTGTAGTGGCTCTCCAGGGGTTTCAGGCTAGGGACTCTCTCCCAGCCTTAACTGGAGATGCCAGGGATTGAATTTGAGGTTTACTGCATGCAAAGTAAGTGCTCAAGTACTGAGCTACACCCCTTAGCAAAAACTCTGGTCTCTACGAAAGGAAAGGTCTATAAAGAAAGAGAAGTTTCAAGGGACGGGCGATACCTGGCTCACTTGATTGGTAGCTACAGTTGCCAGAACTTGGTGGACAGCTTGTGCAGCCGACTGAGGAACCGAAGACCTGGAAAAGGAAAAGGAAAAAGATTTCAGAGGCCAAACAAACCACCAAAGAATTCAACAAACAAAACACAGGAACAAAGGAGGCTGCCACTGAATGAGCCAGATTGTTGGGGTGCATATAGCTCAGTATTTCCTACAGTGAGGGGGGAAAGTATTTGATCCCCTGCTAAATTTGCCTGTTTGCCCTCTGATGAAGAAATGACCAGTCCATAATTGTAATGCTAGGTTTAATGTAGCTATGAGAGACAGAATAACAACAGGAAAACCCCCAGAAACCCAGAAGACAGAAGTCAGAGATTGATGTGCATTATAATGAGTGAAATAAGTATTTGATCCCTTTGCAAAAGATGACTTAGTACTTGGTGGCAAAACCCTTGTTGGCAATTACAGAGGTCAGACGTTTCTTGTAGGTGGCCACCAGGTTTGCAGACATCTCAGGAGGTATTTTGTCCCAGTCCTCTTTGCAGATCCACCAAAGTAGCCACCAAAGTAGTCAGAGGGCAAACGGGCAAATTTAGCAGGGGATCAAATACTTTCCCCCCCTCACTGTACACTGAATGGCAGAGGCTCTCTCCCAGCCCTTTCTGGAGATGATGAGGATTAACTCTGTGTGACAGCATAAATGCTAAGCTGCCAAAAAAAAATGCAAGATTCTCAAAGGGCGTGTTGCCTGCTGCACCCCTTCATGAGTTACTGTTGTGCCGATTACATTCTGCCAAGATTGCATAATTCTCCTCCATCTTTGCATAGGACAAGATTGGGTCCATAACATCATTCAAGACGCAGTAGAGTCACCCTTCAAGTCAGTGGCAGCTTGGAGTATGTTTGCATGAGTCTCTGCTCCATCAGTTCGGATGGGTTATGCCTAGTGCAGAGACTCAATCAAATGCACCAGAGATAGGAATTCTCTAGCCTTTTTACTGCTTTCATATTTACTCCATTTTTATCCCATCCTTCCTCCAAGGGCTGCATTCCCTTCTGGGGGCAACATGCCAATAGGAGGTGGGGCAAGAGGCAAGAGTATGAGAAGCAATCATTGTAAATTTTTTACTTTCGTACAGTAGGCTAGTTTCTACAAACACACTGATCCACCCCTCTCTATCCTCCATCCAAACAAGCAAGCTAGAGGCTTTATAAGAGTTCACGGGCACAGCCCAGCAAGGCAAACACACTCAAGATGCACCCCCACCCCTACACTGCTTGTGGGCTTCTTCTTGGTTCCTGTTGATAGCAGAAGACCTGTGGTCTGATCCAAGAGAATTCTTTTTGTGAGGGTGTTTGCAGAAGGCTTGCTTGCAGCAACAGCCAGGAGTGGGTAGGGGATGCACAGAGAAAGTGTTGCGTTCCCCTTTGGTGTGAGTGTGTGTATACACACAAACACACTCCTCCATTTACATAGACTGGGTTCTTTTATTTTTTGTCACACTGACAATAACATGAATCAATCCCTGGCATCTCCACCCTGGTTAGCCACTGCCAGTCAGTGAAGACAGTACTGAAATAGATGGGTCAATGGTCAAACTTCGTTACAAGGCTGTTACAGCTCTCTGTGTACCTATTTGGGAAGTAGCTGCAGCTTGATGGTAGAGCATGAGGAAATTTTGTCCATGGTATGATTATTTTCCACATAGACATTTTGATACGTTGGCACACTATTTGCAAAATTTAACAATTCCAAAACACAGGCGCACTTTCACTTACGCAAGATTAAATATACTGTCTTCAGCTTTACTTGAGGGTTGATTTCATTGGAAAAAAGCTTATGCCAAATGTGGAGATGGCAGTATTGAATCAGTAGCTCATGTGCTTCTACCTTGCACCCTTTATAAATATTTGAGGAGTGAAGTTATTACCCCTCTACTATTGTCCATACCAGGTCACTTAACCATTGCTACTGTGACTTTTCTTCTAGAAGATCAAGATAACCAGGTGACAGCAAAAACTGCAATTTTTTTTATCAGGCGCAATTAGAATAAGATCTGTTATTTGATTGTTGATGTAAACCTCCAGAATGTATTTTATATAGTTAGGTTTTTACCTCTATGTTGGGTACATTGTATTTTATTTTATTGCTATGGCTAGTGGCCGATGCAAATAAAGATTATTCTTCTTGATGGTAGAGGATACGCTTTAAATGCAGACAGTGCCAGGTTCAATCCCTAATATATCCAGGTAGGACTGGGAAAAGACTCCATGCCTTAAATCCTGCAGAGCTGCTGCTGGTCAGTGTAGACAGTACTGAGCTGAATGGAATCAATGGTCTGACATAGTATAAAGCATCTTTCTATGTCCTGACCAGTTCTCATTCTCTTTCTCTCGTTCTCTCTCTCTGTTCCTAGGGTAATCGTGTTCCTAATTAATATTTAACCCTTGAACCAGCCATGTGCTGGGATTATGAGACGTAACCATCACCATCAGTGGCGTCAGATAAAGCATGTGCAAAATCCCAGCAGGATATATATAAAAGACAGGCTGGCAAGCACAATATGACAGAGCAGATGTTTTTCACAGTAGCAGAGGGAATAAACAGAGCAGACGGATGGCCAAAAAAGCAGGCAGATCTGATGCTAGTTTGCAAGGAGGTTAATTTTTCACATTGTAAAAATAAAAAATAAAAATAAAAAGGGAAAGGAAAGGAAAGGAAAAAAAGGTGGAGTGAAAGGCAGACAATGGAAGGAGTTCGTGAATGACAAACAAAAAGAAGGGGACATAAACCAAAATGCGGCCAATTCACCTTTCAGGATGGAACACCAATCAATCACCAACTTACATAAAGGAATGACAGGTGATGTCTTTTCCACCGTAAAAGGGGGCAATTTGCAAAGAAGCAGCAGCAGCAGCTGAGAGGGGGGAAAGCTATGGCTGAGTGGTAGATAATCTGCTTTTCATGCAGAATGTCCCAGACAACTCTAGGCAGGCCTGTGAGAAACCCCTGTCTGAAATCCTGGAGAACTGCTGCCTGTAAATGAAGACAATACTGAGCTACATGGACCCGTTTAACCTGGTATAAGGCACTTTGTTCCCAACTTAGCAAGTGTATAGACAACTACGCATATTTGACCATCTGGCTGGGGATTTGTTTGGAGATGCTCTGAAGCGATAAACACGCACCAGGTGCTATCGTGCTTAATTGGGACTGGCAAGGTGGGGTGGTGGGGTGAAGGAGGTGGACATAAAAATCAGAGACTTGTATCCTCCATGTGACTTCAGGAAGGTTGAATGTACAGGCAACTCCCAATTTATGCAGGGGTTACATCCCGGAGCCTCGTGTGTGTAAGTGAAAATCGCTTCAAGTGGGGAGCAACCTCTAAACTCCTGTTAAATGTTCTCTCTGCCACTCTCTCTCCAATCCAGAGCAAAAATACTGTACCAAATATACAACTTCAACTGGAATTGAAGCTCTAGAGCTGGAAGGAAGCTAGAGGACGAGTGGAAAAGCAGTAGTGGTGGCTGTGCTGGCACACATCAGCTGTTAGGCGGGTCATGCACAATGTATATGGGCCATGCGCAAGTCAATCACATGCAAGTGGGGGTGCCTGTATTTGCATTCCGGTTCACTAAATCAATACGCAATTTAATTCTGGAAGGCCAGGGGACTAGAAACTTTATTTTAAAGACGAAAGCCAAGACCATGAAATACAGAGAACCTCTTCTTTTTCAATGGCCCCTTTGCTCCTTTAAAAACAAGCCAACCAGCTTCAGGAGCCCAAGCAGAGGCTCACCACTGCCTTTCTGAAACAATTACACTGCCCTACTGACAGCTGAACCTTCCTGCAAGCATGGCTTAAACAAAAACAATACATCTGAAAGGTGAGCAGAAAATTAAAAGGGTTTACCTACCCTATTATTGCAGAAACAGCTGGAGGAGAGGTATTACTCTTGAGTTCTCGCACATTCACCACCTGAGGGACATTCTTCAAAGTTGATTCAGTTAAGGAAGCACTCGCAGCTTTAAACATAATGATAATAAAGAGATATGCTAATGGTTAAAATAACCTGACTATGATTTATCAGACAAGGTTAAGAGGCTGCCTATTCAGAGAAAGAGCACCCGCTTTGCATGCAGAAGGCCCCAGGTTCAACCCTTGGCATCTCCAGGTGTGTTGTGTTCATTCTTAGACTGCAAGACAGTCTTGTTTTGAGTGTATGTAAGCAGCTCTAGGAGCCTTTCTGGCCAAAGAGCAGAGTACAAATGTTCTAAATAAAAATAAATAAATAAAACTGGGATTCAGAGGTGCACTGCCTCCAACAGAGGATGGCTAGTAGCCATCAAAAGCCACGGCTAAAAAATGCTGAAGTGCACACAATTGTAATAATCTTCCCATACGTTTGGGCCCTTCAGTGGCATCACCTCTTGAGACCCAGTATAACCTCTTTCAGAGACTGGCGTCCCTGAAGTCTTCCCCGGGGTGAGGATTGCAATCAGGGTCTTGAAATCATCTATTATTGGCTTCTTAGAAGATTCTTCAGTAAAATGATGATTTGGAACCACGTGATTCCCCTGTAAGCCTTGCCGAAATGTACTCTGCACAAGGGTAATGGTATCTGCCAGACTGCAATGTTGTTCTTATCGGTATATGATTGTTACAGTTGTGTGCCCGTCAGCATTTTTGTGTGTGGTTGTTATATGGTGTTGTGCTCTTTGCATATGATTTTTATATAGCAGCCATTGATAGCCTTGCTCTTCATGAATTTATCTAATCCACACAAGTGGGGCAGAGCATTGTTTAGGAGTGGAAGAAGGCTGTGTGCTCTCATTCCATTCACATGCTGAGCCGGTTTGGAAGATGGCCAAGCGACCAATGAGACTCCATTGAAGTATTTTCTGAACCAACCCTTCTCTTTCAGTCATGATTAAACCGCCTCTTTTTCGTTTGCTTTCAACGAAAAAGAGGCGGTTTAATCATGACTGAAAGAGAAGGGTTGGTTCAGAAAATACTTCAATGGAGTCTCAATGGCATGAAAAACTTCTCAAAAAAAACCGGAGTTAAAAAGTGAGGAGATGTGCAAAAAGGTAAAGATAAAGGACCCCTGACCATTAAGTACAGTCACGAACAACTCTGGGGTTGCAGTGCTCATCTCGCTTTACAGGCCGAGGGAGCCGGCGTTTGTCTGCAGACAGTTTTTCCGGGTCATGTGGCCAGCATGACTAAGCCGCTTCTGGTGAAACCAGAGCAGCTCACGGAAACACTGTTTACCTTCCCGCCAGAGCGGTACCTATTTATCTACTTGCACTTTTTTCGGGTGCTTTCGAACTGCTAGGTTGGAAGGAGCTGGGACCGAGCAACGGGAGCTCACTCTATCACAGGGATTCGAACTGCCGACCTTTTGATCAGCAAGCCTGAGAGGCTTAGTGGTTTAGACCACAGCACCACCCATGTTCCTTTGAGGAGATGTGCAGAGTCTACACAATCATTAGCAACCCCAAATCGATACCTGGTCAAAGTGTGAGGTTTACCTGGGTTCTGGGTAGCCATCTGTCTCCGCAATGCTGCCTCTGCTGCTGCCTGAGGTGCTGGGAGGCCAGTGGAGGGAGCGGGGGCTCCGTGCTTCACTGTCTTTGTTGCCAGCATTGTGCTGTCTGCCCCTTGGGGGATGATTCTGGGCATGGCTACTGGAATGGGGTGGGAGATTGTTAAGTTACTATGAACAGCAGAGAATCAAACATCTTGTAAACATCATGTAAGGTTCTACACACTTAGGCAGGAATAACTAGCTGCCCAAATATAAGATGGGGGGGCACCTAGCTTTCCAGTACTACATGTGAAAAGGATCTAGGGGTCTTAGTAGATCACAAGCTTAGCATGAGCCAACAGTGCAATGCAGCAGCAAAAACAGCTAATGCAATTCTAGGTTGCATCAACAGAAGTATAGTGTCCAGATCAAGGGAAATAACCAGTTCCACTTTGCCTTGGTCAGACCCAGCTACAGGACTGTGTCCAGTTCTTGACCACACATTAAGATGAATATTGAGAAACTGGAACATGTGCAACCAAGATGATCAAGGCTTTGGAAACCAAGCTTTAGGATGAATGGTTTAGGGAATTGGGTATTTTTAGCCTGGATAAGAGGAGACTGATGGGAGATATGATAGCCATCTTCAAATATCTTAAAATAACTGTAAACAAGTGAAAACGCTAGCAGGATTAAGGTAAATTCAACAGTATAATGTATAATAAAGAAATATAATGGGGGGGAGAGAATTAAACTAAATGGTTTTGTCAGACTATGCAGAAATTATGGGAAAATTAAAAGAACCATGGAAGGGGAAAGAAAGATGGGTTTTAGTTTCCTTCTCCTTTCCACCCTTTGAAGTATCAGGCTCTGCTGTTCCATACCACAAACTGCTCTTGAAGGACCCTTTCAAAAACAGTTTGCTAGACAGCTGGGGAGGCTGCTATTTCAGAGTCTTAAGTCCACAGCACCCATATGAAATCAGTTCTGTGGTTATCTGGTTCTGGGCCAAGGGCTTTGAGGCCCTGTGTGCATTTTTTTTTAAAAAAAATATTGCAATGATTTGAGACCAAAACAAAAAGTAAAAGGTCCTCTGAGAACCCGTACAGTAATAATAAAAATTTACACAAAAGGGTCCTATCTTCACAACAGCTTATCACAATTTCCACTTCCATTCCCAAAGGATGTGTTAATCTGTTAATGTTATTAGTTCTGCCTCCCAAGAGGCTTTCCTCAACTATACTAGCGTGTGTAGAGGCCCATTATGAATTTCCAGCGCTTTGTAACAACGTTTCCTGCCATAAACAGATTTTCAATAAGGGCTTCATGGCTGCGTATGTCGAAGTTGGCTAAGTATACCTGAAGGAGCGTCTCCACCCCCATTGTTCTACCCGGACACTGAGGTCCAGCGCCGAGGGCCTTCTGGCGGTTCCCTCACTGCGAGAAGCGAAGTTACAGGGAATCAGGCAGAGGGCCTTCTCGGTAGTGGCACCCGCCCTGTGGAACGCCCTTCCACCAGATGTCAAAGAGAACAACAACTACCAGACTTTTAGAAGACATCTGAAGGCAGCCTTGTTTAGGGAAGCTTTTAATGTTTGATGGACTACTGTATTTTAATATTTTGTTGGAAGCCACCCAGAGTGGCTGGGGAAACCCAGCCAGATGGGCAGGGTATAAATAATAAATAATAAATAATTGTTGTTGTTGTTGTTGTTGTTAGTCTCAGATTAATCCCAACCGTTACAAAAATACTAGTATCTTTAATCCTGCTGCTTATGCACAGAATTAGTATAGGATGCACAAAACTTCCATTTCATTTACGGCCTACTGACTTTCTAGGGGCTATAGAGCCACCTCTCTCACATGAATATGGCTATCCAGTCCAACCACCTTCCTTGTACGCCTATCTACCAAGCCACTGAAGTGTAGTGGTTAAAACAGCCTTTACCAACGTCTGGTTACTGTGGAATGGCGTTGGACAGCGAGTGAATTGGGGGAAGATTGAGGGCACCGTGCACCCCCAACTGAGGAGTCCGGCAGTGCGATTGCCGAGCTCTTTTCCCCACTCATTGCTCTGAAAAGAGTTGGGCGGGGGGGGGGGAGACTGAGCCAAAAGCACCAGGCTGCAACACAGCTCCACGGCAAAAAGTATCAAAGCAGTAACTTTTCCAAAAGTTTAGAGCTCTGAATTTTTTAAATAACAAACTGCATATTGAAATGGAAATCAATTTGGCAAATGTTGGGGGATGTAAAAAAGAGGTCCACCCCGGACGTGTTTTTTTAGAAAAATCTGCATGGGAACAATCTATAAGGTATATATTTTACTTTATTTTTCCTATTAGTAATTAATTTTCACCAGAAATATAAAAATATTTGAATAAAGTATATGGACTTTGTTGGCATTATTATTATTATTATTATTATTATCTTTGGTTTTATTATTAATTTTTATTATCATCTCCCTTTTTCTTTTTTGATCTTACTGTTATTGGCAGGTTTACCCCAGTATTGGATTATTCAGATTATTAATGGATTTTCCTGACACATGCTTCTCCTGGTTGGAATAAGACATTATTATTATTATTATTATTATTATTATTTCTCTGTGAGAGGGAACATTTACATGTACTTAACTGGCAAGACCTGATTTCTGATTTCAAGTTCAATATAGAAGGTAAAGTTATAGATAATCCGAAAGATATAAGAAAACATTTTGATAAGATTTTATTCAAAACTATACTGAGCCAAGGGACGCAGGTGGTGTTATGGTCTAAACCACAGAGCGTAGGGCTTGCTGACCAGAAGGTCGGCGGTTCGAATCCCCGCGACGAGGTGAGCTTCTGTTCCTCGGTCCCAGCTCCTGCCAACCCAGCGGTTCAAAAGCACGTCAAAGTGCAAGTAGATAAATAGGTACCGCTCCGGCGGGAAGATAAACGGCGTTTCCGTGTGCTGCTCTGGTTCGCCAGAAGCGGCTTAGTCACGCTGGCCACATGACCTGGAAGCTGTACGCCGGCTCCCTCAGCCAGTAAAGCGAGATGAGCGCCGCAAACCCAGAGTCATCCGCGACTGGACCTAACGGTCAGGGGTCCCTTTACCTTATACTGAGCCGGCAAAAAGAACATAAATAATATTGAAGAGGATCTTAAGCAGAATAAACGCTGAATGAAAAACTCCCAATTTACGCCATGGGAGAAGTTACGGAATTGGGATTTGAAATTTACAGGAGGTCATACTTTGAAAGAAAATTATATGAAAATGATGTATTGTTCGTACTTAACTCCTAGCAAATTAGCTAAAATGTATAAAACAAGGTCAAATACATGCTGGAAATGCAAGGAAAAAGAAGGCACCTTTTACCATACGTGCTAAAGTAGTAAAAGAATTCTGGGAGATGATATATAATAAACTGGGGGGAAACTGTTTAAAATAACTTTTTCTATAAAAAACCCCCAAAGCTTTCCTTCTAGGAATTCTAGGTGCCGAAATACCAATGGACCAGAAAAGACTATTTATGTATGCGACCACTGCTGCCCGAGATGGAAAGAAGACAGAGTCCCTACCAGAGAAGAATGGCAGATTAAGCTGATGGACTATGCTGAACTGACAAAAATGACCAGAAGTATCAGAAATCAGGAAGACCAAAATTTTAATAAGGAATGGGTAAAATATATAATTTACCTTAAAAATTGTCAAACAACCAAAACGGAAAGAGAATTCCGTCAATTCCCCAGGACTTCCTTCTTCCCCTTTGTGGGTCCTTATGTTAACTTTCCCCCCTTGCATCTCCTCTATTAATCCAAATCTATTATATCTCCATTACAACCATAATTCATCATTAAACTACAAGTATTACAGTGGTATCTCAGGTTAAGAACTTAATTCGTTCTGGAGGTCCATTCTTAACCTGAAACTGTTCTTAACCTGAGGTACCACTTTAGCTAATGGGGCCTCCCGCTGCCGCCACACGATTTCTGTTCTCATCCTGAAGCAAAGTTCTTAAATTAAAATTATTAGTAGGATTGGAATAATACTTGTAGTTTAACGATGAATTATGGTTGTAATGGAGATAGAATAGATTTGGATTAATAGGGAAGATGCAAGGGGGGGAAGTTAACATAAGGACCCACAAAGGAGAAGAAGGAAGTCCAGGGGAATCGACGGAATTCTCTTTCCGTTTTGGTTGTTTGACAATTGTTTGTAAATTTCAAAATCTAAACAAACAAACAAACAAACAAACAAACAAAGAAACAGCCTTTACCAATCAGATGTTTGAGGTGACATCTCCCATTAACCCTAGCCAGAAAGGCCTGGAACTGCCATGCAAGGAACTGGGGACTCTCTGAGGTCAATACCCCAGGGCCAGTCAATTGCTATCAACCTAACCTACCACACTGGGTTTTTGTGAAGATATACAGTAGTACCTTGGTTGTCAAGCGCCTTGGTACTTGTCCATTTTGGCACCCGAATGCTGCTGCAAACCAGGAAGTGAGTGTTCCAGTTTGCGAATGTTCTTTGGAAGCCGAATGTTCGATGGAGCTTCTGCAGCTTCCAACTGGGTGCAGGAACTTCTTACAGCCAATTGGAAGCTACGCCTTGGTTTCCGAACATTCTGGAAGTCGAACAGACTTCCAGAACGGATTCTGTTCGACTTCCAAGGTACCACTGTAGTAGGGAGAAGGAAACCATGTTTGCTGCCCTAAGCTTGTTAGAAAAAGGGCAGCATAACAGTGAAACATCAACAAATGCTGCAGTTTGCTCCCTCCCAGACCCTGCAGCTCACAGAAAGTAAGTCAGAATACTGAGGCCCAGAAGCAAAGAGGTTGAGCAATTTTCAGCAAAATGAGCAAAAGAATGTGTGAAGAATTAGGTTGAGGATGAGTCAGTGGAGAATTTAGGTTTCTTGGCATAAAGTGTCCATGTTTTCAGCAAAAGAGATTCCAAGCAGGAAAACATAGGAAAACTAATATACTTGATCTGACTAATGGTCCACCTTAACTCAGCTCAGCATCTAGTCATCTCTTCTTCTTCTTTTTTTAAATGCATTTTTATTAATTTTCTTTAGCATAAATCAAACAAACAAAACAAATACAATAAAGTTCCATAATCTTATACCCACTTGTTTTTTCATCGCTCTACCGAGCGCGGACTTCCCTCCCTCCCTCCAGCAGGTTTTCATTTTACACTTTACACTTTCCTTTCTGCAGTTTATTTTAATCCTGCTACAATCTTTAGATTTCTACAATTGTTTCCCCAGCATCTAGTCATCTCAACTCAGCTCAGCACCTGGTCTCCCAACAAAACTGACAAACAAAAATCCTGCAAAATGAAACACAAAATGAGAAAGATGTGCATTCTATAGTCTACTCACTCAAAGTGCCCATTGGGATGTGGGGTTTGCCATGAGGGAGGGGCTGTATCATTAGACCAGGCTGAATTGAGGGGGTTCGGACAACGGGGGCATGCCGGGGAACTTGGATTGGGGCAACCTCCTCTTCCTCTGGATCTGGGGCTTGAACATCCTCATTCTCCAGGGACTGGGCAATGGAAGACGTGGAGCTAACATCATCCAAATCTTCATCATATCTCAAGGACAGGAAGGCTGATTGGGAGAGGTTGGCTGAAATCATAAGGCAAAGAGGGGATGAGAGCAACAGGAAGCCTTCCTGATTTGGAAGCTAATACAGTAGCTTTGAGGGGGTGGGTGGTATTTCAGAAGGAAGAGTCATGGAACAAGATATGACGGGATATTGGCACTCTGATATCTTGAGGTGCCTTTGCTCTGACCCAGCAACCCCAAGATTAAAATTGGCTTAGACTGCATATATTGCCAATACATTTAAAGCACATAGCTTCCCCCAAAGAATCATGGGCTTAAGGTTGCTGAGAATTCTAGCTCCAAGGGGTAAACCATAGTTCCCATGCTGCTTTGAGGGAGAGTACATGTTTAAAATGTATAGTGTGAAAGCAGCTTTAGATTAATTTAAAATGGAACCAAGCACTTGGAAACAAGAGGGAGACAACAGCATACTCAAGCAAATCCCAAGGACTGGAGAAGGACAAAAACAACAACACCCCAACAACTCCCAAAGGGGAGCCCCTCCAAAAAGCAGGCCAATGAAGACCAAGCATGGTCAGTGGAGCTACAGAATGCCAAGTTGTCAATTAAAAAAGAAATATACAAAATGTGTTGGATAGTGAATTGGTCTGATAGAGCCCCTTACAGCTAGTAGAGGAGGAAGGCATGGCTACCCTGAACAGAAGGACCCCTTGAAGAGGAGAGGAATATATTGCAATGCTTTGCAGCTGGCTCCACCTAATGGCAAAGGCAGGCTATTGTGTGTGTCTGTATGTCAGGGGGAGCAGACAGTTGGAAAAACAACTTTGCCAAGTGATGAAGTTATTTTCAAGTCCCAGAGGATACCTGGTGCAGTTGTCCTTACGGGCGGCACCTTCCTCTTAGAAAGCAAATTCCTCAGCTGGGCCTGCTTCACAGGGGACAGTTTGGCTAGAAGAGAAGCAAGAAGTGTGATTATTTATCAAGCACTGCCAGTATGGACCCGTATAATCCTGCAGACATTCAGTTTCAATTGCAAACCCTTACATCCACTTAAAAAAAAAAGACAAGGTTTCTAGCCAACTGAGTTCTAGAGCAGATCCATTTAAAAGTAATGGACTGAAGTAAGACATGCCCAACTATTTCAATACATTTACTCTGAGCAGGAGTAAATTAAATGTTAGGAGATACCAACTTGCTAGTTACACATAGTGCAGCTTGTTGAACTCACGTTTCCCAGATGTACTGGGAACACTTTATCAAATTAACCTGAAAGCCAGCCCATGGATTTGAAACCAGTAGCAACCGCCATGGACTCCCTCCTCCACTGAGAACAGCTTCCCTCAACCTGGCACCCTCTGTAGGTTTTGGACTGCAAGTCCCGCCAGCACCAGCATGCTTTTGTAGTCCATAACACCTACTGAAAAGGTGGCCATAGGTAATTCTCTATTTTAGGATTAAATAAGATTATAATATTTGATATAAAAGAATGGTTGCAAAGTGAAACAAGTTACCCATGCTAGCCTTGTAGCTCTCTTCATATGAAGTATTTGTAACAGTTAATCACAAAAAATAAAATACGGATGAAAAATTATTCTGGGGGGGGGTTGTATGTAATGTTAGACCTACTCAGAGTAGATCCATGGAAATTAATGAACATGACTAACTTGGGTCCACTCCAAGTAGAATTTAGCTGCATACAATGTTTTGTTCATTTCCTCCTTTGCTTTATTACATCACCATCAAACCAGAAGAAAAACGAGTCCTCATCAGTCACCCGGCCCAGTCTTAAATACGCTAGTAGAATCTTCATGGTGGATTTCTGAAACTTTGTGAAGTTAGGGTTTTGGTTTTGGTTTTTTGCTTCACACTTAGCACACAAAAGCAGTTGTTTTATGGACAATACTGTAGCTGCTCCATCTACATTTTTATTGCTGTGACTATATTCTAACTTGTTTTATAGCTTCACTGTGCAGGAAAAAAGCAGAGTTGAGGCTCGAAGAAGCGACTCAAGCTAGACGAATTTTTTATATAATTTCATACAGCGGTTGGGTTCACATGTTAACACTAAGACAAACCATGGTTTAGCATGAACATGCTGGCTCCTGCAGAGCAGATCGCAGTTGCTTTGCCAGTCTTTTTAGGTCAGTTTGGTAGAGCAACTAAGCCAAGGACTGGCTCAGCTTGCATTCTGAGCCCAGGATTGCGATTTGGGATGCTCTTCCTTTACCACAATCAGTAGCCAAGGTGCCACACTATGCTGAGCGAAAAGGGGAGTGGAACAGGTGTGAGCATCTCCCTGGGATCCTGCATGCTGGCTGGGACTGATGGGAGTTGTAGTTCAACAACATCTGGAGGGCCATAAGGTTCTCCACACCCATCGTAAGTCATAGTGTGGTTGACTGTGATGTACAAAACCTTGATAAATTATTATACAGTAATCAAGACCGATTATTATCTCTGTGCAATGAGTCCCCTAAAGTGTGCTTGTTACACAGAAAACAAACCCACACACATTAGCACTACACAAGGACATGACAACAGACCAATGTAGTCACTACCTGGTGATTTTGAAGTTCTGGTGGAAGGTTGAAGAGTAGCTTTTGTCAAGGCGTTACTTAGGCTCTCCAGTTCACTGTCAAGGCTGAGTTGATGAGAGTTAGAAAAGCAGCAGGGAGGGAAAGGAAAAAAGAAGAAGCCAGGCATCAATCAGACCCTATTTACTGTTTCTGAAGAACTCAAAAAGCACAACTAACGTCGGATTCTTGGCACAGCAACAAGCCATGGCAGAAACGTGGTCTCAGCAACTTAAAATTAGCTAAAGGCAAAGCTAAAATATTTATGGGGATGAACCCAACATTAGTCCTACTTAGAGTATACCCATCAAAATTAATGGACATGGCTGATTTAGATAAATTTCAATAGCTCTACTTGGAATGCAGCTTGGCTGAATACCAATTTTAGCTCAATTTTTATACACTGCAATACGATTTTAGTTCATATACAAACCAGGGGCATCTGCAACAACGCTTATCAAAGCTCTTCCTCGGAGGATGGAAAAGAAACTGAAGCAAAAAATGTAATACTATGATGAGGTGCAGAGGAAGACACTAAGTTACCAATGCATCTTACCTATATGCTTACTGACACTTAGAAGAGGAAAAATATGTTCATATTTTATTTAACAACAATATAGCACTTAATTGTAAATGGAACCTCTAAGTGGCTTACAAAAAGTAAAGCAAAAACAATAAAATCACCTGGTTTGATTAACCATATATATATATACACACACACACACACCCTGATTGTAATAAATAAAACCTTAAAGCACTTTACAATAAACTGTAAAATTAGCAATACAAAACCAGAAACAAATTTTAAAACCTTTTAAAAGAAATAACATGAGCAATTAAAAAGAGCTTAAAGCATGTCAACATCTGTACATTTGGAGATGCTTGCCTTATGAAAGACAAGATAGACAGAATGTCAACATTAATTTTAATGTGTTTTTTTTCTTCTTATTGTGGATTTTAAATATTTTTTAAATTCCTGTTTCTATGTGTCTGGACAAGCTTACCTAAACAAAAAATGGGCACTGAAAAGGGAATAGTAAAGGCACCTGTCTGGTGTCATTAAACAAGAAGTTCAAAGTGATAGGACAGCATCCTCCTGTGATGGTTAGTAGGAAAAGAAGCCTCCACTGCACTTGTGGGAAGCAGGTTAGGCCAGTGGTTCTCAACCAGTGTGCTGTGGCACCCTGGGGTGCCTTGACTGACAGTCAGGCGAACACTGGCCTCCGTCCCTCTCTCCCTCCTCTGATGCCCTCTCACATCTCTGCATCCCAAAAGCTTGCACAGCTGTTTGTTGCAGCAGCCCTGGCTACAAGCTCTCCAGGCAAATGGTGCCTCTGGGGCTGGCCAGGGGGTGGGGGGTGGGGGTGGCTGGTTGCCAGAAGCTGAAGTGGCCTCAGAGTAAGCAAACAAGCGGGTGAGAGAGCCCAGCCAGCCAGCCCTTGCTGTTGGGAATGGTACCATAGTACTATTGTACTGTGGAGAGTGTATTAATTTATGGTCTGTGTTTGTGGTTTGGGAGCTGCACAGTCAGGGGAAAAACAATGCTGTCCAGGGTTGTAAAGACTACAGAGAGAATAATTTGGTGCACTCTTCCCACCTTGGATCTAATCTATGCTTCCAAGTGCCATAAGAAAGCTGCAGATATAGCGCAGGATAGTGCGCACCCAGGAAATAATCTCTTTCAGCTTCTGCCTTCTGGAAGAAGGTACAGGGTTAATAAAGACTAGGACTAGCCGCCTGAGAAACAGTTTCTACCCAAATGCGATTTTGGTTTTAAACGCTTTGTAAGGAGTCTGTATGGGAGTATATTGTATTAAAAAATGGGGCATCAGAGTTTTTGGAGGGCTAACCAGGTTGGGATAGCTGGGATAGCAGGCTTGCTGGGTTTTGAATGTCTTATGTAGATTTTTCAATTTCGTTGTTCTGTATGGGACAATGACAATAAAGAGTATCGTATCGTATTGTATCAAGAGACAAGTGGGAGGCTGCGGGGGGGGGGGGGAGTTCAGAGACTAGGGGCAGTGGTGGCAGCTGCCTGGAGGACTCCCAAGGAGAGGGGAGAGGAGAGGAGGCTGAAGGAACACTCCACAAGGAAGGGTGTTTTGGGAAAGAGGATGCTAGCCCTTCAGGCAAGGGGTGACATAACTGGGCTCCTGAGCCCCACAGGGGTGCTGCAGAAAGAACGTAGTTGGTCAAGGCAGCCGTGGACTCAAAAAGGTTGAAAACCTCTAGGTTAGGGGATACAGTACCGGCCACATGGCATGCACACACTGAGCTCTGTCCTTCAACAGAGGGAAATGGGGGCTGCTACCATGGCTGCCCCCACATCCAAGCATCCAAAGTCTGAAACAACCACTTCAGTTTTCCCATAAATAGAGCTGCATCTGTGAGCATTTACTGTTTTATATTTTTTTAAAAAAACAGTAGGGAATCTTTGATCCTCAACAATGACTCCCACCACACCTGGGCTATTGGCCAGGAGTGGATGGTAGCTGTAGTTCAACCACATTTGGAGGGCCAAAGGTCCCCCACCATCTGTTTTATAAGAACTCTTTATGTAGGCTGGCTTCCAGTGAACTCAGCTACTGTAAATATTGTAAATATTGAGTAGAGAGGGACCATTTTTTAGCTCACAGCTCTTAACCACTATGCTATTCTATTTAGACATTGAAGTACATATGGAGAAAGAAAAGCAAGCAACTCACAGGAAACTAGTGTTTACAGGCATGTTCCTTTGAGGAAAACTAAACTGGCCAGCAGGACAAGAAGATCCACCTGCATTATCAGTTACAAGAGGTTGGATTCCAAGTTCCGTAAGTGGAATCAGCCCATGGAATTGACTTTTCCATCTCCTTCCCCTCTAACTTGAGTCCCTTACCCACCATAAAACCCGCCATGATATGTTCTTCTTTGTGGGGAGGGGACTACCATAGTATAGAATGTGGTACTTGGGGATGGGGAAGGTGGTGGTGAAATTTGAGCAACTCAAAGCCCCCTGGGCAAAGGTAAGCAGCTTCTAGACATGTAAACACGTACGACTGTGCTCAGTATAAAGGATGGTGGGATACAGTTTCTAACAGAATCCACGGACTAAAAGTCACTATTATTCAAACTGAACAGAGGAAAATATTTTCAGAAAATGTTTACTCAATGATATTAAACACACACGCAAAGCTGGATGGGGCTGGTGATGGGTTGGAGGAATGTGGGGATGGTGGGGGTGGAACATGGTTCAACACATGTATCTGTTTCAGTCCACAACCCCTGAAAGCTCAAAAGCCTACTTAGTTTGTCCCACTGCCAAGTTCTCTGTTATTCATAGCACCCTTTGGGGCTTTAAGCACTAGATACACGCTGTTTTAAAAAAGTATGTATACACACACACAAGCTTTCCATTCCATCTAGACCCAAACACAAGGAAGGCAAATGTGGCTTACATCAAACATTAGACCCATTGAAATTAACAGACATGACCAACATAGATCCATTAATTTCAATGGATTGTGTTCAACTCAAATAGTAAACCTCTTGAAATTAATGGGCCTAACTTAGTAATCTTCATTCTTTTCAGTGTCTACGCTGAGCAAAACTTGGACACAATGCTCCTTCTTTGGCAAAGCTTTGGACTCAGCACTCAGACAAACCAATGCACTGCAGAGTGGGAAAGCAAAGCTGCTTGGGGGGTTTCTTGAGCTATGCCCACCTTTGTATGCTGCTGCTGGAAGAGGTGGTAGTGGATAGGCTCCACCGTGGCGTCTGATTGTACAAGCGGAGCTCCTGCAGGCTGCCCACCAAATTCTTCAGCCGTTTCAGCTGCTGGTCAATAATCTCCCGGTTATTGGTGAGGGCATTGAAGAGAGTCTCGCGCTCAGGTACCAGTAAGTGCCTATTTGGAAAAGGAAAAACCAGAAACCAAATTTCAACAGGGAGAGAAAGAGAGAGGCAAAAGAACACAGGAAAAAACAAAACAATGCAAACATTTAAAGAATGTCATATATTAAAACACTTAAAGCACAAATGCAGATTGTAAATGGTAGGTCAGAGAATAACGCTTCATATCTCTGCAGATGGAGACCGCAGGAAGGGAGTGCTCGTGTCCTTGAATGCTGCTTATCGGTTTTCTACAGCCATCTGGTCGGCCACTGTGAGAACAGGATGGACCATTGGCATAAACCAGAAGGGCTTTTCTTATAAGAACTGGGGTTTTGTTTCGTTTTATGATACCATCAAATTGTAGAACTGAGGAATTGGAAGGGACCCAGAGGGTCATCTGGTCCACCTCCCTGCAATGCAAGAATCTCAACCCAGTCAGTCCCCTCGTCCAGCTTGAAACCTGAAACCAGACTCTGCTTAGCTTTGAAAATGTGCCAGCAGTTTTACTGCTGCACCAACTGGCATTTGTTATCATGCTAGATATTTGTGTTTTTATGTTGCAAACCGCACTATTGATATTTGAAGACACTTGGCTTTTTGAGTATCACTTAGCTAAGAAGTAAGCTTGAAAACTCACTTCTGCTTTTTTTGCTGTTCCAGGTGCCGATCCCACTCCAAATCCAGGACATCATTCACATCCTGAACAGCAAATTTCACGTACTGGTGTAAGCGCCGGATTTCCTGCCCAGAAAAAAGAGGGTGGGGAATTTAGAATCATTTTTAATCCACTCAGGACACTATGTGGGTGTGTGTGTGTGTGTGTGTGTGTGTGTGTGTGTGTGTGGTTTGTTTCAGAAATTATTAAGATTATCAAGAGTTTACAACCATACTGATTTGGTTTCCTTCTGTGGTTAATAACAGACTGTAATCTATCTAGATTTCAATGAGGCTTCCAGCACCCAGTTGAGGAAATGTGGGGCAGGATGAATAAATAACCAAAGAATCAGTGCAAACAACCTTAGAGAAGGCATTTATTTTAAAACATTTCTATCTTCTCTGACCCGGCTTTAGCCTTATTAGTGATTGGGCAGCTTGAGGATACTAAAATAGTCCAATCGGAAACTTGTAGCTTCACATCTGGAACTAGCCAATCACTGGAAGACACTGGAGCTTTTGGAGAAAGGCAGGTTGGCTGGGATTTGGGAAAAGGCATTGTTAGAGGGCTTGACGTACCATAGTAGAGTACAAAGCAGTTTGCAGAAATAAAGGATGAATTTGAGAAAATCAGGCTGTCTTTCTTGATTTATGTAAACCAGAGCTGCCCTCCCTCAGCCTGCACCTCACTCTGCTGCATGCCTAGACCTGTCTCAAGCCTAACTCACAGTGGTGCCGGGAGGCCAAAGTGAACCTTCAAGCATTTTGTATACTGAAAAGGGTTATTTAATAATGGAAGTGGTTTCAAGAAAATGGGGCCAAAGTGGAAAGGGCTGTTGCTGTTCATGGGCTCCAAAGAGTCATCTGATTGGCCACTGTGAGAAAAGGATGCTGAGCCAGACAGGCCTTCAGTCGAATCCAGCCAGATTCTGCTTATCTGTATCACGTTACAGATCTAGATTCACATGTTTATTCAAGCAACAACGACTCAATGCCCTATTTTTATTTAGATGTGGCATTTGGGGAAGATGATTATTGCCTGCAGGGGGCCTGTTGGAGCCTCAACTGGTGTGCATGAATGATTGAAAATTGTCCCCAAAAAGGCTTCTTTAGTTTAATGAATGTGCTTGTTCCACTGGCTTCAGAACTCAGCAGGGCTGCGGAAGATATTGATTTGCTGGCTGCTACACTTGTAGGGAGAGATGGCTGCTGCTTTCGGCAAGGATGTGTTGCTATTTTGAAGAGCATTGTCAAAAGAGAGAGAGAGAAATGCTTCCCTCGATTTTAATTCCCTATAGCAAAAAAAGAGGCAGTATGCCTCTGACTATCAGTTGCTGGGAATCGCAAGTAGGGACAGCGCAGCTGCACTCCAGGCTTTCCACTGTGGCACCTGGTTGGCACTGTAAGAACAGGAGGCTGGAGAAGGTAGGCCTTTGGCCTGATCCAGCAGGGCTCTTCTTATGGCAAGGGAGTTATCACCCAAGGGCAATAAGAGATTAACTAACACCCTGACCTTACATTCAGCCTTCTAAGGTACTGTTTTAATTATGGTTCCTGCTCAGAGGTCGCATCCCACATTATCCTCATGCATCCAAGCTGTGTCAATTACACAATACCAGCCAAGGCTCAGTTCAATATTTTACAGTTCAGCACGACAGGGGAGAAATAGCTTGTTTAACTTCTGACACCCCAGGGGAGGAGAAGCGCAAGCAGAGTGAGGTGAAGTCTATCGTTCGAAAAAACCTTTTTGCACATTGGCAGGAACTTCCTGCGGCAACCCAGCATTTACAAGCCCATTTGGCTTCCAGCCTCCCCATCCGTGAAATTAACTGCAGCAGCTCAAGTCCTTGTAAATCATCACATCGAGCAGCATGGCACTTTGTGGTGATAAAACAATCCCCGATGATGAACCCACTTTTTCTTTATAAAAATTGGGTTAGAATTATTAAACTGGCACTTCATTACAAAAACTCTGCCCTCCATGTTTGAAGACGGAGCAAAGAAAAATGTTGAGAAGATGACATTGGCTTAAAGAACAGCCTCTAGGCCAGCGGGCCAACAATTTGCCCTTTAGACAATCGTACAATGAAGGCACTGCTCACCCCAGAAACGTAGGAAGCTGCCTTAAATTGAGTCAGGCCATTGGTCCATCAAGCTCAGTACTGTCTACACTGACTGGCAGTGGCTCTCAGGGGTTTCAGGCAGGGAACATTCCCAGCCCTACTTGGATATGCTGGGGACTGAATCTGGGACTTTCTACATGCAAAGCAGGTGCTCTACCACTGGGCTATTGATTTCCCCCTAAACATAAGGAAGATTCTAGTCCTCATGGTTCTGAATCAACTGCCAATGTACACAGGAAGCTGCCTTGTACTGAGTCAAACTACTGGTCCAACTAGCTCAGTATTGGCTACACTGACTGGAACACTTCGCCAGAGTTTCAGACAGGGTTCTCTCCCAACTCTACCTGGAGATGACAGGGATTGAAGTTGGGACCTTCTGCATGCAAAGGAAATGTTCTACATCTGGGCCATGGCCACTTTAGCAAAAATAATAGGGACTGTCAACAGGTAGTCACAAACCCAATCCAGTCTACAAATAGTTTCCATCCAATCTGGGGAACTGCACATGTATTCACAGAGAAGCAGTACAACAGTGTACTGGAGAACCTGTGGTTCTCCAGATGTGGTTGGACTCCAACTCCATGAGTCCCAGCCAGCCTGGCCAATAGTCAGGGGTGCTAGGAGTTGTGGTTCACCAACAGCTGTAAGGACCAAAACATAGCTGCCCTGGGGTATTGGATAAAGAGACTGACTAAGACTAAGAAAGGGACGCGGGTGGCGCTGTGGGTTAAACCACAGAGCCTAGGACTTGCAGATCAGACGGTCGGCGGCTCAAATCCCTGTGATGGGGTGAGCTCCCGTTGTTCGGTCCCTGCTACTGCCAACCTAACAGTTCGAAAGCACGAAGTGCAAGTATATAAATAGGTACCGCTCCGGTGGGAAGGTAAATGGCGTTTCCGTGTGCTGCTCTGGTTCGCCAGAAGTGGCTGAGTCATGCTGGCCACATGACCCAGAAGCTGTACGCCTGCTCCCTCGGCCAATAAAGCGAGATGAGGGCTGCAACCCCAGAGCTGTCCGCGACTGGACCCAACGGTCAGGGGTCCCTTTACCTTTATAAGACTAGGGAAACCCAGGTTCTAATATCCAAAGACATGAAACTCACAAGGTTGCCTTGGGCCACTCACCATATCTCAGTCTAATCTACTTGACAGGGCTCTTGGGGAAGTAAAAAGAGGAGTGGAAGAGGTAAGAGATTCATATACACTGTCCAAAGCTCTTACCAAAACATTTCCAAGCAAACACGCTTAACTTCTGAGAAGGGAGCAACTAGCAGCAGGGAATGCTTGCTAGAGATTGGAGCAGCCTATGTGACATCTCTAACTGGAACAGGTACCATTACCTGCTGGGGACCAAATCAAGAAAGACAGCCTCTGCCTCCCTAGCAGATATTTATAATTTCCCCCTGGCTCCCAAAGCTCTGACCCCCTTGCCCTATCAAGGATCCTACCTGAAGTTGAGCTTCACTTTTGGGGTCCAAAGGCCTCTTATAGAGCAGGTGAAGATACGCAGAGTTGTGAGCACGCTTGTCCTTCTGTCTTGCTTCTTCCAGCCCTGCAAACCCCTCCAGCAGGCTTGTCTTCAGGAGGCTAAAGTCTGCATGAAGGGACTACAAGAAAGGAACAAAGGGAAAGGAAGACCCACCAGGAAGTAGGTGGAACTCTTTGTCACAAAACACATATGTGGCTTTTCCACAGACATGTTAATTCATCAGGTCTGGAAGAAAGCTATACTGGGGCAACAACACAGTTCAGCAGCACAAACTGTTGCCAGAAGCATGATTCTACATCTCAGGGGCAGGGGTGGTGGGACCTAACAAATCACAAGGCTTCTACAAGCCTGTCTGCATCCCAGTTCCCTGTTCATTTCTTTTTAAATTTTTGGCATCTGTATGCCACCCCATAACCATAACTAAACTAATTAGACAAAACAGAGCACTTAAAAAAACAAAACCCCAAGATAAATAGAACAAAAACAGTGGCAACAATAACATTAGCAACCTGTCCCATTATATGTTACTGAAATGAAGAAAGCCTTGGGTAGATGGTAACCAGGGTGGATTTGGGTAAGAATTACTGATGGTGCCGTTCAGTTCTGGTACTCAACATTAAAGAAAACTAAGCCCAGGGATTTGTCCTTAAGTGTGTGCCTTTTGCAACTGTTCTGTTTGAATATCAGGATTCCAGAAAAAGCAACAGCAGATCTTGGAAGCCTGCCCTCCCCTGGTCTAGAGGCTTCAACTGTGGCAAACTGTTTGCTTGATGCTGTCTTTATTTTATTTTCAGTCTTAGCTCAAAACCAGACCTTTTATTCCCACTGGAATTTTTAAGTGGCTTGCTGTGGATTTTTGCTCTAAAGTCATTCTGAGAAGTTTGAACAAAAAGTGGCTAAAAATCATTCAACAAATATATATGATTTGCCAAAAGAATAAAACCCAAACAGCCTTCAGACCATGGTTTCCAAGCCAGTCACAAATTATGGTTATCAGTTCAGACATGGTGCTAAGCTTCTTTAACCAGAAGATGGAACTATGCTGTATGCACATTTCTGTCATCTTACTTTTGTCTCTAGCTCAAAAAAGGTTTGTGGGACGGTTCCCCAAAACCCAGCAAACCTATTTACCAGAGGCAACACAATGGAGAGAGTACGTCTCCTTCAGGAGCACCAAACCCCCTTTCAAACTTCCTCCTTAAGAGTGCAATCTGATGGGAATAGGATAAGTATGATAAATAAGGAAAATACATGAGGTGTGCAGCCAAGGGCAAAGTGGCCTATTAAGGCACAGCATATTGTTTTCAGCAAATGAAAACATACACTCAATTATGAAACAATGGAGTGAACTAACTACTGTATTTAATAAGTGGGTCTTGAGTGGGGCAGCAATCAGAAGGCCATTTCAAACCACTGTGCTTTATGATACTGACTTGGCAGCTGTTTCAGGCAAAGCTGAAAATAAAATATATACACCACACAATGAAGAATACAACACCCACCTTGAATTACCAGGGCTACCAAACAGAGCAGACATGGTTAAGATTGCACAGAAAATGTCACAGTCTCAGTAATAGTAATACCGCCATAATCGTCCCATGCAGTCAACAGAATGAGAAGTTCTTCAATTTGTAAAAACCAGGACCTAACAAGTAACCCACTCTCAACACTGAGATAATTGAGCATGAAGGAAAACTTGGTTCTCAACTGGAGGCTACATCCTCCCCCAAATCCTCTTACCTCTGTTGTCTCTTTGATCTCCAAAAGGAAAGTGTGAAGGTCGTTTGACTCCATCCTCAACATCTCCTCCTCTTCCTCGGTGCCCACTTCGATGGCAGCTTTGGCTGTCCTGCCTTTCAGCTCTTCCATCTCCTTCTGGAAATGTGCAATCTACAGGAACAAGTTTAGTAGTTCATGCATGTTAAATGACGACACACCCAACCGCTGAGAGCTCAGGTTGGGGAAGAACAGTACGGACAGCAAACATGTTGCCCACCAGATGTTGTTGGACTACAACTCCCATCATCCTCTGACCATTGATGAGAGTTGAAGTCCAACTTCATATGGAGTCCAGGTTCAAAGAAAGGTGACCTGGGGAGGAACAGTACATCATAGCTCCAGAAAGCCTCACCTCCTCCCTGATTCCTATGATGACAGGATCTGAATCATTCCACTGGTGAGTCTGTTTCTCTACCCCAGCAGTGGGTGGTTGCTGCCGACCCTGCAAGGCACAAATGTTTTATTATTGTTTGATGGGGAATTTTAGAACTAAAATGTTCTGCTATGAGAGATAAAACAAGAAAACTTCTGAATATGTAAAAGGAAGAGAAGGAGGAAGGCGGGAGCATGTGTGTTGAAAGCGAAACACAAGTAAATAAAATTTGTAATTTGCTTGTCTATACGGGTGGGTCTGACAATAATGGTACAAAAAATTAATACCAAGGACAAGAAAAATTAAGCCTCCCCAAAATTAAAACCTGCCCCCCTAAAATCTCCTAAGCAACCCCCACCCCACCCTCAACAGTGTTTAGGCACCCCGAGACACATATCCACCAGGAGTCACAGATAAAATGTCTTCCTTCCTAAATAACCACCTAATATGCATAGGAGCACACTCTTGGGGTTCACCCATGTAACTGAATGTCTCCCTTTCCCAAATCTGCTCAGAGACTCCTTCAATCTTTCAGAGAGAAGCTGTGTGAGATAGAAGCAGCTTTGTTCATGCAGTAAACTCTGTCGGATTTGATCCTTGTTTTTGAGATGGAACAATATGGTTCCTGTCAAGGATAGACAGGTCAGCTTCTAATTACCGTACCTGGGAAGGGCTCACTTTTGAAACAGCTGAGGAAATCTTGGCCGTTTTCTGGAGCATGGAAGCTGGAGGAGCACTCTGAGAAGGACGCACCACTAAGAGTCCAAAAAGAAACAAAATGACTCACAGACTAATGAATTTCAAAAATTACAGGATTTGGTAAGTGTGGCTATCTGCTTTCAGGAAAATTAAGTTTATATGTTTTTATGTAGTTTCCATATAGCTGTTTTTAAGGTTGTGTTTTAGTTTTAATGACATGTTGTTTGTTTGTTTTTAGACTAAATGCTGCTTAGGAGATTTTTGAAATATTAAGTAGTAGATCAGAGCTCTCCAAACTGTGTGTTATGGCGCATTGGTGTGTCAGCTGCAGTGTGTAGGTGTGTCATGCAAATGCTCCCCACGCTTCTCCCAGTGCTGGAATAGGGTTAGTTTAACCTCCAGTTTGCTAGTAAAAAAATGAATTACTGTGTTGTGAAATGATACATGTCTAAAAAGCGTGTCACCAAAATGAAAAGTTTGGAAAGCTCTGCAGTAAATAAACACTTTAAATTAAACTGAATAAAGAAAGTCGTCCGTCCGTCCCCCCAAGAAGCAAGAGATTCCATAAGCGCCAATCTCCACTGCCTGATGCAACAGCGGGCAGAAATTAGCAAGAAAGAGCAGACCACCGTGGCAAAGAGAGCTCTAAGCACACATGTGACCATCCCAGAAAGGAGGGATCACAGCCAGGCAGTTAAAAATAAAATAAAATCAAATCTGTGTGGCAGCAATAGACATCTTCAGCAAAAAGAACTAACCACTGTGGGATGTTGAAATGCCACTTACATTTTTGTACAAAGTTTATAGTCCTCAATCCCTGTTTCTCATACTAATCCACATGTAATGCAGTCACAACTACATATGAGGTTTCATCAGCAGAAAAAGGGGGAAAGGGAGAGGGGATGTACCTGCTGAAGAGACTGGGGTGGAAGCCTTGATCGGCACTGCAGGAGGAGGGCCCAGCACAGTGGACTGAACCTGAGTCCCAGCAGGTACAGGCTTTGCAGCAGGTGAAAAGGAGAACATACTGGAGCTTTGGCCGCTGTTGGCAGCTGGTGTAGAAGATTCTGCAGCAGCGAACCTGGGGAGGGAGGAAGAATAGAAGAATTCATGCTCTTGGGACTAGGACGCTTCATGGTACAGGCCTTTTGCAGGTGACTGTTACCCGTAGCTGCATGAAGGGTGCCCTTGGTCACACCCTGTGCCATCAGCACTCTGCAAGAGCAGTGGAAATCCTCTGTCCCACAAATGTATTGAAAAATAGCTGCATTATATATTTAAAGCAGTACCAATAGTCAGGGCTTCTCCAAAAGAATCAAGGGAGCTGTTGCTTGTTAAGCCTGCTGAGATAAGTTAAAGATAAAGGTAATGGGACCCCTGACCATTAGATCCAGTCGCGGACGACTCTGGGGTTGCGGCGCTCATCTCACTTTATTGGCTGAGGGAGCTGGCATACAGCTTCTGGGTCAAGTGGCCAGCATAACTAAGCCACTTCTGGCAAACCAGAGCAGCGCACAGAAACACAGTTTACCTTCCCGCTGGAGCAGTACCTATTTATCTACATGCACTTTGTGCTTTTGAACTGCTAGGTTAGCAGGAGCAGGGACTGAGCAATGGGAGCTCACCCCATCGCAGGGATTCAAACCGCCGACCTTCTGATCGGCAAGCCCTAGGCTCTGTGATTTAGACCACAGCGATAGCTTAGGAGACCCCTATTCCCTCTCACAGAGATATAATTTCCAGAGTGGCTTAAGAGTCAATCCTCCTTCCCAGGAACTCTGGGTTTCCTAACAGCTCTCATCCCCCTGAACAAGCAGTTCCTAAGATTCCTTGGACGGAGGACCTGTTTAAAACGGTACTGCTTTAGATGTACAATGCAGATGGGGCCCCTGGTGCAGAACCTGTGGTGCCCTTCCGGGTATTGGACTCCAATTCCCATCAGCCGCAATCAGCATGTTCCATTGGACAATGGGAACCCTGAATCCAGCAACACACGGAGAGCCCCACCAACTTTAAAACAATGTGCTTTTGAAAACATTCAAAAACTGCTTCAACACCACCACGATTACATTGGCTAAAAAGACTCAAAGGGAGACTTACTTTTCAGTGAGGTTAGTTTTGACGGAGGAAGGCGGCGAGGCAAAACCTTGCTTTAGCCCAACAGGACTCGCGAAGGGAGGGGCCCCGACTGAGCTGTCCATGCCCGCTTTATAACTCACGGAACCAAAAGAGGAGGGAGGAGAAGCTGTAATGGGGCTGGACAGCAGAGATGGAGTTGGAGGCGCTTTGGAGATGCTGGTGGTTGGAGAGAAGGGGAAGCCGACTGCTCCGCTCAGGTGGGAACCAAGGGGAGGCTTGGGGGTCTCCGATACGCCAGGATACTGCGGCGGGGCATCAGCGGCAGATCTGGTGGATTTCAGAGTGAAGGAAGCGAAAGACAAAGGGGCTGCCCCTTTGCTGGAAACTGCAGATGTGGCTGGGACAACGGCCAAGGAAGCTTCAACTTTTGGAGGAGCAGAAGCGGAAGCGGATGACGGGGGAGTGCTGCCTGGAAGAGAGATGAGAGGTTTTGTTAAAAGTTACTACGTGACATTAGGACCATTCCACATCAAATAAAAAAACAAGGGTTTCACTACCCACCCTCTCGGATTTTGATGAAACTTAGTGAACACCCATCCCTTATGGTTGCGAAATTGAAAATAATGCATAATTTTAAATTCTTTTAATCTTTTTCTTGCTAGGTCTTATTTCCTTACATGCCAGCATTTAAAGTTTCTGACCAAATTTTTTTTAGATTGATTTCACGATATGGCCAATTTTCATAGTTTTAAATACCCCAAAACTGAAAAAGTAGTCTGCACTTTTGAAAAAAAAAACCAACCTGTAATAACCAATATTATTTTAGATTTTAAGAGGAACAACTTTGTTTCATTTATTTTTTCTATTACAGCTATGCATTGTAGGAAAGTTGTACCCGGTAGCCATTTTCCCCCCATGATGTCCCAAAAACGTAAAATTTTGTTACAAGACATAAAAAAACCATTAAATCTTATTCTCTGTTGAGAAAGAGCATGTCTTTGCAATAATTTTCACCATCAAAAACTTTTGATTCCATCATGCCCACACGCTGAAAATTTAGGTTTTCTAAACCTAGTTTTTTCACCAAAAAAACTACAGTACATTTATACATTTTTAAAAGGCATTTATAAAAACTTTTGGGTGCTGGTGTATTTTTTCCTGAAATCCTCATCCTCTTATTGAGCTCTGTGTAAAATTTCAAAGAGATCTGATCATTGGTTATGGAGGGGGGGAAAAATGTACACAAGGCCGAGGATCTCAAGAGGGGAAAAAAATTAAGGGGGTTACTTTCTTTCAACCATAAGGGAAGGGTGTACACCAAGTTTCATCAAACTCCGAGATGGTGGGTGGCATGACCGCGTTGAATTAATGTGGAATGACCCATTAGGAAGAAGCCAGACAACACTCAAGGGCCACACTAGAATGGTGTTGTGTGCCAAGACAATTGAGAGCACTAACCCAGAGCAGAACAATTCCAGAACAGGGTGAGCTAGCCAGGAGGTGCAACAGGAGATGAGGAATAAGGAAATGGGCTGTGAGTCTAACTCAGCCGGGCTATAAAACCAGGCAAGGATGCTATAATCGACATCTTGGAGTTACAGTTATGCAGGCTGGTGGAAAGCTTTTAACCGTGACTGGGTGTATGCTGCAGTTAAAAGGCTAGCTGCTTCACCCTAGCACATTATTTGCCCATTTGACTTAATCTTGCTTGCTTGGACTGGCAGCTGCTGTCTATGGTCTCTGGGCTTGGAAGAAAGATGTGGGGTGATCCTGATAACACACTGAGGCCGATTCACTGCAAAAGGGAGAAGACCCTCAACTGCCGCACAGCTTGGTATTGTGGAGAGACTTTCCTATACAATTGAGATGTATCTCAGAGGCCCTTGGACTTATCTCCACAGCTCAGCAGGCCATCATACGAGATTCTCCTTCCCCCATTTATCCCCACAGGGGAGGACCAGAGTCAGCACACATTTTAATTCTCTATCAAGACCAGACAAGATTTGTGTACATGCGCAGATACATGCTTAAAAAGGTAAAGGGACCCCTGACCATTAGATCCAGTCGAGACCGACTCTGGGGTTGCGGTGCTCATCTCGCTTTATTGGCTGAGGGAGCCGGCGTACAGCTTCCGGGTCATGTGGCCAGCATGACTAAGCCGCTTCTGGCAAACCAGAGCAGCTCACAGAAACGCCGTTTACCTTCCCGCTGGAGTGGTACCTATTTATCTACTTGCACTTTGACGTGCTTTTGAACTGCTAGGTTGGCAGGAGCAGGGACCAAGTAACGGGAGCTCACCCCGTCATGGGGATTCGAAACCCCGACCTTCTGATCGGCAACTCCTAGGCTCTGTGGTTTAACCCACAGCGCCACCCGCGTCCCTCAGATACACGCTTAGAATACTGATATTAGCTCTGCCGTTTAAGGATATGGCAGGGTAGACATACAAAGTAATTTAATAAAAATGCACAATAGATCTTTTCAGACTCACAGATCGGACCTCCCAGATCCCTGCCCAAAGGGCTGGCCCTTAAATCAATACTACAATTTACCAGGTCGGCTGGATTTTAATTGAGCTGGAAATTAAGAGCACAAGGCCTTCTACAATCCCCCATCAATTTTTGGCAAGGATCATGTCAGTCTGAATCAAACATCCTGCCAACAAGCATGCCAAGTGGAGCTGGAAAGAAAAGCCTTTGCCAAAACTAAGGTGTTCCGTATTGAACAGGAAATGCAATTACACAGATGAAAAGTGAACAGGGCTTTGAAGTGAACCTTCATCTCTGGCCAAAACAGATAATACACAAATAGTTCTCTTCGCCCTTTGAGTTCAATATTTACTACCAATATACTGACCATATATTGGCAGCTCAATGAGAAAGAACCTGCATTGCATGCAGAAAGTCCCAGGTTCAATCCCTGACATCTCCAGTAGCTCTCCAAGGTTCAGGCAGGAGACATTCCCAGCCCTACCCAGAGATACCTGAGACCTTCTGCATGCAAAGCAGGTTTCTCTACCACTGAACTATACTGCTCCCCCCACACCTATTAGGAAGATTCCTTATTTCATGTCAGATTGTTGGTCCAGCTAATTGAGCACTGTCTACACTGTCAGGCAGCAGCTCCCCAGGTTTCCAGACCCGGGTCTCTCCCAGCCCCATCTGGAGATGCCAAGGACTGAACACAGGACTCCTTGCATCCAAAGCGTAGGTCCATCTAATCATATACGCAAAGTGGGAGAGTTTGGTAGCCTCTGCATTGCATGCAGAAAGACCCAGATTCAACACCCAGCTTCTCTAGGTGGGACGGAGAGAGGCCCTTGCCTGAAACCTGGAGAGATGCTGCCAGTCAGTGCAGATAAACCTGGCATAAGGTCTGTTTCCTACTCTCCTATGGAACACTGTGATCTATTAAGATCTATTAAGGTGGAAATGCTGATGAGCAAAATTGAAAGATTGAAAAGGGAGGGTAAGGGGCACAGGTACAACTTTTTGATCTCAAGTTGTGCATGTTGCTTGCCACACCCTCCTTATCACTCTACACCAGCCTTCTCTGGCAAGGTGCCAGCCATACGTTGAATTCTGACTCTCATTACTCTTGGCCACTGACTGCTGGGAGTTCAGTAACACCTAAAGGGCACCAGGCTGCTCCATTTGCATTCAAAGTGCTTTAGGATAAGTGTTCTACAACCTTGGATCCCCAGGTGTTGCTGGACCAAAACTCCCCCAAAAAGCAAACAAGCACCTACCAGCTGATTTTGCTCCTCTGTCTCCTTCTGGAGAGAGAGGCTCTGGCACCACCATCAGAGACCTCACACCAGGGTTTTGATTGACCATGTAAAAGGGGCAGAGGACTCCATCAGTTGACAGCAGCAGCAGTACCGGTGCTGGGTCCGTGGTTTTATCTTCACCTGCAAAAATGTGACAAACAAACAAACACACACACACACACCATGAGCAGACATGTTCAGCAGTACCTCCACTTAGTAAGCAGCCCTGGTCTGGGAAGGGACCAGGAAGTTACATTAGAATGGCAAGAGTTTAAAACTTTACAAAGGGAACTAGGTGCCCAAGATGACTTCTCTTGAATAATGCAACATGTATTACAACTCTATTCCATGCATTTCTGTTGTTGTTGTTTAGTCGTTTCCAACTCTTCGTAACCCCATGGACCAGAAGCCAGGCAAAAAACAATGTCAGCTGGGGAGAGTCCCATGGGCCAGATGGAGGCCTGGAGGGTCACAATTCGCCCCGGGGTCACAGGTCTGCCCACTCTGAATAGCCTCGAGAATCACAGTTAGAAGGTGGGCACTTCCAGGTATATTAATAGCATCTTCTCAAGACTAATAACCAGCATTAAAGCTCCCTCTACAGCAGGCGTGAAGAAGCTTTAGCCCTCCAGATGTTGCTGAACTACAACTCTCAGCATCCCTGGCCATGCTTGCTAGGGCTGATGGTTCAGCAACATCTGGAGGGCAAAAGGTTCCCCACACCTGGTATAGAGAGTGCTGCTGTTTGCTTTATCCTTAACCCAAGAGCAACATTCATATACTTACTAATGGTTATGGGCATGTTGCTGGTGTAATCAATGGCCACTCCTACGGGCAAAGTGTCATCGCTCTTATCTGTGACTGGAAGTTCTGCTCGGCTGGAGTCTTCCAGAACCCACAGCTCCCAGTTGTTCTGTAAGAAGGGTTAGTTTAATTAGTACTAGGAATCAGGATCTTGGTCTATCTAGCACAGTATTGTCTACACTGACTAACAGCAACTCCCTATGGTTTCAAGCAGGGAGCATCTCCCAACGCTACCTGAGGACGCTGGGAACGGAACCTGGGGCCTTATGCTTGCTAAAGAGATGCTCTGCTACTGAGCTATGGCCACTCCCAATTAGCTCTGTGCTTTGGCAACCTCTGGAATCATTCCTGCCAGGGAGGTCAACTTGTAGTAATAAGGGCTTTTTTCCACTTTAAAAAATCACTGTGACACGTGCAGTGGAGAGGAAAATTACTATTATCCTTGGTTCATTTATAAAGATTTTTATGTACAACCAACTCATATAAAGTATCAAGGCAGTATACAGCAATATGTACAAGTAGAAGTGAAACATTATGAAATAAACATTTAAACGACTGGAATAGAAAATGTTTAAGCAGTTGCATGGGCCTGTTGGCATAAGAAGGTCTTCAAGAGATGCCTTAAAGTCAAAAGGGTATATCTGGTCCACCACCATTGGCGGGGGTGAGTCCACGGTCCACAAAAGCAAGAGCCTGAGTAATGTAACTGTTAGCAGGTCAGACTTGGACCTGGGAGCCCAGGGTTCAAATCGATCAAGTTCACTGGGCCAGTCCCTGCCTCTCAGTCTAAACTACCTCACAGGGTTGTTGTGAGGATTAAATGAGGGGGAGAACCATGTACACCACCTTGAGCTCCTTGGAGAAAAAAAGGGGGGGGTATAAGTGCAATAAATAAATAATAATAATAAACGATAATCAATGAAATATTCTGTCCCAGTAAGTGCATGGGTTTCAAGGTGACATGAGACTTTGCAATTTCTTGCTGCAGCTGACTAATAATAACTACCCCTCTGGAACTCTCACTGGGACCTCTGGTCTTCTTATAAGAGGCACTTGCTGGGGAAATAGGAAGTGGGATTACCTTGTCTCCTTGCCTTGCGAGGATGCTGACCTCTGTGGAAGCAGCAGATGCTGCAAGGACCAGATCCCTTGAGGAAGGAAACAACCACAAATCCATAACCCACTTCAAGCAGCATAAACACCTTTCCCTGTTAGTTTCAAATAGCAATCTTTAAATACACCCAGCCCTTTGCTCACCTAATTAATATTAAAAGGGAACTATTCAATGTTGTATGATCGCCATTACTCACCATTCTTCAACGTAGTTAAGGAAGTAGTGATGTTGCCTCTCAGAACAGCTGCCATAACAGGGCTCCATAAAATTCACAAACAGCTCAGGCCGCTTTTCTTCTTTTTTCTGAATGGGGAGACAGAACAGGAAACTGTGTGGGAGATGCAACATATGAGGAAAAGTGCCTTAGGGGAGGGGCAGCTCACAAATGACCCTGTAGGCGATGGACTGTTTTAAAATATTTGCATCATTTATAACATACATAACTATTTTATGGTTGCAACTGTTTCATAATTACAAGGAGGGGGCCTTCATGATAGCCAGCTGCCAGATTTTATGGCTTCCTTCCTAGAGAAGCTAGACTGACTCCCTTCTTGCTGCTCTCCCCTGGCACGTGAAGGCTGCCTTGTTCCCATGCGCTTTTGGAAACTGTCTGTTTTTAAGGAAAGTGATTTGAATAGGGCTTTGCTATTTTTTGCTATCAGTATTTTCATAATTTGCGTTTATATAGTTTTAATTCTATTACAGTTTAATTCTTTTTAAACTATTATCTTCTGTATGTTTTTAGCTTTCTGTATTTTATCTGTTTTGCTTTAATTTCTGAAATCCGCCTTGAGTTACAGTATAGGGGGAAAAGCAGGATATAAAGAATGCATTATTATATAACACAAACTGCCATCATTCCTGAACACAGGCCATGCTGGCTGGGGCTGATGGAAGCTTGAGTCCCTACAGTGTGTGGAAGGTCAAGAGTCCCACACCTCTGGCCAAAAGTATGATGAAATGTTTCAATAACCACAAAAAGATAAGAACTCCTAAACTGTTTTGCCTAGCTGGGATGCATTCCTAGAATTCTGATCATGCCTCTTGATTGTCTGAAAGGAGGACAGCAAGGACTATTATGAGTGTCCATAGAAACTAGCCTACTATCTGGAGGCAAAATGTACATCCATTGCTCTGCTCGCTTTTGCCTGCAACCCTGCTGCTCACCACTGGCATGTGGTCCCTGGAAGGCTGCTTGGGACGGAATGTGGCCCTCAGGCAGAAAGAAAGTTCCAAACACCCAAGTTAAACCTGTGCATCTAAGAGGTAGGCATCTAACACATGTTTGTATGGGGACTTGGCAAGCAAAACTGACACTCGCAGCAGAAGTGCAGAGGCTGCTGTGGTTGGTGAATGCTTCAATCTCCATGCAAAGTTTGACTAAATGGTTTCTATGAAGTGGGATTCTACATCTCGGGTCACTACTTTTTTTTATCATTCTGAAGCAAGAGCCTAAAATGCAGGAAGACACACCAGGGACAAAGACCTGGCAAAATTGTGAGAATGACAGTAGGCAGCACAGACTTAGAAATCAAAGACAAGAGAAAAAGAAGTTGCTTCCCCAGCGCTTCCTCTCTTCACGTACAGGAAGCACAGCCATCACCACTTCCGGTGCAGCTTCCAAGATCCCATCCGCAGCCGCATATACGATAGTGAAGACATAAGTGCTGACCCACAACACATCCAAGACTGGAAAACAGAAATGTGAGTAAACTTGGGTTGTCGGTTTTTTTTGCTTTTGTTTTTCTCAGGAGCCACTCCTTATTATTATTGTTATTATTACTTACACAGGAACATAGGGTTGTATGCAAGCTTGGTCCTACTCAGAGTAGGCCCATTGAAATAAATGGACCTGTGTAGAAGTCAGTTGGGTACATCCCACTGGAAGCTGCCTTATGTCAAGTCAGATCACTGGTCCATATAGCTCAATATTGTCTGGCAGTGACTTTCCAGATTTCAGGCAGGAGACATTCACAGCCCCACCTGGAGATACTGGGGGACTGAGCTTGGGACCTTCTGCATGCAAAGCAGATGCCCTTCCACTGAGTTATGCTGCTTTCCCCTCATGCTAGGAAGCTTCCCAATATCATGTCAGATCATAGATCCAGCTAACTGAGTGCTGCCTACAATAACTGGCAGCAGCACTCCAGGGTTTCAGTCTCTCCCAGCCCCACCTGGAGATGAACATGGGATTTTTGGAGTCAAAAGTATATGTCCATCCAATGAGCTATATGGGAAGAGGGATATCTTGGTGGTACAGCACCTGCTTTGCATGCAGAAAGTCCCAGGTTGAATCCCCAGCATTTCCAGGTATGGCTGGGAGGCACCCCAGCCTGAAATCCCAGAAAGTTGCTGCCAGTTAGAGTAAGCAATACTAAACTTTGTGGATTAACAGTCTGACTTGGTATAATGCAGCTGGTTAGTTCCTTTATGTGTTCATTAACACTGTGTAGTGTGTGAAGACAGAAGGATCTAGGACACTAGAAACCTTCCCTACGGAGGGCTGCATCCAGCAAAGTTCTACTCAGAGTAGACACACTGAGGTTAATCTGCCTAATTTAGTCATCTCCATCAATTTCAAAGGGGCTGCTGTGAGTACAACAGTTTTGTTGCTGTATTAATCTTAGGGAACAAGACGTATAAAGAACTTCAAGTTTCAATTACAAATATACAAATTAAAAATTTAACGTAACAGATGTGATAATATGCCCAAGGACTGCATTTTTTTTCCCAAAAGAAAGCAAGGCATTATCAAATCTTTGCACTATAATTATGTAACTGTGCTGCATTAACAACCCTGACAACTAAATTACAGGAGATTAAATATTAATCCATACTGTAAATGGGATTGGTATAAAATACTACTTAGTATTTTGAGCAAAACACCTGCCAGATTTATTTTTAAACACGGGAGATTCAACTAGTCAAAAACAAGCATCTCACATTCCACAATATGCCTGGATTTCATGGGTGGGCAAATTCTAGGCACATACATAAGTGAAACACTGTGATTACATGATCCATCTGTACTATTGTAATACCAACCGGTCAAAACGCCAAATTTTAGGAAACACAGTACCTTTGACAGGATTATCTGAATCATAGAATGGAGGACAGGGAATTGTTTTCTTCTCCTGCAGGTTCTGAAAAAGTAAAAGAACAAGCATGATTAGAATACCCTAAGTTTAATGATATGGGGGGTGTGTGGTTTTTTTAAGTATTCTATCTACAATGCAACACTTCACATCACACATGCAATAATAAAACAAAAACACTCTGAATTTATACAAGCACTTTCAAAAAAATGTCCAAAGCGTTTCATCTAAAGCTGCCATGATTCAGTGATCTGATGACATGGTACATTTCACTCAGTACTGTCTGCTCTGTGGATGATGAACCTGAAGCCCTCCAGATGTTCTTGGATTATAACTCCCAGTATCCCCTGACCATTGGCCATGCTAGATGGAGCTGATGGAAGATGGAATACAACAGGGGTCAGCAAACCTTTTTAGCAAGGGGCCAGTCCACTGTCCCTCAGACCTTGTGGGGGGCTGGAAATGAACAAATTCCTATGCCCCACAAATAACCCAGAGATGCATTTTAAATAAAAGCACACATTCTACACCAGGCAGGCCCCACAAATAACCCAGAAATGCATTTTAAATAAAAGGACACATTCTTCTCATGTAAAAACACGCTGATTCCCGGACCATCCGCGGGCTGGATTTAGAAGGCGATTGGGCCAGATCCGGCCCCCGGGCCTTCGTTTGCCTACCCATGGAATAAAACAACAGCTGGAGGGCTATGAGTTCCCTATCCCTAATCTGCTCTCAATGGGAGCAATGCTCCAAGATTTCAGGCACAGGCATTTTGTAGCCGAAGATCCCTCTAGGGAGAGATTGTTGGCAGTCAAATGTGGGCACTCTTAACCTCCCGCTTAATTATGGGCATGGTCCCAATTCACCTGTATCAGAGATGAACATCATCATGGGAGAGGTGTTTCCAGAAACCCCATCCTTTGCCCCTGGAAGCCTTATAAGCTGCTGCTACAGGAGAGGGACTGTAAGCAACATCATAGGAGTGGTGTTTCTAGGACTAAGGTGAAACTATGAAGCTTCCTTGTTGTTTTTGCTATTGCATGCTGCATGGTGCTTGTTATATTTATAGTACTGAAATGTGGGGTTTTGGTATGATATATTTTTGTAGTGCTGCTATTATGAAGGTTTTTGTAGTGTTCGTTCGAAATGCATTCCTGTTTCTTTGTTGTAAGCTGCTTTGAGAGCATGATTTTTTTTGTAGAAGAGCAGCAAACAAATAAAATGAAATAAAATTAATTAATCTTAGGCCCAGGGACCAAATGCAGTCCTCCAAGCCTCTTTTTTGTCCTCAGGGTTCACCCCAAGCCACACCCCTTACTAGCCCTCTTTCCCCCTTTGTGTTTTTGCCTGGCTTGAATATGACAGGTGCACAGCCATGCATTCATAGCACATGGCTTATCGCTAAGAATCCTTAGAACCATTGTTTACCCCAACAGAGCCACAGTTCCCATGAATCCTTGGGGAAGGGGGGAAGAAACCATGTGTTTTAAATGCATGGTGCATATGCAGCCTTGCGCTCCTAAACTTCTTGATTGCCTGGGTGGTGAATAGAGAGGAGTGTGCAGGCATGAAAAAACTAGCTTACTATACAAAAGCAAAATTCTCATTCTACCTGGCGGTGCCGGTGACTGAACCTGGGGCCTACTGCATGCAAAATGGATGCTCAAGCTCTAGAATACAGCCCTTCCCAGGCATGTACTTCTGCTTCCCTTATGCTTAAGACTCCATCTTCTGAACTGTGAATTGGGAGAACAAAACAGGAAAGAACCAAGAGGGAGAAGCAGGAGGAGGCAGATCATTATAGGCCAAATAGAACAAAACAGACTTACAGGGAGATACTGGACCACTGTGCCGTTCTGCTTGCCTACAGCCAGCTGCTTTCCTTTAGGACTCCAACACACTAAAGGGATGGGTGGGAGAAAAGCAAGCAGGCATCATTAAGCAGTTGCAAAGGAAATAGCAACAACAAAACCAGCCAGTGCAATTTGGCAAATGGCTTAAATTGTCCTCACAAGTGTTATTCAAACACAACAATCTCAAATTTGGAATGCAACAGAATGTCCATTCAACACGAAGGTGGAGCCAACGATGGTCTCAGGAGAGCATACCCTAGAGCAGGAGAGGGGAAATGTTGGCCCTCTAGATGCTGCTGAACAGCAGCTCCCATCAGCCTAGCAAGCACAGCCAATGGCCAGGGGTGGGTGGTAGTTGGAGTTCAGCAACATTGGGAGGGCCAAAGGTTCCTTATGAGATACCCTTGTTTGCAATTGTCCATATGGAGCATTCAGGCTTACTTTGAGCTGTACACCTAAAATATGTGTAAATTGGAACTCAAATTCAGCTTATTTATAACAGGGATTTCTGCATCAGTCTAAAAGTCATGTTACCAACCTGATGTAACAGCCACTGAAGCGGGAAGAGTTGCATAGATCTTCACGGAATCTGCCACCTGCAGGACAGAGACGCTTCCATCAGACAGACAGACGGCCAGCATGGAGGCATTCATTGGGTTCCATTTCAAGTCATTGACCATCGCCCCAGCCATCTTCTGATAGGCAAAGGGGCGTTTTTGCTGCTTAGCCTATTAGAAAGAAATGTATGTTTGTTAGACCGTATCCATATGAGCAAAGACACCCGCTTTCAGTAGAGTCAAATCACTGGCCCACCATACTTTCCAAGACCTGAAGGAAAGCGATGTTTTCACTAACCTAAAGCTCCTATCAGTGGTAGAGTTCAGAAGTAATGATGAGCTGCAGATTACTGCAGGACTGGAGGACCTTTTTATACAGAGGGCCACATTCCATTCTGGACAACCTTCCAGGGGGCACGTATCAGTAGTGGGCATGGCTTGATGCAAAAGCGCACAGAGTAATGGATATATACAGTGGGTTACATTCCAGCCATGCAAAAGTCAGAGCCTTTTACCTGTGCTGCCCCCTGTATCTTCAGCTATGCAAGCAAGAGTCATTATCACAGTTCATGGATAACTTCCAGCCAGGCAAAAGCACTCAAGGAGAATGCAGAGCAAGGCTGGTGAGGAGTGTGGCCTGGGGAGAGTTTTGAGGGTCAGATAGAGAGGATACAAGTCACAGCAAACCTCAGCCTCACACACTTCATCCCCCCTGCCAGCACAGCCACAAGGAAGAGACTGGAATCTTCTGCTCCCTTTTTGATTAACACCAGTTTACTATCGCACATGAATACTACACTGTGGTAGTTTTCCTCCCAATTTTTAATTAACCATGGTTTAGCATTACATCTGAATCCTAAAGAGTGGTTATGCTTCATTAGGGCTTGCTGAAGCTCTCCAGTTTCAAAACTCATAGCAAAACACACCCTGGAGTGAGGGTTGGGGGGGTGGTTTCCAAGTTTGCTTTTAAACCATGCAACTTACCTGATTCACAAAGGTGCGAACATCGAAAAAGCCAATGAAGGACCCAACTTCACTGGAAGCCATGCAGACAGAGAGTGTGAGGTTATCACAGCTGAGTGCCAAGTGATGCACGCAGAACTTCGTGGGAACGAAAAGACTCTGGACATTCTCAACTTAAAAAAAATGAAGAGCAGCACCAGGGAGGAAAAAAAACACCAATAAATTATTTAAAAGGTAGTTGGAGGCCTGAACTAATCCAATACTGCCCTATTTGTCTATTAAGATCAGCTGGGGATGCCCTGCTTGTTATTTCAACCTGTTGGGCAGCAGAGCTGGGCGATGTCTGGTTTTCAACATCGCAATGTACCGATATAACACAATGTCTGAAATAAGAAGAAAGGTGTGAAGAAGGTGTGAAGAAATAAGCAGCCACGTGTTGACTCCTGGATATGGACTTCAAACTGGTTTTGGATGATACATTACACAGCCCTAGTGTTCTAATCTGGAGGGAGGGATGAGGCAGCCAACTTGCTTGGGTGAAGGTGCAGACAGGCAGACAAGCACCTTCTCAAGTTCCCTCTGCCAAGGCTGGCAGCTGGGCTGCAGAGGGAGGAATTGGGCCTCTCACTGTGGGTGAACATCAGACGGACTTGCAAGTGTCACTCAAGAGTGAAATGTGCAGTGATGGTGGCAGCCAAGGAGTGAGCAAGGATTCGTGATATATTGCCAGGTGAAAAATTCTGAAACTGTTATCATGATCTGGACTTCAAACCAGTTTGGGGCACTGCTTTGATATATCGCCCAGCCCTACTGGACAGGCACTATTAATGCAAGACATTCTGAATGGCACCCTCATAGAATATAGAACTCCCTTGCAAATGGAAAGTGTCACAATGTGAAAACCTTTATGGTTTACTCAAGCCTTTGGAATGTAATATGCCTTCTTGCCAATGCCACTACTTTATGTGTTGTTAATGTTATTTATTGTTATGCTGTATTTGTAAACTGCATTGCCCAGCGATGCTCCTGTTGGGAAGGTTAAGACATAAGTAAAGGGAAATAAATACAGAGATACATAATAAACCCCTGATCCCAGCATTCTAAGACAACACTAAGCTAGGAACTACACCCTCTCCCCTTTTGTGATTCCCAGCAACAGGTATTCACAGTGATTCACACACATTGTCTCAGTAAGCATTACAACGACGGTAGATGGTTGGTCAATGTTATTTCCCCTGCACCAGTTTGGCAGGTTAGAAAATGCAGGCTTACTTAGGGCAACCAAGTTAATGAATGAGACAACACTTGAATGCAGACTTCCAAATGTTTAGCTGTCCCTTACCCACAATGCTACATGAGCCCAAATAGGTAAAAAAACACACCAGAGGAATCATGGAGGGGGGGGGGGACGACATATAAATTAAAAGCATATGCAGATGATCTTGTAATAACAGTGGAGGACCCTAACAACTCTATGCCAAAAGTCCTAGAAAAAAATACAGAACTTTGGGCCGGTGGAAGGTTTTAAGTTGAATAAAAATGAGACAAGCTGATAGTGAAAAATGTACCAGAAAAAGGGGGGGGGGGGTAAGAATTACAGCAAAATATAGAAATAGAGATTCATAAAAAAGTTAAATATTTAGGAATTTGGTTGACAACCAAAAATATTAACATCATTAAAGATAATTATGAAAAAAATTGGAATGAAATAAAAAGGAATCTGGAAGTATGGGGAAGAATGAATTTATCACTGATAGGAAGAATTGCGGTGATCAAGATGAACGTATTGCCAAAAATGTTATTTATACCAGTCAGTACCGGTTGTAAGTAATGCAGCATGCTTCAAGAAATGACAAAGGGATATTGCAAAATTCATCTGGAAAGGGAAAAACCAAGAATAAAACATAAATTACTCACAGACAGTAAATATAGAGGAGGTTTTTCCCTTCCAGATCTTAAATTATATTACGAAGCTGTCTGTATTGGTTGGATCCGGGACTGGATCAAACTGGAAAATACAGATTTGTTAGATCTTGAAGGTCATGACAACAGATCTGGATGGCATGCATACTTGTGGTATGAGAAAGGGAATGTTCATAAAGCATTCCATAATCATATAATTAGGAGATCACTTTTAAAAGTCTGGGAAAGGTACAAAGATTTATTAGAACAGAAGACTCCATGGTGGTTGTCTCCAATGGAAGAAACATTGATTAAAAAAATAAATAGGAGAGGAAAATGGCTTACGTATAGAGATCTATTAATAGAAACAGAAGGGAAATTAAAAATAAAAGAATTTGAAGAGATCAGAGAACATGTTAATGACTGGTTAAAATATTTTCAAGTAAATGAGGTCTTCAAAGAAGATAAAAAGAAAGGATTTAGTTATACTTTATCTAGATTTCAAAGAGAATTTATAGAGGATAATACCAAATTATTGAAGATGTATAATTTAATATTAGAATGGGAAACCGGAAAAATTATGAAAAGTTGATTTAAAATTCACCACAACTTTGAAAGAGAATTATATGAAAATGATGTACCAATGGTTTTTAACTCCTGTTAAACTGGCAAAAATGTATAGAACAAGTGCTAATAAGTGCTGGACGTGTAAAGAGAAAGAAGGTACGCTTTACCACATGTGGTGGAACTGTAAAGTAATTAAAAGTTATTGGGAAATGATATATAATGAAATGAAGATGATGTTTAAAATAACCTTTGTTAAAAAACCAGAAGCTTTTCCGTTGGGTATACAGTGGTACCTCAGGTTACATATGCTTCAGGTTACATATGCTTCAAGTTACGGACTCCGCTAACCCAGAAATAGTACCTCGGGTTAAGAACTTTGCTTCAGGATGAGAACAGAAATCGTGCTCCAGCAGCACGGCAGCAGCAGGAGGCCCCATTAGATAAAGTGGTGCTTCAGGTTAAGAACAGTTTCAGGTTAAGAACGGACCTCCAGAACGAATTAAGTACTTAACCCAAGGTACCACTGTAATAGGACAGAAACTACCAAAAGAGTGAAAAGTTGTTTATGTATGCTACAACGGCGGCTCAGATTCTACTAGCCCAAAAATGGAAGGACAACAAGATACCATCGAAAGAAGAATGGCAAGTCAACCTTATGGAATATGCAGAAATGGCGAAACTAATGGAAAGAATCAGAGGCAATGATAATGAAGAATTTAAAAAAGACTGGGAACCTTTTATGTTATATTTACAGAAATACTGTAAAGATACGGACTCATTAGCAGGGTTTGATTAAACACTTAAAAGTAAGAAAAGATGAGGTAAGGACAACATGGAATGAAATTGACTAAGATGTAAGCATGAAGGAAAATTTGGTATAAAACTGATAAGAAAATAATAGCATTAAAGTATAAGATTATAAAAATAAGATAATAATTAAGCAGAAGTAGTAAATATTTAAAGAACCAGAAGGGGAAGTTGAGGGAAGTCACGAGGGGGTTGGGGTTTCTTTTTCTTATATATGACAAATGTTATATTGTGTTGTTTGGTTGAATATAAAATTGTAAAAATCCAAAAAGAAAAAAAGAAAAGGGGGGCGGAGAAAATAAAGAAAATGGAGACTTACTTACGGCAATCAAGTTAATGAATGAGGCAACAGTTGAATGCAGACTTCCAGATGTTTAGCTCAGTCCCTTACCCACTATGCTACATGAGCCCAAATAGGTAAAAAAATCCCAGCCCTATAATTTGTAAAGGATACTTGCCACCCCAAAGCTTATGATGGGTATTAAAAGCAGAACAAGTGAGTTTATGCTTAATGCTAAAAAATACAGCTCTATAGATAAAAATTAAGGAAGACTGGGGATGAGGGTGGGGAAAGATAAAAAACTTACCTATTTTATTAGGAGAATCCCCCATTGGAATCTGCATTAGAAGATTTTTTGTCTGGAAGATCTGCAATCCAGCTGCACAGCCAGCAAATAGTAATCCATATTTGTTGGATACAGCAAGAAGACTGGAACGCTCTTTGGGGAGTTCATCGGGAGCATCAAAGATCCGTACTTTCTTCAATGCTCTGAACTTAAAATCCTGTGGCACATTCATAGATTAAAAAATCTGTGCAGGCTAAATCTAAATGCATCAGTTTATTCAAATACGACATAGAACTCAACCAAAACCTTGATTATTTAATTACACAAATGCTTCTAAGACTTGTTTGCTCCCCACTCCTCAGTGACCCAGCTACTAAAAAGAGATTGGAAGCATCTACTTCCACTATGAATCTAATGGAAGCTCTTTGTTACATCTAAAGTTTGGGAAACTGTGGTTAGTTCAAGCCAGCTGGGGATCATGATTTGAACCTGGCTTGTTTGAATTAACCATAGCTTAAATTAACAGTTCCCCCCCCCCCCGCAAGTTCGAACACAACAGGAAACTCTGATTAGTTTAATGGAGGAAGCATCCTCTCTCCTTATTACATCACAGTAAAAGAAGAGAGAAGGGGTTTGAGTCCCACTGTCAATTCAGAGTTTAGCACCATGTCTGAAAAGATAACACAGTCTACTGAATGGTTCCATGTTTTTGCTCATGCACCTGATTTAGCAAAACTTAGAAAATACATAGCCCTTTAGTTTGTGATGATAAACTGTTCAAAACGGTTCTAGATTTCTCTGTTTTATATTGACTGTTTCAATTTTAAAGCTTTATCCTGTGGTTTAAATTTCCTCACTATAGGCTGTGTTCTGTCAAAACAGCATCAGATAATAGCTAAAGATGAAGGGCTTTCCCCACTGCTGCAGTTAGAACATAAATGGAGGCCACTAGCCTCTTACCATGCCAACTAAACAACAGGCTAGTAACTTTTGGAAGCTCTTTTACAAGGCTGTCTTAGCCATTGCTCCAATCTTCTCTTGGTAGAGCACTCAGAGCAACCTATAGCACAGAAGAAATATACTGGGGTGGGTGGAAACAAAATCAACACCTGAACAAATTTCTATGGCCTTATTTACAAGGCTGCAATAATGAAACCCTTATAGCTGTCTTGTAAACAGACCCACAGAACTTACTAGCCTGCCAATTATTTTACCAGTCTCTTGGGGCCTGGGCAGAGAAGAAACAGAGTGCAGTATTTCCAGTGGAAGTGAAGGATATAAGACAAGCTGGATCAGGCCAGTGGTCCTTCAAGCCCAGCATCCTGTTCTCACAGTGGCCAACCAGATACTCCAAGAGTTAATTGGTAAGCAGCACTTGAGCACAAGAGCAACTATTCTCTCCTGTGGTTTCCAGCAACTGGTATTATGAGGCATAATGACTCCCGGCAGTAGAGATAGAACAGACACCATGGGTACCAGGCACTGTCCCTGATGCATTAGCCTGGTCTGCTTTCAAAGCCATCTAAGAAGGGAACTTTCCATCCTCTAAAAGCTGTTTTGGTTTCTAAGCTGGGCATGCAGGAGAGGCACTTCAGCTGGTCCACCTACATGCCATTTCTGGTCACCTGCAGCAATGGCAGGGAGCCCCGGTTGGCCCTGCAGGTATTGCTCCCACCAGCCCCCAGTATGCAAGGCCAGAGATGATAGCAGTTGCAGTCCTACAAGACACCTGTTTGGACGACCACATAAGTTCTCCATTAGTATCTGTACTGCTGAAGACATTTTCTTTTATTATTCAGCACCTAGCTATTATTACTGAAAATAAATAAAAATATATATTTAAAAAATGTTATCCATTCCTGGATAGCGCTTAAATGCATGGCTAGTTTATATAACATGCTCTGAATTTCCTGACACAGACACACAATTTCAAAAATTAAAAAACTGAAACTGACTAAGATTACCTACGCTTTCTAAGCATTGTGAACTTTCACAACATCCCTGTAAGGTAAGCCACTTATTTTAACGTAAGTACTGCCGGCAAAAACACAACAGGGTAAAATACAATATTAACATAACAGGTGCAACTGGAGGAAATGTTGGCCCCCCCTTCCCACTCACCTTCATCTCCCTCTCGGGAATTACATCCATGTCGTCCCCCATGACAGAGCCTCGGACGAAGACTTACAACGAAGCCAACCGGTGCGGCAGGAGGACTTCGCGCGCTACCTCAAATCCCATTCCCTGCCTCTTATAAACCAGGATGGGAAGCAAAGGAGAGGTAACATCCGCTTCCGTGGAACAGAAGAAGCCCACAACGGGAACTTCCGGCGACGCTCTAGGCGTGCACCCGCCGTCTTGGTTCCTTTGCTCGAAGCCTCTATGTCAAGAACGAGAGCGGGTGGGAAGTTATGTACAGGGTGAACACGAGTCTTTGCGCCCGTTACCATGTTTTGGGAAGGCGCCCGGCCTGTGGGAACTGGGGATATAAGGCGCTGATAGCCTGGTCGGAAAGTGATGCAGTTCTGTTACCTCAATTCCGATGACGTATTAGGCCTGGTTTCAAACCTTCTCTTATTGCAGTAACCGTAGAGAAAGACATTAGGTATCTGACCATAACACTCTAGACTCACACAGGGCAAACAGGACTTCTGAGGCTCTTTAGAAGTCAGCTTCGTATCTAAGGCGGAACGAAGAGCTGCCCTTAGAAAGCTATGAAACCACGATTTGGTGGTTGTTGTTATAGCACCATTGAATGTGTATTCCAAGGTCCCTACCTTGAGGCACTTACAACATTTTCTGTGAAGATTGCGTTCACCTCTCCACACCCGCAAATCGTAGCAGAAAATATAGCAATTCAGGATTCTCCCTCCTGTGTGTGGTGAGAAGGGACCCTGTTGCAACAGTTTATTTCCTTGAATAAAGATCAGGCTTACTAGTCGCGTTGCTTTCAATATACTATGGTTGACCTCTGCTTTCTCTCCGACTGAGAGATCTCCTGAGGGACTCTATACAGGCTCTGGATACCCCATAAGGGAATTAGAGGTATTTTTCTTGTAACAACAGTCACTCGCCGGCCTCTTTCCTCACCCCACCAACTTAGCCACAGTGACTCCTACTTCCTTCCAGCCAAAGTTGTGAGACAGGGGTTTCTGGGAGCCGGCACCACTTGGCCCATGTGGAGGAAGAGAAGGGGGCGGTGCATGGACCCAAGGCGAGAGTGTGACACCATTAAAAAATGCATCTTTGGTCTCACGCTCTGCCAGAGCCAAAACAGGACATCCCAGGATGGAATCAATAGCCGAGGCTTCTGTAATTCTGGGATGTCCCAGGACAGTTAAGTAATATGAAGTCACTCCAACTCTACCTAGAGCTACCAGGGATTGAACCTGGGACCTTTTATGTGCCAAGCAGATGTTCTATGACTAATAAGCTATGGCCCTTCTGCATGTAACTTATTCCCAAAGCATGCTTCTCTTTCCCCTCAGATATGCTTTATTTTATTTTATTTTTTGACTAGCTATGTGAAAAGGTGAGCCCTATCATTCAAATGGCAAACTCAGGTGCAAGTGATGCTAAGTAGAGAACCAAGCAGGGCCACTGGGAAACTATAGGGAGGTATGAGCTGCTTGAGCAAATCCCACATTTTTTTGGGGGGGGGGGGGAACAGACGACTACAGTTCCCAGGATTCTTGAGTGTGTATGCTCTAAATACATTTTGACTCTATGATGTGTACAAAGCCTCAAAATCACCCAGAGATCTAGCAGTCGGTCCCAGTTTGCTCACTTCTGCTTTATACAAACCAGAGTTTTAAGAGAATGACCAAGTTGCTGCTATTATTATTATTATTATTATTATTTTATAAGCATGAGATTTTAAAACAACAACTGCTGCCAAAAACAGAAAAACAGGACAAGGAACAAGTAAAGTTGTGACAACCAGGGAGACGAAATCCACCAGAGTTCAAGATGCCACAAATGTAGAAAATGACAGCAAGGAATACTTGTCTTTCAGGAATGCTGGGAGGATCCTCTTGCTGAAAATTGGCTGTTAGGCTGGAGAAGTATTAAATAAGATATGGCGAAGAAGTTTGGGTTTTGCAAATGTAATGCAAGATTGTATTTCCACAGAAATCAACGTGCAAAAAAAATTGAAGCCCTTTTGTGGATGTTGCTTGCCAGATCAGGGCTTTGAATTTAGGATTATGAAGTAAGATAACTCATTCACTCTTTCGGTGGTTCTTTTGTTTTCAAGCTAAAGGAAGGCTTGTCTTGGCACAAAGGTGTCTTGCTTCTGAGACAGCAAAACAGGTCCTGGTGAAGCCTAGCTGCAGAATAAGGACAAAGACACAGCTGGCCAGGGGCAGCCTGCCCTGTTTTGCCTCCTGAGGCAAAACGGGAAGATGGTGCTGGCCTACAACCAAAGCCTTGCTTAGCAGAATCAAATGGCACGGCTGCAGTTTCCAGGTTCCGGCAAAATTCAATGAGAGGATCACGAGATCTCGCCAAAACCTGGCTGCAGATGCTTCAACAATGGCAGTGGCAACAGAGGAAAGGCCACCCCCTCCCACTATAGGAGAAGTGAGAAGTGGCAGCAACAGCAAGATCTCGAGAGAAGCTGTCGCTTCTCCTCAATTCTCCGTCACCTTCACGAAACCACATGGCCTCAGTATCTTGGTCAGCAGTGGAGTCTTGTCCATTGAAGCAAATGGGGCACTGCTCTACAACATGGGATTCTGTTTTCACTTTCACTTTTTTATTTTTCACAACTGACCTATCCTTCTGAGAGGAGGGGGAGGGGGATCCCCTCCAGACTGGTGGTTTTGAGCAGGTGTATTCTTGGGTAGCCATATGTCTGGGGAAATCCAGACATGTGCTCTTTTGGAGGGCCAACATGCCCACCCAGGCAGATTGTTACATTTTAAAGGAAATGTACGAGCTTTTCGGGCCTGGGCGGCTCTGCATGCTGTAGCTGCTGCCAGCCTGAGTCAGAGAAAGAGGTGTGCAGACACGGCGGTGGCCCTATGTGCCCACATGCCTTTCTCCCTGGGATGGCAACAGCTCAGGCTGTTCTCTCTTTTGCTCTTCAAGATAGGGCAACCCTAGGTATTCTGCAACTTGCTATTAATGTAATGATAGTGCATCAGTAGTGGATTTATCCTGGACTGTCCATACATCATTCTGCTTTGTTAGTTGTTCTGCAAGGCTTCCCTCAGCCATCTGGAGGGGTAACTCTTGTGCTATACCACAACAAAAGTGGGACAAAAAAACAAAAACAAAAAACCAGAACATTTGTGGCATAGAAAGTTAACAGGTTTTCAGCAGGAAGCTACAGGACATTTGCCAGCTGGAAACAGAGAAGGATTGCCCCATAAATTTTTGCAGGTGCAAAATGTATTCAGAATGGGATGGTGCCATGGTGTAGCATGGGTTGCCAGCACCCGGGGCAAGAGAAATGTTGCGCCCCCTAACCCATGGGATGTTAGCAGTCCATGAGTTCCTTCCACCATTCCAGTATTGAATAAAGTAAATAAAATACTCTATCACACTGACTTCCGTATCTTCGATGTGCACATATCAAATCACTTGAGACAAGCACAGTGGAGAGCAAAACAGGGAATTGTTTGGAAGTGAATTTCTTTCTAAAGCCAGTGCAGAGGGTGCCTTGGCCACCACCCAAATCTGCTCCTCAGCCCAAAATATTGGGAGATTTTCTGTGTGAGGGGATGGGCATGCTGTTTAATATGTACTATTACTACTTCCACCCCTCTCTTTTTTGACAGTTTTCACCCCCTAAGAATTTTGAGCCCAGGGCAACCACCCCTGTGACCCTGCCCACACAACGCCACTGGGTGGCTTATGACCTGATATCACAGTGAACACAAATATTCAAGAAATTACAATAAAAAAGGATGCCTCAGGGCCCAGAAACAAAGTGGGAAAGGCAAGGGAGGGTTTTCAGTTAAAAAATTAAAATAGAATGCATGGCTACTTAGGGACTCCTCCAGCAGAAATCCCTGGAACTTCCCTTGTCATTCCTTTTTGCTAAAGGCTGGTTAGTTTCTTGCTTTCTAACACTGTCCAGTATCAAAGCAATGCAGCAGGAAGCCCAGGTAAAACCGCTCTGGTGAGCAATATGAAAGCGCACAAGGTAAGCTCTGAGGGGCTCATTTTCCTTTCAAGGAAGGCTGGAGATATCTCTCTCAGGAGGTGGACCTGAAAGCTTTGGGTTGCTTTCGTTGGCTTTTCCTTCAAACATCATGACCCTGAAAGAAAAGCAAAGAAACAACAAAATAAAATCTGTTAGGAAGAGCTGGGGTACAAATGTAATGACTAGCAACTTGCCAGTCACGTGTTGCTTGGGAATTCTCAGTGAGCAAAGAATCATTGCAGATCTGAAGTCAGCACTCCTTGATCTCGGGAACCATCATGCATTGATTATGATATCTGAAGAAGCACCCAGCTGCATAGCCAACTTTCAAAAATATAGATATAAAGGTAATAATAATACAGTGATACCTCTGGTTATGTACTTAATTCGTTCCGGAGGTCCATTCTTAACCTGAAACTGTTCTTAACCTGAAGCACCACTTTAGCTAATGGGGCCTCCCGCTGCTGCTGCACCGCCGCGCGATTTCTGTTCTCATCCTGAAGCAAAGTTCTTAACCCGAGGTACTATTTCTGGGTTAGCGGAGTCTGTAACCTGAAGCGTCTGTAACCCGAGGTACCACTGTAGTATTATGTCCTTAAATGAAACTTGTGTTTATCTCGTATTAGCCAGCAGAGGGCAATATTGGTCACTAGGAGTCACCCCAGAATCCTCCACTCCAAAACTTTGGCTCAAATTCTGTTTGGGGTGTGAATGCAAAGTGATCCATCCTGCTCCCAGGGGGAGCAACGAGAGGAGGAAACAATCTTATCACTGAACCACTTGATGCAAACGAAGCAAGATAAACAACTCTTTATCCTCTGTGTCCCGTTAGAAGTTTATGGTGTACTTTTGCTAGGCACACTCATGGTCATAAACTGCTATTTTTAATAACAGTATAAAAATGCTGCTTCTTATGAAAACAATGCGTTGCATTTTAGGGTCTTAGTATGCAGTATAGATATTCAAAAGAGTGTTTAGATCTGTTCACATGGGTTACATTGGAATCCCTCCAAACAAGCCTGCAAGGTAGGCCCAGCTGGGACACAGGTGGAGAATCTTCTTCAGCCCAAGGGCCACAACAACTTGGCCCCTGGGCCTGCAGTTCCCCACCCTTACCCTGGAGCCACATTGCAGCAGAGGCATTGTGGGAAATCACCATGGCGATGCCAATCTACCTCGTTCTCCTTTTACTGCTGCTTTTCTCCACCACTGCCAGATACAGGCTCATGGACACAAGATGTGGCCTGCCAGAGACTCTTTTGCCAGACCCTCCCTCAGACCTAGAGCTGCCCCCTCCCCAATGAAATGCACAGTGGTGGGTCAGCCACCATCCCTTCCTAAAACAAAAACATGCCACTTGAAAGTCTCATGGCTGTAGCTATTGCATTTTGCCCCACCCCACTGGTCAGCTTTTGAATTAACAGGCTGAAGGGGAAACTCAGTAAATGGACGGAAATATCCCAGAAGGCTTTGCAACAGGCACCACTTCACACACTCACAGCCGTGGGCACTTCAACAGCTACCTCGGCCCTCACTGTCTATTGTTTGCAGATGGGGAGTCGGCTTCTGGAACGGGAGCGGAAACCGAGACAGGAGGCCAGAGACAATGAGTGGCTTGTTTGCGTGCTCATTTCTGAAAAAGGGACCTGTGTCTTCTGAGGGCTATTCATGTCGGTATAGGGACAGGAGTGGGGGAGAGAAAACTGGCTTCCTCTATTCCTCAGCAAACAGAGACAGAAGCCAACTTGAGAAGGAGGGTAACATGAGGAGATAAGAAAGAGCCCTGATGCACCAGGCCGAAAGGTTTTGCCGAGTCCAGGATTCAGTTTCCCACAGGGGCCAATCATATGCCTCCGGGATTCTCACAGCCTGGTTGCAAAGACTTGAGGATCTAAGAAGAGCCCTTCAGGATCAGGCCAATGTCCCCCCTGATCCAGGATTCTGTTCTCACAAGAGCCCTCTCCCCTTCTGTGTTTTCCGGCAGCTGTCATTCAGAAGCATTGCTGCCTCCAGCTGTGGAGGCTGGGGGAAGGGAAAAAAACCCTGTTCAGCCGCTGCCAGTTAGTGTAGACAGTACTGTTTTGAGCTAGATGAACCAAAGGTCTGATTCTGGGTAAGGCAGCTTCCTCCGGTCCTAAGGCCAGAAAGCAGAAGATTGCAGCAGTCAAGGCCTCAGCCCTGAGCAGCAAGCAAAACTCAGTAATGGCAGAAGATGAGCTGGCTAAGAGTGGGACTGATGTTCTGCTGGCTGAAGAACAGAGCCTGGTTTCAGTCACCAAATTCAAAACCCTAAGCCAGGGCACTCACAGATGCCTTCCCCTGAGCCCAATTTACATGGGTGAGGGGTCACGTACTTCCCGATCCACAGCACCTGTCTAACAGCGCAAGGAACGCAGCAAGCCAGAAGCCACACAGAGAGAGGGAGACGCACTTGCCTTTAGGAGCTTCTCCCTTTGAGAAGTCGTGCCTCTCAGGTGTGAGGGGCAGAGCCTAGGATGGGAGAGGTAATCTGGTCGGAGGGAGTGATAAGGCCTCAATCAACCTCCAGCTTTCCCTTGGAGCAAGCTGTGCAAGCGGAGCTATTTGAGGTGCTGCCATGGATGCTTCAGCTCAGATTCCTGCATTGCAGGGGGGTTGGACTAGATGACCCTTGGGATACCTTCCAATTCTACGATTCTATGATACTATGAGTCTTGCTCTCAGGGTTCCTTCCACTTCAGGGTCAGATGGCACTGTGCCAATCATAATGCTAAGTGGGGCAGTGACCTATTTGCCCTGATGGGCTAGCCTCCACTGGAGCTCAGTCACCCCAAAACAAACCTCTCTTCCTTCCCTCTTATTATGGATACTCACAACTTGAGGACTGCGGACCGTTTCCCAAGCATCAGGTTGACAAAATCTTGGTAAGAGATGGTGTCGCTAACACCTCCAGTGATTTCCGAGATCATTTTCTTCAGCTCCAGGTGGGTTTTGGGGGCTCCCAGCTTCTCCATCATCCTTTTCACTGACATCAGATCTACAAGGAATGATAACAAGGGGTGATGAGTGGTATAGACAATGAGGGGCATGACTTTATAGTGCCTGATAGAGATGGATTAGGCATGGGAGACCGTTCCCCCTCCACTCTAGAAGATTCCTTAGAACCAACTGTGCCTCTAGTCAATTCTGAATGGCAATGATGGCTACCATAATAATAGCCAGGGCATATTTTTTTCAAGCCAGAACTCACTGGAACTCAGTTCCGGCACCTCTCAGGTGGGCACCATTGCCATTATAAGAGAACAAGGGAGATATTTACGGTGAGTTCCGGCACCTCTTTTTCTAGAAAAGGAGCACTGATAATAGCATTAATTTATATATTTTAGAGAATTCAAACACCTCTGCGCAAGCCACAGGGTGGCTTACAACAGGCAGACAGATTTTTTAAATCCATAAAATAACACAATCCTTAAAATACTTAACAAATCACTAAAGAACACTTGCACAATCAGGCCTCACCTCCTCCAAATGTCAACCAAAAAAATCTGCATATTAACCAGCCACTTTAAATGATGAAGAGATGGGGCCAGACACACCTCAGTAAGGAGGGAGTTTCACATTCAAGGAGCTGCCACTGAAAAGGCCCTTTCCTGGTGTTCTACACCATGAACGTCACATTGAAGAGGGACTACCAGGAGGGCCTTGTCCACTGATCTTAGAAACCAGGTAAGTCAATACACACAGGCAGGTCAATAATAATTAAATGTATACAATGGATGGGATTCAGCGATTCACTATACCAAGGGTTGTAGAGAACCTCTGGCCCATAGGTCAGAATTGGCCTGCCAGGACACGCTGTTTGGCTCATCAAGCCATTTTTCTGTGTTCTTGTGTTCAGCCGTTCTTGGTTCAGGCATGCTAGCCAATTCCTAGGTAGAATTGGCTCATGCATCCGAACCCTGTAGAAAGCAAGAGTAAACACCCCATGCATCATACTTGTACAGTATCTACCCCCATCCCCATCAAGCTACCTCTGACAGGTGTTAGGAACAACCCACCTGCCAATCAATTGCCATCAGATGGTTAGCTGGTGGATTGTTCCACCAAAATGGGGAAAATGACAACCTGGTCCACTAGGTCAAAAAGGTTCCCCACCTCTGCACCCCCAATTAACAAGGCTCAGCATAACACAGGAGTGGAAGCTTTGCAAATTTTAACAGAAGCCGCTCACCAATTTCACCTTGGTTGTTCAGGTCGAACTCCATGTACTTTTCTATAAAATAAAAGAAACATGTTAGCACAATCAAAACTTCCACCTGGCACCCTGCCACCTCCACTTGTCTTCAAAACAGCATCACAGTAGGGAAGGGAAATAAATTCAGTCTGGCTCTCACTTGAACGCAAACCTTTCTGAATCTGCAATTTGCAAACCGAAACCCCGTTACCCTTCAAAATTTGCTCTTCCCTCGAATTTTGCAGTGCAGTTCTCAGGCCAAAAAGAAAATACACAGAAAAATGAATTCCATTAAGGGGAATTGCTTGCAAAAATATGTATATGAGGAGGATTGCACACGTGGAACATAGGAAGCTGCCTGATACAAAGCCAGACCATTGGGTCCATCTAGCTCAGTACTGTCTTACACTGACGGGCAGCAGCTACCTGGGTTTTCATGCAGAGATTCCTTGCAAGCCCTCTTGGAGATGCTGGGGATTGAACCTGGCAATTTCTGCATATAAGGAAGATGCTGGTGTGTTTTTCGAGCCCTTCTCAAAAAAAAAAAGTAAACAAAAACAGATGTGGGAATGTGGTGAACTGAACTTATAATTGGAGTAAATGGAAAAAGAAACTGACATATTTGTCCATCACTCCTTCAGGGTCATGTGTACCTGTTGGAAAGAAAATATAAGGGAAGATTCCTTTCATGGACCTTTCACGCCATGTCTGTTTTGGCCGATTGTAGAAGGACCCTGTGAGATCTGTAGAACTTGTGCCCAGGTTGGCATCTGTAGAGACTGCAGCCTTGCTGCCTGTTTACTTGGAGGTTGGTGCCAGTAAGTCTTCCAAAGCATACAAAACCTTGCAAGCCCATCTATCTGTGTTTGCAAAATCCACATTTTTGTTTTCTGGTTAGAGGTCTGATAGAATAATCAACAGCACCACTTCCCACCCTGCTGGAAAATTCCCCTGACAGATTTCCTCCTGCTGCTTTCTTTTCTCTTCTTTTCTTTTTAAGTAACCTTCTCCAACTTAGAGCCCTGTAATAATTCTTCCTTTTCTTTCTTTTTCCTTTTGGGACCTTGGTTTCAGGCTTAAAAACTAAGCCACTTGATAGCTATCATCCTCGTTGGGCACTTAGCCCATGTCACAAAAAAGGAGGCTGGCAGGCATATTCTGTGGACCAGTCAGAAAGTACCCCCTCCCTCGATGGGGTTGTGTGTGTGTGTGTGTGTGCTTGCGTGTGTGAAATGGGTGCCATGTAGAATCACAAAGGCCCTTTAAGACAGGCCCAAACGTACCACGACAACCCAATTAGCCCAAATGGCAGTTTAGAGGCTCTAATTAGGGACCCCATTCAGAGGCTTTTCTTGGAGGTGGGACAGAACTGCTCTAGGGATGTTAGAGAATTCTGACAAAGCAGGAGCAGAAATTGCCAATGTTCGCTTATTTGTACCATGTCTGGAACGGAAATAAATCCAGTGAATGCAAGTGGTATTCATTGTTGTTGCTTTTAGTCCACTAATGATATGTAATTGATTATGTTAAAAAAATAGCCCCACACATGCCCCCCCCCCTTTGCACTGCATTCCCCCTTGCATTGAAATGAATGGGCTAGGATATTGCAAGGGCAATTGTGCAGTGAAGTTTTGTAATTTCGCTGCAACAGAACACAAGAGGAATAGCATAGTTTTGGGGCAGGAGATGAACTGCAGCAGAACAGAAGTGCTACCGCATGTGATAAACACAGGGCAGAATTGCAAAAAGATGCCTTCCTTCATCTCCACACGGTTTATTACCTGTGGCATACTCTGGGAGGATTGGGTCCTTTTCTGAAGCTGGTGGCCACACTGATGGGCAAAAGCACAATCCAGCCTTACCTAAACCAGCAGCATTTTTTCCCTAGGTCTAGCTGGGAATCCTGGAGAATCACTTCCAGAGCTTCTTGGCTTGCCTGATTCAATTGCATGGCTTCCTTCACATTAAATATACACTCTCTAACACTATAGGGCACCACCAATAGAGCACATGATATGCATGCAGAAGGCCCCGTGTTCAATTGTCAGAAACTCCAGGTACAGACAGGAACATGGAAAGATGCCATTGGTCTATCTAGCTCACTATTGTCTACACTGACTGACAGCAGCTCTCTGGGGCTTAAGGCAGGGTGTTACTCTTAACCCTCCTTGGAGATGCCAGGCATTGAACCCGGGACCTTATGCATGCAGCGCAGATGCTCTGCCACCAGGCTATAGATGCTCCTGATGAGCGTAAGAAGCTGCCTTATGCCGAGTCGGACCAATAGTCCATCTAGCTTAGTATTGTCTGCTCTGACTGGCAGTGGCTCGCCAAGGTTTCAGGCACAGGAAATTCCCAGGCCTTCCTGGAAATGCAGGGAATCGAACCTGGGACTTTCTGCATGCAAAGGATATTCTCTATCACTGAGCTATTTCCCTTAGAAATGAAGATTCCAGTTCTGGATTAACAGCTGGTTTTAATAGGGAGTTGCCTATGGGCTTGATGCCGGAGGGCTGTTCTTATAGCACCTGATCCTTGAATCTAGAAAGTTAGCATGCCCTTTAGATTGCTAGGTTAGAATGTCTCTTACTGATACTCTAGCTTTCTATGTGAAAGGGTTTTCTTTTGGTAGTACAGTATAGAGAAGCATTCAGTTGTGTGATTCCCCACAACGCCACTCTTGATCAACTAACAGCACAGCCTGTTATTTGTGTAACCCAGTTCTAAGTTGCTCTCTGTGTGTTGTTGTCCCCCACCCCCAAATCTATTTCTGTCCATTGAGAATCCAGTTTCGGAAGCACAGCAGTGAACAAGACATGCTTTTTTAAAACAAAAACGAAAAACCCTCCCCCTCCTCAAGCCCCTTCTCAGCAGCCTAAGCTTTCCTGTGTAGGGTCCAAAGGTTCCGTCTTTCATCCCCCGTTCAATGGGGCAAAATCTTGCCTTAGTACACACACGGACAGACACAAATAGCTTTGACACAAATGCCAATTCTGCAGAGGGGCTCTTGCAACTTCTCATGCCCAGCGGGGGAGAAGGAGGCCAGAACAACAGGGTGATTGTTGGGAGACCCGGAGAAGGCGTTTGGCAGCAGCCTGAGCGACTCTAGGCTGAACGGGAGCTGGAGTCGACATGACGAAAACATGGAAGGCCAGGGAGCAGCAGAATGAAGGCAAGTTGTGGACTCGGGTTAGAGGAACCCACAAACTGGCGACCCACCAGCCACAATGTTTGAAGAAAGGCTTATTCAGAGGGGGAAATCTATCTGTGTATGTTTCAGGCCTTGCTTAAAAACAAACAAACGAAAATGCAAGAAATAAAAAACCCACCCACACCACAAGGACACAGCTGTAGGGTGGGTTGAGAAATTAGAAGCAGCATTGTTAAATATATTACCCGCCCTTCACTAGCAGGTACAAGGTCAAGTTAAAACAATTAAAAATTAAAAACAGTTAAAACAGATTACAGTGACAGGAATAGGGTGGGCCCTGAACACACATATCTCAAGTGTCGAAAGCCAGGGCAAAGAAGGGCAGTGAAAGTTGTATAGTGAAGAAATGACAAACAGATATACATTGCAGGTTGTGACCAAAGCTAGTCCTACTCACAGAGAAGACCCATTGAAAATGATGGACCCAGTGAACTTAGAGCCATCAGTAGTCCTTGGTCCCTAAATTTTCAGACTAGATGTTGAGTGCAATGGCTCACTCTGCGATGATTGTTTTGCCAAAAGGGAAACCAGTAATTTCATAGGGATCCATGTGGAACCACAATAACCTTGTGTGGTTCTTGCAGAATCCCCCAGGCCCAGCGTGGGGGGAAAGAACTAGGTCAATTTGGGCCACTGTCCCCACCTCAGGCTAAATCCTAAACAGAAACATATCTGTGTACACTCCAGAGTCCCCAGGCAAAGGAAATAAAGTGAGGCCAAAAAAACAAAACAAAAAACCAACCCAAAAAACACAGATTCCTAAATCACATCTGTTTCTCAGAAACCTCCGTGTCAAAAAGAGGCAAGGAAGCAGCTGTCCCAAAGCCCTGACCCAAAGATTTGCGATCCTCTCCCACACCCTGACACTATTGCCAAAGAGTTATTGCAAGACTATGGTGGCTTGTGGCTGAGGAACCTGCTTCCAAAGCCAGCTTTTCCATATGGACAAAGGCCACCTCTTAAGATTCTGGAGGCCCTCAAGCAGAAGCTTTTAGCGGACTGTCTTACATTTAAAGGTCTTCAATCAGTGCGGAGAGTGGGCAGGGCATGTAAACCTAAGAGAGGCTTTCAGCTTGAGTTGCTCTCTGAAGGGCTGGGTACAAGTTTCGGGACGGAGGAGAAATCGGGTTTTGTTCGCCCAAATTCACATTTCTGAAATTAGTACTTCTCTGTATGTTTCTGAAAATAGCACTTCTCTGTATGTTGCAAAGCAGAACCAGAGGGTATGTGCAAAATGCATATAGAATCATAGAATCATAGAGTTGGAAGAGACCACAAGGGCCATCGAGTCCAACCCCCTGCCAAGCAGGAAACACCATCAGAGCACTCCTGACATATGGTTGTCAAGCCTCTGCTTAAAGACCTCCAAAGAAGGAGACTCCACCACACTCCTTGGCAGCAAATTCCACTGTCGAACAGCTCTTACTGTCAGGAAGTTCTTCCTAATGTTTAGGTGGAAACTTCTTTCTTGTAGTTTGGATCCATTGCTCCGTGTCCGCTTCTCTGGAGCAGCAGAAAACAACCTTTCTCCCTCCTCTATGTGACATCCTTTCATATATTTGAACATGGCTATCATATCACCCCTTAACCTCCTCTTCTCCAGGCTAAACATGCCCAGCTCCCTTAGCCGTTCCTCATAAGGCATCGTTTCCAGACCTTTGACCATTTTGGTTGCCCTCCTCTGGACACGTTCCAGTTTGTCAGTGTCCTTCTTGAACTGTGGTGCCCAGAACTGGACACAGTACTCCAGGTGAGGTCTGACCAGAGCAGAATACAGTGGCACTATTACTTCCCTTGATCTAGATGCTATATTCCTATTGATGCCCAGAATTGCATTGGCTTTTTTAGCTGCTGCGTCACACTGTTGGCTCATGTCAAGTTTGTGGTCAACCAAGACTCCTAGATCCTTTTCACATGTACTGCTCTCAAGCCAGGTGTCACCCATCTTGTATTTGTGCCTCTCATTTTTTTGCCCAAGTGCAATACTTTACATTTCTCCCTGTTAAAATTCATCTTGTTTGTTTTTGCCCAGTTCTCTAATCTGTCAAGGTCGTTTTGAAGTGTGATCCTGTCCTCTGGGGTGTTAGCCACCCCTCCCAGTTTGGTGTCATCTGCAAATTTGATCAGGATGCCCTTGAGTCCATCATCCAAGTCGTTGATAAAGATGTTGAATAAGACCGGGCCCAAGACAGAACCCTGTGGCACCCCACTAGTCACTCTTCTATATATTGGAAGAGATTTGCAAAAATAAAAAAAATGCATTTATTTGTGAAAATAATAGATAGAAATATATTGCAGGAGGGGGAATTTATGGCAAAAAAATGTGTATAGTAGTAGTCAAAAGTGTGCAGAAAAATTAGGATAAATTTACACTAAAATGCTGATGAGTGTTTTTGTTTTGTTTTGTTTTTTAAAAAACAGCCAGCTACTACAGAAATGTGGAGAACTGAATTTACGACTGGACAAAAATGAGAAACTTAGAGAAACCAAAATTGACAGTGGAGTCCATCCCTAGTTGCCATACACCAGCCATCTCTAACCTGGGGATCTCTGACTGTGGTTGGACTCCAACTCCCATCAGCCCCAGCTAGCATGGCCAATGGCCAGGAATGATGGCAGCTGGAGTGCTATCTATGGCTGCCCATGCTTAGAAGGTGCAGGGAATATGTGGAGTAGCCATGGCTCAGTAGTAAATCACCCACTTTGCTTGTAGAAATTCCCTGGTTCGGTCCCCTGCATCCTTAGTTGAAAGGGTCTCGGTATCAGTTATTGTGGAGCTGCTGCCATATTGGGATAGAAGGATTAAATAGGCTGAGTCAGAGTTGGTTCACCTAACTCTGGTTCACCCAAGATGTAGTAGCATCAGCTGCTTTTTGTCACCCACTCTCAGTTTAAACAATGTACCTTTGAAAACTGCAAGTTTTTCCTCCAAATGCTCTTCATCGCTGAACTTTGGGTCACAGAGAAACTCCTGAGAAAGAAATGGTGGTGGGAGAGAAATGAATTCAATACATTTAAGGAAGTAATAACAAAGTCTTCAGATGGGTTAATACCACACAACACTGGTACTTCTGGAAGACCAATTTGAATTGGAGAAGCAGCAGGGTGTAATTCGGTGACAGAGCCTTTGCCATGCATGCAAAAGCTCCTAGGTTCAATCCCTGGCCTCTCCAGGTAAGCCAGAGAATGTTTCCTGCCTGAAACCTTGGAGCGCCATGGCCAATCAGTGCAGACAGCACTCAGCTAGATGAACCAATGGTATGACTCAGGGTAAGACAGCTCTCTGGGCTCCCATTTAAAATCGGCTCTTTATCCAGGACCTTGAGGACTAGAATCCTATTTTACTTCTGGGGGAAAGGTCACAGTTCAATGACAGAGCAACTGGTTTGCATGTGGAAGGTTCCAGGTTCAACCCTCAAGGACATCTCCGAGTTCATTTTCGCCCCCAAACTCCCATTATTTCTCTTGCTGTCTGTTGTGGTGAAGTGATGTAAATTACACAATTACCTACTTACGTAAATGATGTTGTCATTGCTCCCCCCCCACTCGTTTCAATGTGATGCAAGTTGTGTTGGTGGTGTTGTGTTGTGTTTACAAACATAACCACTTCTTCTCACTTGCAGACTGGAAGCAGCAAACTCGGGTCATATTTGCAAGATCCGTTCTGGACGTGGCATGAATATGCGGACACTGAGAATATTCGCTCCCATTTCTGTTTGTATTACGCTGGGCGGAGAGGAGCAAGAGTGCCGTGGGGTGCAGGCCAGGCTGCTTGGGTGACCCCCACTCAGCCAGCTCCCTCTGCAGCTGCGTGCCAGAGGCTCTTGTTCCAAATTTCCTCCCAGCCCTTAGGAACCTGATGGAATGTAATGGCTCCAGTCTGTTTGTCCCCCCCACCCCACCCACCCCCAGGCACCAGCAACACATTCCACATGGCAGAAATCACCGACATCTGCTCACCATTTGGCTCTGGGTTTGTCCTCCTCTCTGCTCACAGAACTAGGACCTTCTGATGGGATGACACCCAGCACACAGGATGAGCCTGTCCTGCACAGCAGGCTTGTGTTTGAGAGGCAGGCGGGCAAGATGGATTTAGAAGACATCTGAAGGCAGCCCTGCTGTATGGGGAAGTTTTCAATGTTTGTTGTTTTATTGTGTTTTTAATATTTTTGTTGGGAGCAGTCCAGAGTGGCTAGGGCAAGCTAGTCAGATGAGTGCCAGTCAGAAGGTCAGCCCCTTTTCTTCCAAATTATTTATTTGGAAGAAAAGGGGCCGACCTTCTGGATTAAATGGTGCCTGTTTTCCAACTGTCCCAAACTGATGAGCACAAGTTCCTGGTAAATTCCCATTTTGGCTTCAGGAAAGATTCTGGAGATGGGGCTCAGTAGCAGAGCATTTACTTTGCATGCAAAAGGTTCCAGGTTCAGTCCCCATTGGCCTCTCCAGGTAGGGCTGGGAGAGACTCTTGTCTGAAACCATGGAGAGCTGCTGCCAGTCAGTGCAGACAATATTTAACTACATGAACCAGTGATCTGACTCAATGTGAGACAGCTTCTTCCTTTTATCACCCCTTTATTTAGTGCCATGAGGACAGGGGTAGTATTTTAGTTTAGAGGCAGAGCATTTGTTTGCTGACATCTCTGGGTAGGGCTGGGAGAGATTCCCTGTCTGAAAACATGGAGAGCTGCTGCCAGCCAGTGCCAGACACTATGAAATTACACTGGGGAGGGGTGTCTTTCTCAGTTTTCCTCAGATATGCCAGGGGTTGAACCTGCAAGCAAAACAGATGCTGTACCACTGAGCTACAGCCCTTCTCCTTAAACAACAGGAAGCTGCTTTCTACTGAGTCAGACCAGTTGCCTACACTGACTGGCAGCTACACTCCCAGTATCTCAGATGGAAGGTCTCTCCCACCAATACCCAGAGATTCTGGGGATTGAACTGGGGACATGCAACACAGGTGCTCTACCACTCAGGCCCTTTCCAGGAATATAGGAAGTCACACCAATGGTACATTTGGCTGGCAGCAGCTCTCCAGCACCTCAGCTTGGGACCTTCTCAATTGAAAAGTAGGTACTCTGCCACAGAGCTATGGGTGCTGGAGAAATCAGTACCTGAAAATCACCCTTCCTGTCTGCTTGGTTAATGCTCAGCCAGAGTCCCAAGTTTAGGGCTCTGGTTTCATGCATGGAGTCAGAGGTTGTGTGCCCCACTTTGGAAGCCCCTCCTGCTGCCGTGAACCCGAGACCAGGTTAGGAGCTGGGGATAGGCAGGGTTGCCATGTGCTGTGGCCAGTCGAGCCTTGGAAGGAGCCTGAGAGTGTTGATTTAAAGCAGAGTCTCGTGGCCAGCGGAAGGATGAGTAATACGTGCTGCATACTCTATATTGCTTTATTTACAGTTCAAAGCTGGTATATTACAGAAAGACATCTTGCCTCTGCCGAAGCAGAAAATGCATCCTCTCTCCTCAACAGCTCGGAGAGAATAACACAGTAAAAAAAACAGGAAACCAGTGTACGTCACATCCAGTCTCCCTTTCCCGTGAGAAACTCCAACAGTACAGACTGTGGAATGTAAACACCTGTCTCGTGACAAGCAGAGCTGCACAGTGAAGGAAAGCAGAAACCAACATCCTCCCCTTTCTGTGAACATCACTGGGCAGCGTGTTCGTACAATATCAGTACAAACCCAACTTCTGCACATAGGTACAGTGTTGATCCCTTGATACAATCTTGGACAATACATCAGCAGGAATTTCACTACCTGGCATATAGGACACCGTTACGAGTCCCTTCTGAATACATTCCCTAGCATGCTGCAACTTTAATTGCAAGTGCTTTGTGCTTTGCTTACAACCTTCAGACTTCAGCAAAGCCAAACATGCTTTGTTGTCCTGGTAAACCTGGATTGGACATTTGACAGGAATTTTCATATCTTTGCACAATTGTACTAACCATTCACAATCCTTAAGTGAATAAGACAGTGCATTCAGTTCGGCTTCACAAGTACTGAAGCTAACTGTTGTTTGCTTCTTGCATGACCAATCAAACAGACTCTGATTGTACATGTAGCAAACTCCAGACGTACTTTTCCTGTCTGTAGCGTCACTTCCAAAACTTGCATCTGCAAATATCTCAAGACCACCAGACTTCTGATTGTTAAATCTCAGTCTGTAATGCATAGTGCCTTTCAAATACCGCACTATGCGTTTCAGAGCTTTCCAGTGCTTGACACTAGGATTGTTGACTTGTCTGCTTAGCAAATTACAGCTAACAGCAATGTCTGGTCTTGAACATCTGGCAATGAAGTTTAGCTTGCCTAGCACACTCCTGTACAGTGTAGTGTCAGAAAATGCTTCTTCAGTGTCATCTACCTGATAACCTGTTGTCATCGGTGTGTCTACAGGGTTAGCATCCATCAGATTTAGTTTGCTTAACACATCAGCAATTTTCCGTGACTGGTGTACTAGAATGTTACCATCTTGATCTCTCTCTATTTCCAGAGATAGGTAGTTGTTTACCTCACCAAGATCTTTCATGTCAAAGTGCTCTTTCAGTTGAGCTAGGGCGCTATTGTACATTGCAACATCTTTCCAAAAGAATAATAAATCATCAACATAAAACAAACAGTACAGTTTCTTTTGCCCCTCCTCTTTGACAAATACACATGGATCAGCTTTCCCTTGCTGAAAACCTAGAGAAAACAATACTTCAGTGAGTTTTGTGTGCCAACACCGTGCACTTTGTTTGAGACCATAAAGGGATTTCTTCAGAGCACAAACAAATCCCTGTTTTACCTGTACGCCATCAGGTGGAAGCATATAAAGTGATTCATCTAGAGATCCGTACAGAAAAGCTGTATTGATATCATGGTGACTAATGTGTAGATTTTCCTCTGCAGCTAGCTTGAGCATAAGCCTAATGCTTTCATATCTCACTGTGGGTGAATAGGTCTCGTGATAGTCTTGACCTGGTACCTGTGCAAAACCTCTGGCTACCAATCTGGCTTTGTGTCTGACTATCTTGCCATTTTGATCTGTCTTCGCTTTGAAGACCCATTTGCTTCCAAGCAGTTTCATTCCTGGAACTACTGGAACTAGCTCCCATGTTTTGTTCCTTTCTAAGGAATCAAGCTCAGCCTTCATGGCATTTAACCATGGCTTAGCTTCCTTTGAATCCAAACCCTGGATTTCTTGGAAACTTGAAGGTTCAAATACCTTCTTGGAGCTTTTAACAGCTGTTACTGCTATCTTAGCAAACTCATCAGCAAATCTCTTTGGAGGTTTGCCTTTGTGGCTCTCTGTGATCTACGAATTAGCCTTAAGTCTTCAACACTCTCCTCTTCCTTCTTAGGAGAAAAACGACCTATTGTGAACAATGGTTCCTCCAATTCTTGATCAGAGCTTTCAGAGGGTCGCATAGAGGCTTTCGCACTCTTGAAATCCTCTGAATCACCCGATTCAGTTTCAGATTCAGACTCAGAACCTTCATCAGTGGGTGTGGGCTGTTGTGGTTGCTTTTGACTATCCTCAGTCTCATCACCGTCATCAGGATAACATTGGAAAATTCCCACATTCTCCCCCAACTTTGCATTGTACTCAACACTTCTCGTGAGCTTAATTGTCTTAGAGTCAGTCATCATTATTCTGTAAGACCCTTTCTGATAACCTAGAAAGATACCATGCAATCCACGCTTGTCTAACTTGGAGTTTTGTGGTGAGCGAACCCACATGTCAGAACCAAAAATCTTCATGTGTTTGATGTATGGCTTCTTGCCAAACATCTTCTCATAGAGGTACAACCAATCGCTGAAGATAACCTGCGATTGTAACTGTAAACAAAACACGAGAGAGATTCGGCCCAATAACTCTCTGGAAGATTGGCATCATGCAGCAAGGTTTTTAACCCTTGAAGCAATGTCTGATTTGCCCGTTCCGCAAGTCCATTCTGCCATGGCGAGCGAGGACTAGACAAATCGTGTTGAATTCCTTTCTCAGTCAGAAAAGCTTCAAACTGCTGAGAAGTGAATTCCCCGCGATCACTGAAAAGAGTCTTTATCTTCTTACCATGCACATTTTCCAACCAAGCACAGAATTCCTTGAACCTAGGAAAAGCCTCCGATTTCTGCTTGAGATTGTACACAAAAATATATCTAGAAAATGCATCAATGAGAACCATGAAGTATCTATTTCCACCCAAAGAGGGCGCTAGTGGTCCAACCAAATCAGCATGAACAACCTGGTATGGTTCTGTAGCTTCCTACTAGACACCTTACCTTTCGCAGCCATTTTCACCTTGTTTGCTGCGCATGCTTTGCACTTCATGTGGTACCTGCAGGGTTTAATAGTCATACCTTCTACCAAGGCAGGCATTTTAGATACTGCCTCAAAATGCAAATGACCAAATTTTCGATGAAAATCGTGAATACATTCTGCATGCAAACTTTTGTTAGAACCTGCAATGCAACAAGTGTCATCCTGCACCACATCATCATAATACAAAACAAACAAATGATCAACATATTCTGCATGCAATACATAATCATTTTTCTTTGTGATGATGCACTTCTTGTTCTTGAAGGAAACGTCAATGTTCCGCTCATTCAGCTGTCCAACGCTGAGCAGATTATGTTTGGCGTCTGGCACGTAAAGCACATTCTGTATCGATAAGTCCAAACTGTGAAGAACAACAGTTCCGTAGCCTTTACTGGGAATAGTGTGGTCATCCGCCTGGTGAATCGCACCTTCCTGCGGTGTAAAAGACACAAACAGTCTCTTATCGTTGCACATGTGGTGTGTCGCCGCTGAATCAACAACGAAGAAAGATCTAGACGTCTTCTGGACCTCTGCAACCTTTGGAGTGAAGCGTGAAACCATAGCCTTGTGCTGCGTTGTCCTAGACACCGGACCTTTGCCTTTGCCTCGGCCTTTTCCGCGCGATGAGCTTTCGCTGCGCTGCTCTGTCTTGGCCCTGGGATTTTTGCATTCCCTCTTCATATGGCCTAGACGTCCACACGAGTAGCATTTCACTGCCTTCAAAGCTTTGGCGCCATCTGGTGGTTCCACTGCACTATGGGATGACGTCTGTGAAGACTCCCCCTTGCCCATGCAGCTAGCACCCCGGCGATCTGCTTCATTTAAAATCACGGCAGTAACAAAGTCCACTGTCAGCTGAGCAGTTGGTTGCACAGCAATCTGGGTTGCAACAGACTCCCAACCTGAACCCAAAGATTGTAGTATCATGAAAGAATACACAGCCTCTGGAAAGTTGAGTCCTCTCTGTTGCAGCTCATGTCTCAGATTTTGCATCTCCATCAGATGTAAACGCACATCTCCACCTTCAGCAAGAGCCATATTGTGCAGCTTGTTAAAGTAAAACATAGTGGATCCAGCTTCTGTCCTTAAATGAGCCTCTCTCAGAGCGTCCCAAATTTCTCTGGCTGAGGTCTTATCACGCAATAGACAGAGCTCTTCTGGGGATACTATCAATGTAAGAGTTCCCCTTGCTTTGGAATCCTTAGCTTCCCATGCATCTGTAACTGGAACTGGGGGGGTTCCTGTAATCACCTCAAACAGACCCTCTTTCCGCAGAATTGCCTCTGCATACTGTACCCAGTCGCTATAATTTTTCTTGTTGAGCTTAGGAATCCCACAAGCATCCTGAAGGGCCATCATGACTCTGGCATTAGCCGTCAGCGTCATATCTGTGCTGCTTTAAATCTTGCTGCGTCACTGCTGCAGCTGCCTCATTACAAAGGCACACTTAAAAGTTACTTTCGATTTCCCCAGCATAATGACTTATGCCTGGGAGCCTTTTGCCTGTTCGCAAAACCGGCTTTAAAAGTTCAAAGTCCAGCCATAAAGCCATTATCTTGAAGCTGGCAGGCTGCCCGGAGCAGTAGCACATACCTCATCAATCACTTCTACGCGCAGAGCAGATTCCTTTCCGATCCGTCCCTCTGCATTCCGATCTGCCGGCACTCCGATTCGACCTCTGGGCCCATAACCACGTGTTGATTTAAAGCAGAGTCTGTCGTGGCCAGCGGAAGGATGAGTAATACGTGCTGCATACTCTATATTGCTTTATTTACAGTTCAAAGCTGGTATATTACAGAAAGACATCTTGCCTCTGCCGGAGCAGAAAATGCATCCTCTCTCCTCAACAGCTCGGAGAGAATCACACAGTGAAAAAACAGGAAACCAGTGTACGTCACATCCAGTCTCCCTTTCCCGTGAGAAACTCCAACAGTACAGACTGTGGAATGTAAACACCTGTCTCGTGACAAGCAGAGCTGCACAGTGAAGGAAAGCAGAAACCAACAGAGAGAAGCTTCCTGCCTTTCCCATAGAAGGCCTTGGCTGTCTCCCAGGGGCGACCTTGCCATGCTATCCCCAACAAGGCTGGAATGTCAAATATTCCACAGTGATCTGGGAGGCTTTATGAGCAGGATCAACTGTGAGCCTCTGCACAGCTGGAGAGGTAATAACAAACATGACTCTGACTCATGCTTTCTAGCCCAGGCATGGGGAACCTTGGGGCCGGGGGGCCACATGTGGGCCTCTGGATCTCTCTACCATACCGTCTCAGCCGAACGCCCTCTTCCCAGGCCTCATCCTGCACTGGCTCTGCTTTGTAACCCCCTTTAGTATTTCTGGTTGGCTGGGATGCGTCCTCAGACTCCAATTATGTCTCTCACTGGGTGGAGGACAGAGATGGGTTTTTGTGCTCACAAATTAGCCCAACTGTACAAAGGAAAAAAATTCTCAAATATCGTTCATCCTGCTTGTGTGTCCGGCCCCAACAACGCCTGGCATTTGGCCCTTGGAGGGTTGCCCAGAATGAAATGCGGCCCCCGGGATGAAAAAACTTTCTCATCCCTGCTCCATCCCAAGAGGGAGACTGTGCATGGAGGAAAAATTCCAGATCCTCCAATATTTTCTCAGAGAAAGACAGATATTCTGGGAATGCCCTTGTCTATTCCTGTGTTAGTAGCTCCACTAATTTGAGATTGGAAAGGTATTTGCAGATCCTGAAGCCTTGACAAGCTTTGTGTTTTCTCTCACCCCTTCTCAACACCCCACTCCTCCAATTACCTTAACCAGAACCATTATCTCCATTCATTGGCTAGAGGCAGAAAGAATCTTATTTATTTTCAAATATTTTATTTGCTTACAAAAGTACATGCATTGTCTCTTTTCTCAGGTTGTAAAGTCTTTTATTTATATCAGTTACATATGATGTGAGTCATTGGTGTTGTACAGTTGTATCTCAGAAGTCGAAGAAAATCCATTCCGGAAGTCTGTTCGACTTCCGAAACGTTCGACTTCCAAAGAATGGCTTCTGATTGGCTACAGGAAGCTCCTGCAGCCAACTGGAAGCCGCAGAAGCCCCATCGGACGTTCAGTTTCCAAAAGAACATTCGAAAACTGGGACACTCACTTCCGGTTTTCGATTGTTCGGTGTCAGGGAACTGCCATCGGAAGGAAGGGAGGTGAAAGGACTCAGACAGGTTGGAAGAGATTCAGCAGCTGAAGAGGGAACCAGCAGGGGGAGACAAGCTGAACTGAGGGAGGTGAAAGGGCTCAGACAGGTTGGAAGAGACGCAGCAGCGGAGGAGGACAGCAGGAGGGGGAGACACGCTGAACTGAGGGAAAGGGAGCTGGGGGGATGGCTCAGAGATACTTCCAGCGAAAACAGTGGTGAGGTTTCCGGACCTCCTGTAGCGACACCCACTCCTCGCCGGAAACTGTCACGCAGAGAGTCCAGAAGACGTGTTTCCGTTAAGGAGCTTTTATGTTGGAAGCGATTACGAAAGCAACCACTGTCGGAATCTTCTAGTGACTAGAGGAGCCATGTCAGAGGGGCTCAGTCACAGACAGAGGTTTGTGGACTTGAACAAACTCTGAGGGAATACGATTTTACGCACAAGCAGCTCATAATCCCATCACAGCATTCCGACAGTCCCTGAACGCAGCTTGTGCAGGAGAAGGCATAATGAGCAACCCAGCAGGAACCGGAGAAGCAGGGGCTGGAGCGGGTCCAAGCCTGGAAGAAAGGTACCGGGTGTTGGAGGTCCAGCTGGCGCTGCAGACGGCGAGGCTGGAGGAGAGGAGGGCTCAAGATGCAGACAAAAGGGAGAAAGCCACCCAGCTCGCCAGAAAGGTACCAGGATTGGTGCAGAAATTTGGGGGGGAGCCCAAAGACTATCATAGCTTTCGGACAGAAATGCAATATGCCCTCAATCTGCAGTTTGATGATTTCCTGATGAGGAATCACGAGTGGCTTTTGTGATTGGGCATCTTGAAAAGGGGGCGAGAGACTGGGTGAGACCCCTGATGGCAGCGCATAGTGACGTCCTAAAGGACACAATGAAGTTCTTTCGCGCCATGGATCTGATGTTTTCCAGCGATATTGAAAAGGGAGTGGTGCGCAGACAGTTAATGGCTTGCAAACAGGGGAGCCGATCTGTACGTGAGTACTGGACTGAGTTCACCATGCTGATACACAGATTGGGGTGGGACTTATCGGCGGAACCCATTCAAATGCTCTTTGAAGAAGGGCTTTCTTCGGCTGTGAAAGATGAACTTTCCCGGGCGCCCAGGGCGGAGTCTATGGACCAGCTGACCAAATCAGCGCTGGCCATAGGAGCGCGCCAGGAGGCGAGAGCATTGGAGAGGCGGGAAGGGAAAGGGGAACGTTGGAAGGAGTTCCGCATTCCAGACATTCCAGAGCCAACTGTCCCGCCGGCAGAGCCGATGGAAATCGGAACAGCGGCGCGCGCGCAGTTTCAAAGCCCAGTGAGGGGGAAAGAAGGATGGAAAAGGCGCCCGGAAATGCTATCTCTGCCAACAGCCAGGGCACTTTGCCAGAGTCTGCCCCCAGAGGAAGGAATGGCAAGGGATGGTGGGAGCTGTGGAGGGAAGAGAGGAAAAATACCGGAGCAACTAAAAGCCAACGCCTGGCTGCCATTGTCGGGCACAGCAGCCAGGCCAAAGAGCAGTGAAAGTGCCCACTCCAGAACCTCCTAAACCCGCCCTAGTGATAGAAGTGACACTAGAGCTGCCAAACGGACACCCTCTTAAGATAAAGGCGCTGTTGGACTCAGGCAGCTCCTGCAATTTCATGAGCAAAGAGTTTGCAGCTGAACACCAGATACAGACGCTCCCTTAAGCAACCCCCTGCAGGTAACCACGATCGATGGCAGGGAGCTGTTGGGAGGAGAAGTCAGCTTGCAGACCGTCCCAATGATAATGAAGGTGGCAAGGCACACCGAACTAATAGCATTTAATGTGGCCACCTTGGGAGGAGCTCCCATTATATTGGGGATGAGCTGGCTAGCATTACATGATCCGCTGGTGGGCTGGCATCAAAGAGTGGTTTCTTTTGGGTCAGCACATTGCTTAGAACATTGCAAAGAGGGAAGGGTTTTGGCAGGGGCCCAAGCCACTCTAGCAGGGACTGAAGTGACGGAGAACGTGAAGGTACCACGACAATACGCAGATCTCCGCGACGTCTTCAGCGAAAGGGAAGCTGACCAACTACCACCGCATAGAGCCTTTGACTGTCAAATCAATTTGCTCCCTGGGGCACAGCTCCCTGTGGGCAAGCTGTACGCCATGTCAGACAGAGAGATGCAGGAGCTAAGAGAGTTCATTGACAAGAACCTGAAGAGAGGGTTCATCAGAGAGTCCAGGGCGGTGGGGCAGCCCAGTGTTTTTGTGGACAAAAACACGAACAAGCCGAGACTGGTGTGTGACTTCAGGGCCTTAAATGCAGTGTCAGAACCAGTGGCCTTCCCGATGCCCAGGATTGACGACATTTTGACAAGGGTGCGGAAGGGAAAGATTTTTACCAAGCTGGATCTAAGGGGGGCGTACAACCTGATACGAATAAGGAAGGGGGATGAATGGAAAACCACCATGTTCACCCCTTTAGGGGCATTTGAATACTTAGTTATGCCCTTCGGTCTACAAGCAGGCTCCGCAACATTTCAATCGTTTATGAACCACGTCCTGGGGCCGTTGCTTTACAAGAATTGTGTGGCCTTCTTAGACGACGTGTTGGTGTATTCTGAGAATGAGGAGCAGCATGTGAGAGACGTCAGAGAAGTGTTGAGCAGGCTGCAAGCCAACCAGCTGTGGGTGAAACTGGAGAAGTGTCAGTTTCATACCAAGGAGGTGGAATTCCTGGGGTATCGCCTGTCTGACAAGGGGTTGGCCATGGATCCCGACAAGGTCCAGGCGGTACTGGAATGGAAAACACCCAAAACAAGGAAGGATGTGCAGAGGTTTTTAGGGTTTGGGAACTTCTATCGTAAGTTCATCCCAAACTTTGCCCACCTGACGGCGCCCATTACGGACTGTCTCAGCAGTAAGAAGAAGTTCGTTTGGACGGAGGAGGCGGAGCAAGCATTTGAGGAACTAAAAGGGCCTTCGCCTCGGAACAACAGCTCCTGCATGTGGATTTACAAAAACCGATGAGAGTGGAAACTGACGCATCAGACAGAGCGGTTGGGGCGGTGCTTCTCCAGCCAGGGAAGGAGGAGTCAGAGTGGAGACCGTGTGCTTTTTTTCGCGAAAGCTGAACAAATCCGAGAGGAACTACACGGTGTATGACCGAGAACTACTAGCCATTCATGAGGCGTTCCGGAGATGGAGGCACCTGCTAATTGGCGCACAACATAAGGTGCAAGTGTGCACTGACCACAAGAACCTAGAGTATTGGAGGACGGCACGAGTGCTCAACCAACGGCAAGTGAGATGGGCCCAGGAATTCTCCAAATTTAACTTTGAGATTTGTTACGTGCCAGGCCCAGAGAACATTAGGGCGGACGCTCTCTCACGCAAACCTGAATATTGGGAGGGGGAGGGAGCACCGAAGAGAGACATGTCATTCCAGAGGACCGCTGGGTGTGTGGGGCGGCATTGGTGGGACAAAGAGAACTGGTAGAAGAAACAGAGAATGATGAATACGCCCAGAATAAGCTCAGAGGTCTTAGGGATGAGGGAGAGGAATCAAGGGGTTTCGAGGAAAGAAATGGAGCTTTGTATTACAAAGGGGCACTGTATATCCCTGAAGGAGACTTAAGGGGAGGGTACTCAAGCAGTTGCATGACAGCCCCACGGCGGGGCATTTTGGGCAACACAAAACCATGTGGTTGGTCACCAGGGAATTTTGGTGGCCTAAGGTGAGGGAGGATGTACGTGAGTATGTAAGAGGGTGCGAGCAGTGCCAGCGAGCCAAAGGGGAAAGGCGGGCGCCGGCGGGGCTATTAGAACCCTTACCAACACCAGAACGACCTTGGGAGGCAGTGTCGATAGATTTTATGACTGATCTGCCGAAGTCCAAAGGGAAAACAGCCATCATGGTGGTGGTAGACCTACTAACAAAGATGTGCCACTTTGTAGCTTGCTCGCATGCAGTCACGGCGGAAGAGACAGCGAAGTTATTTGTAGAACACATTTTTAGGTTGCACGGGGTGCCATTGAGGGTGGTCTCAGACCGAGGAAAACAATTTACTTCCAGGTTCTGGAGGAAGCTCATGAGCTTACTGCAGGTGGAGGTCAACTTTTCGACTGCCCGGCACCCTGAAACCAACGGGCAGGCGGAAAGAGCAAACGGTGTCCTCCAGCAATACCTGAGGTGTTATGTCAATGACAGAGAGAATGACTGGGTAGAAAAGTTGGCGCTGGCGGAATTTGCCTACAACAATGCCGAGAATGTGTCCACAGGGATGAGCCCCTTCTTGGCTAATTATGGGTGTCATCCCAGGGCTTTCCCAGGGGGAGAAGGGGAGAGATGGAGCGTACCGGCAGCCGAGCATTTTGTAGAAGAAATGGAAGCAATCCACCGTCAGCTCCAACTCAACTTAGAAAGGGCGAAGGAAGAATACAAGAGGCAGGCAGACAAGAACCGAAGGGAAGGTGAAACCATAAGGGTTGGAGATAGGGTGTGGCTGTCAACCCGAGGGTTGCCGTTCAAAGGAGGTTGTAAGAAATTACGACCCAGGAGGTTGGGTCCCTTTGAGGTCATTCAACAGGTCAACCCAGTGGCTTTCAGGCTCCGGTTACCCAACCACATGAAACTGCACCCAGTATTTCACAGGTCGTTACTGTCACCGTACGAGGGGGGACGAGAAGGGATGGACACTCGGGACCGGTCATAGAAGAAAGAGAATGCAGCAGTCATGTGGCAGAAATCCTTGATGCCAGGTGGAAGGGGAATCAGGTGGAGTATTTGGTAGCGTGGGAAGGAGAACCGGAGTCAGAAAACACGTGGGTAATGGCCAAAGATATCAATGACGAGGTATTGATAGAAATGTTCCATCAAAGGTTCCCGCGGAAACCTCAGCCTGTGGAGAGGTTCCGGAGGGAATACTTTGGGACCACTGAGGAGGAGGAGGAGTTGGAAGGATTCCCAGAATCGGAAGGGGAAGGGGAGATGGACTCGGAGGAGGAGGAGTGCTTCGAGACCAGGAACCGCAACAGGTGGAGAGAAGTGTTCGAGACATCGGAAGATGAAGGAAGTTCATTCCGGGTTTTGCCTCCTCACCGCCCGTAGAGGAGGGGGCGAGAGGGGGTGAAGGGGGCCCTGGAGGGGAGGTGGATGTCAGGGAACTGCCATCGGAAGGAAGGGAGGTGAAAGGACTCAGACAGGTTGGAAGAGATTCAGCAGCTGAAGAGGGAACCAGCAAGGGGAGAGAAGCTGAACTGAGGGAGGTGAAAGGGCTCAGACAGGTTGGAAGAGACTCAGCAGCGGAAGAGGAAACCAGCAGGGGAGACAAGCTGAACTGAGGGAAAGGGAGCTGGGGGATGGCTCAGAGATACTTCCAGCGAAAACAGTGGTGAGGTTTCCGGACCTCCTGTAGCGACACCCACTCCTCGCCGGAAACTGTCACGCAGAGAGTCCAGAAGACGTGTTTCCGTTAAGGAGCTTTTATGTTGGAAGCGATTACGAAAGCAACCACTGTCGGAATCTTCTAGTGACTAGAGGAGCCATGTCAGAGGGGCTCAGTCACAGACAGAGGTTTGTGGACTTGAACAAACTCTGAGGGAATACGATTTTACGCACAAGCAGCTCATAATCCCATCACATTCGGGAACCAAAACATTCGACTCCCAAGGCATTCAGGAGCCAAGGTACAACTGTATACAGAATAAGGTTGCAGAAGAAAAAAAGAAGGGGGAGAAGGGGGAGAAGTGGTAAAGTCACATTGTTATACTTAGTATGTATGTGGGTTTTTAATGTCAGCGTCGTTTGGGTAGGTTCTCTTTCTTTTTATTTATTATATTTCCTTGGTAGTGAGAGAGGTTGGGTGGGGGCCCCAGGGCATGGCTGGTTGTGTTTAGTTGGCTGCAATTAGATTTGTTTGCGAGTGTGAAGTGGAGGGTAGGATTTTGGGTCAAGTTAGCCGGATTGATTTGTATGTTGTCGGTGGGTTCTTGTTGTCATCTTGTTGGGCTGTGTATGTGATAAAGTGCAGCCATACTGGGGTGAAGGCGTCTTCTTCTATTTCCCTCCTTGTCAGTTTGAGTCTGTTGGGTAGCTTTTCTAGTAAGGCTGTTTCCCATACGATTTGGTACCAGTGGTCCATGTTCACTCCTGACAGGTCTCTCCAGTCTTAAGACCAGAGGATGCTTAAAGCCTAGTTGGTGGGGCGACAGGAGATGGGGGAGGATGAAGGCAGGAAGGAAGAGGTGTGTGAGCACAAGAAACCTTGCAGCACCGTATGTGAGAGGACATTCCAAAAGATACAGGCTCATCTTGCTTTCCTGCCAGTCAGGGAAGCTGCCCTGAACACAGAATCCCACTCAGTGAAAAGGCCCCTTCTGCAATGTACATTTAAAGCAGAATCATACCACTTTTAAACAGTCTGGGTGCAAGCCTCCTGGGAACTGTAGCTTATAAAGGGTGCCGAGAGTTGTTAGGAGACCCCTGTTCCCCTCACAGAACTCAAATTCCCAGAGTGGTTTAACAATCAGTCCCTCTTCCCAGGGAACTCTGGGAAGGTCAATGTATCAAGGCAGACCCACATCAATTGTTTAAAGCATATGACTTCCCCCAAATAATCCTGGTAAATGTAGTCTGTTGGGAACTCTGAGAGGGAAACTACAGTTCCCAGGATTCTTTGATGGAATTCTTAATAAGTACTGTATCTTAATATCATTCGGTGGCATTGCTGGCAGGGGCTGATGGGAGTTGTAGTTCAAAGCATTTGGAGGGCACCAGTTTGGGGAATGCTCCTTTGCTGATGAATCAGCCACACAGTTTCCACTGGGAACTTCCTTTGCGCACACACACACACACACACACACACACACAATGAACCCAACAGTATCCTCCCAACCTAAACCAGTTGTCAAAGAGAGCTGTAAATTAGTACTTATGTGATCTTGCAAGAGGTAAACAGCAGCACATCCACATATCAACAGAGACAGACATTCCTGAAGTCCCAATGACATTGGAATCTCTTTCATTAAGGACCCCCCCTCCCATATAAACAGGTGGGGAATAAGCCAGAGATTCTAAAGCAGGTTTTTCCACCTCCTGCAGGCTCAAAACACCAAAATCAAAGCTGATGGTTACATCACTTTGTCACTTAAACAGAGGTTGTTTTGAAATCTGTTTTGTTGCATCAGCAATGAGGTGAGAGATTTTGTGAGCCAGGATCCTCAGCGGAAAGCTTTTTAACACAAAGATGGGGAACCATTGAGATTGAACCTGGGACCTTCTGCATGCAATGGTAGGAATAAATGGCATCTTAGGATGCTGCCTCGGCTTGTACAGAGTCAAACTATTAGTTTGTCTAGCTCAGAACTGTCAGCACTGACTAGCAGCAGCTCTGGGCTTTCAGACAAAGGACTATCAGCCCTACTTGGAGATGCCACTGAGGACTGAACCTGCATGCAGGGCAGATGCTCTACCACTGAGCTAAGACCCTACCCTTGCATACACACCTGTGTAGCTTCCTCTCCTCTTATCCTTGCCTCTGTTGACTGCAAATGCTTTGGGGGCAGGGACCCAGCTTTTGAATACTGTACATGGGAACACTCAACAGTTGTGCAGCAGGGCTTCTAATCTGCACTACACATTTCTGAATAGCTTCAGCCCACGTGCACCACCACAAACACCTGCACTTGTATACAGATAGCTTGCACATGTATAAAGGGATGGATGGATCTGTCAACAGGCAGACCTACATTTTGGGGGCCCTGGAGTTTGAACTGTCATGACGGCCCCTTCGCAACCAGAAACGAGGTTTAGGTAACCACTGTTAACCTCTTCAATGGGGTTGTTCCATGACAGATCACCACACCTTTACAACACCTGTGCTTCTGACTCTCAAACTTTGGGATTGTTGAAATATGTACAAAAAAAGTAATCAATTTGACTCAAATCAAGGTGACTCAAATTAGAGTCACAGTTACATACTTAGTTGCTTCTGGGGCCCCTCTGGGATTAGGGGGCCTAAAGCTTCAGCTACGTTAGTTTCACAGCCCCTGTCTGTCAATTTCAGGCTCCATCTCTGAAACCCTGGAGAGCTGCTGCCAGTCAGTGTATGCAATGCTGAGCTAGATGAATCAGTGGTCTGAGTCAGCATAAGGCCGCTACATGTGCTCTTAGTTCTTTTAGACTGCAAGCCTGATGGTAGGGAGCATCTTATCACTGACATTCGGAAGCCTCTCTATCAGTCTGATGGGGGGAAAGCTGGATTAGGGATTTGTGAGAAATTCACATTTTGCATTTAAATACACTTTGCCCCTAAATGCTGGTGAATTTCCACGAGGACCTAAAAAAGGAAATAGCAAACTGTGTGGAAATGTGGAGAACTCAAAACTTAAGAATGCAATTATTAGGAACTGAAATTGATAAGAGCCACCCATCCTAGAGCAGGCAGTAATGTAAGCCAATAACTTGCGATTGAATTGCTCCCACCTTGTTGATCTCTTCCAGCCTTCCTTGCTGCTTGGCTTTGAGTAATCCAAAGGCTTTCCCTCCTGGATAAAAGAGAGAGAAGGAGCATGTAGTAAACCCAGGTGTGTCTGTGACCCTCTGGGTGTTCTTCAACTTCTGGGACTAGCGAGCAGGTGACATCCTCCCGGGCAGCGGCGCCGGTGTCTTGAGGATTTTGAAGCAGCCCTCCGGGACACCGCGCAGCAAGGATCTCCGGTTGCTGTAGAGCTCGCTTGCCATGCTTTGAAGCAGGCAAATTCCCACATAACCCCCCCCCCCGGGCCTCCCCCCCCCCCCCCATCCCCGCAAGAGTCACAATTGCACCACCATGTGTACCTTGATATGCGCTGTTGAGCATGAGAGACATGCTGGAGATTTCACGAGCGAGACCCCGGCTGAGGAGTTTGCAGAAAGTTTCTCCGCTGGGTGCCGCCGCCGGCACGCTGCGGGTTTCCAGCCAGGGTGGCGAGCGAAGATCTCTACTCTGCTCAGGACGGCTACCGAGCCAGCCCAGGTACTTCCAACAGAGTCATTCATGAAGTGGGACTCCGCAGAGGCCGGCTGAGGAGGCTCACACATCCCTCTGGCGGAGGAGGCGGAGGAATGCCGCCCTCCCCGGAGTGGGGCCTCAGATCCGTTGCAAATGGGCTGCTGGCAAGGTTAACCCTTTCCTTGCACAGAGCGCAGAAAATGCAACGCCACACCATTCGGTTTGGTCGCTGGTTTCTTCGTAGCGTTGATGTCCCCCGCCCCCCGAGGAGCTCCAGGGGGCTGCGCTCATGGCTCCCGCCTTCCTGGTTTAATTCCTCACGCAACAACCCCGTGAGGTAGGTTAGGCTGAGACGCAGTGACCTGCTTCCAAGGTCACGCAGTGAGTTTTAGGGCCAGGTAGGGGATTTGAACCCAAGACTCAGTTTGGCACTCTAACCACTGCACCACACTGCCTGCCTCTGCCTCTCCAAAATAAAAGAAAAACCCACCCAAACTACTCCAATCTGCAAGCCGTGGGAGAGTCCAAGGATTCCAGGCACCTATGCAGGATCCGGATTCCGATTTTTAATGGGGCTTCCCTGGAGGCCTAGGGGCTTCACACTGAAGTCTCCCTGAACTGAGTAACTTGCTCAGGATCAGTTCATTTGAGAACTCTCAGGAGCATTATGGGAAACTTAAATGGTGTCTCCCTGATCCAAAGGCACAGTCAGAGTGCTGGTTAAAGGAGAAAAGGGGCAGGTGGTACCTTAATCGAGTTAACCTCCACTGTCAAAGGAGGCAATATGGTTCTGAACAGCAATTACTGCTAGGAACTGCCAGTGTGGAAAGTAGCACTGCTGCACTTGGGTCCATAGCTGTCAACTTTCGGATTTGAAAATAAGGGATCAGCAGCCTCACCTGTCCTGGAGACAGTCTACGGGATATCTAACAATCCAGGATAGCAGCGGGAAATGGCGGGAAACGGTGCTGGAATAAGGGAATTTACCGCAAAAAAGGGAAGGCTGACAGCTATGCTTGGGTCCTGCTTTCAGGATCCCCATCTGGCCATCTGGTTAGCCATTGTGAAAAGAAGATGCTGGACTGGTTGGGCCTCCAACCTGATGTGGCTTCGGGGCTTGTATATTATTTTGTTATGTTCTTACCTCAGTTGCCAAAGGATACAAAGGATGCTGGTGCCAGAACCTGTTATATGAATGAATACAAACATAGATGGATGGATAGATAACTCTACGCACGTGCAGAGTGCAGCACCCCTTGCTACGAGGCAAATTTGTGACAAATTTAAGCGGTGGCTCCCAGCTCCTCTTACCCTACTCCAGGGGTTTTTTTGGGGGGGGGGATTTAAAGAGAGGATCCTCCCTATGTGCTATAAATAAAGGATAATAACATGGATGCTTGTATACATAACGAAAATAATAAAGAATCTGCCTAAACCAGCTCAGTCTTGTTTTTTTAATTCTCCCCTCAAGTCTCTGGGAATAGATTTTGCTTCAAATACTCGTTTGAGGTGAGGCCCTTCCAAAAGGCCGCCACCCATGTTGGCCAAGCCAAGGTTCTGAATCACCACTGGAGAGGCTCCCAAACACCCATTATGTAGTGACCTTCCTCTTCGGGCCTGGTGTCTTCGCCAGAAACAAAGGGAGGGGTTGCAGCCTCTCCCCACCTGGCCCGGTCCCTCATGTTAATGGAACCCTAGTGGCTGAGTCAGACCACACACAACCCAATGCTCCCTCAAGACTCCTGTTTCTCAGGTCTGGATGTCATCTTCTTTGGGAGAGCACCACATACCTGGCTGTTGTTTCATCTCTGGAGTGAGCGGTGCTAAGGGTTCATCAGCCTGCCTTAAAGAACCAGAGAAGGCAATGGCTGTAGCTCAGAGGTTAGAGTACCTGGAAGTCTCAGTTCAGTCTCCAGCATCTCTGGATAGGGCCTGGCTGAGGCCCTGAAGAGCTGCTGCCTGTCAGCGCTGACGGTACTGAGCTAGATGCAGCAAGGGGTCTGATTCTGCATAAGGCAGTTCTTCCCAATGTTTCCATTCAGAATCATGGGGACCAGGAACTTTATTTCTGGATGGACAATTAGTGCATTCTAAACAGGTAGGAACCGAGTGCCAACAAACCAACAGTAGAGATTATGAACCAAATGGGATCTGAACTGTATGCAAACTGTATTCATGTAGAATTAATAGTGTTGTTATATGAAAATTTGGGGTTGGCTTTTACAGCCAAACTCCCGAAGGACTTTGTATCTCCTCTGTCCATTATCAGAGAAGAATGGATGGAAGCAGGAACCAGCAGAAGAAAGCAACGAATATATTTATTTTCTGTAGCAACAGTTCCCCTCACCCCTTGCAAGGAGGTGAGGACCCAGAACAAAGGTGGGTCCCAAACGCCTTTTAAAGGCTTTAGAAGTTGCCCAACCCCTTAAGCCAAAGGCCACCCAAAAGCATTATACAAGGAGTGCATGACTTGTCTCCTTTCTCGAGACCTGATAATGCTTGCTGATTGCTTTATCGTGACCACTCTGGGGCACTCTTTTGAAATTTTAAATATCCTAGTTCCTGAAACTATTGTCACAGACCTCCCCTATTCATGCATAAAATATACAAGATTTGAAGAATTTATATGGGAAAGGTTTTTCCAACATACTTCCTTTTACTGCAGGGAAAATATCTGGGGACATTAAGAGAGCCAAGATGGCTTCAGGATTGTTCTGTGTACTAAAATAGTCTATTTTTTTCAGGGAATATTTCCTAATTTTGAAGGTGAAGGATTGGTTTTCTGTGGGGAGTGGCTTGTTATGTGTGTGCACCTTATAACAGGGTGGAAGTGTTTTATGTAATTAATATAAACAATGACAAACAGAAACCATGCTGGTCACAGGTTTAATCCCTGGCATCTCCAGGTAGGGCTGAGAAAGACCCTTGCCCCAAACCCCTGAGAGCCACTGCCAGGCAGTGTAGACCAGGGTTTCCCAAACTTGGGTCTCTAGCTGTTTTGGACTACAACTCCCATCATCCCTGGCTAGCAGGACCAATGGTCAGGGATGATGGAAATGGTAGTCCAAAAACAGCTGGAGGGCCGAGTTTGGGAAACACTGGTGTAGATGATACTGAGCTTGATGGACAAATTGTCTGACTCTGTACAAGGCAGCTGCCCATGTCCCTATTCAGAATCATGAGGACTAGAGTCTTACCTTGTATTTTCACTGGGCGGAATGTCAGACAACAAAGACCTGCTAGCACTTGCCAAAATCCCAGGTAGGCTATTGTAACACAGGTTTGGAGGTGGACTCTGACCTTGGCTCCTCCACAGCAGGACAAACAAGCCAGCTGTGATCTAACACTGCTTGTGTAAGGATTTCAAAGTGTTAGTAATTTCCCTCTGGAGGCCAACCCATAAGCAGCAAAGAGACTGCTTCCCTTCAAACCAGAATCTGCTTGTGCGATAATCCAGTGTTCTGTTTGTTGTGTTTTGTAACACTGTTTGCTTTTGGAAAACTGTCCTTGAGGCAGGGAAAGGAAGAAGGAATCACAATGGACTTAGTTCCTCCCCCCTCCCAAAATAAGACAACACATTCCAGGAAAGGTTTTGTGAATAATGTGTGATTCAAGAATCCTGCATGCTTGGGGTTCGATGATCTCAGGGCCCTGAATGCCCTTTCCCCAAGCTCCTAATATTTCAAAGTGGATTATTGTACTCAAGAAGACCAGCTATACAAGGTATGCATGTGCACTGCTGCATGTGGGAAGATAAGAAGCTGCCTTAAACAGAGACCATTGGTCTGTTTACACTGACTGGCAGCCCCAGTGCAGGGTTCCAGAGAGGGTTCTCTCCCAGCCTTCTCTCAAGATTGAACTTGCGAACTTGTGCATGCAAGGACCGAATTAAATGGAAACACAGGAAGCTGTCTTATTCTGAGTTGCACCATTAGTCCATCTGGCTCATTGAATGGACAGGCAGCAGCTCTTCACAGATTCAGGCAGGGGATGTTCCCATCCCTACCTGGAAAGTGAACCTGAGGCTGATGTGAGTGAGACCTGCGGAGACTTCTTGGCAGGGCTGCTCAGAGCGGGAAGAGCTGGGTCTTGGGGCAGAGCCTAGTGGTCATGGCAACATTGATCTGGATGCTGGGAAGAGTCTTGCCTCAGTGCCATCAGATGCCCCTCCAAAGGCATCCGCAACCAGATTGGACCGTGAGCTGGATGCATTGACTCCACCTCCATTGTCAAGGACAGGGTGCTGGCATGAGCAGACCCAGGAATGCATGTTTGTGTGCCCAGTCCTGAGGCTTCAGATGGAACCTGTACAAATGACTGTGGCCACCGCATTCTTCAAAAGGGGACGTCAGGCGGCATGTCAAGTGTGGGGACAACATATTAGTTTCCTCCTAGCCATGGACCTCAGAGCTCTGATATAACTGCTGATCCATGTGCCTTATATCTATGTTTGGGCAAAATTTTTATTGAATTTTGGAATAAAGTCTTTGACAATAACTGTGCTGAGAGTCCATGCATTGCATTCATAAGTGGTAGCCGGGACAGGGCCTTTATTTTGTGCAAAGCAGATGCTCTGTGGTTGAATAATTGTCCTTTCTCGAAATATAAAGTAAGGCTTCAGTCCTCATGATTCTGAATAGAAGTTGCCAGGGACTGAGGTTATATTGGTGCATCACATGCTTTTCATTAATATGTGTGTTATTATTCACATGTCCCCTTAATATACACACCCACTGTTGCATAACTGAGGTGCAAAATTCAGAGAAGTGTAAATTTCAAAGGATACCTGCATTTCAGTTCATGGATTGATTTAAAGTGCCATTTTAATAGATTTGTATTAGTGGGACGCAGGTGGCGCTGTGGGTTAAACCACAGAG